CTTAGAACAGCGTGTCGCAGTGACAGACTAAGGTAGATTTTTAAATTAGACGCAGCGGGATTCGAAGACGACACCTTTGGACTCCGCTGAGTTAATTTCTATGATATGCATAGTATCTGTGAAGTACAGCGTTATCCAGTGTCAAAGAAGGATTGCATTGGAGGGAATAATTTTATCTAGTTACCTGTGTCCACCATGAACAGACACCACCAAAGCGATGAATTGCATATTGAGATTGAGGATGAAGCAGAAGCGCGACTGAGTGGTTCCTCAAAGAATACAAGAGAGGTGCCCGAGGATTCTTCCAGCACGAATACGAATGACAAATTGCAGACGTCAACGCGGTCGTCCACCGGATCTTCCTCCAAGAAACGGGAAGGATTGAAACGATCGTCCAGTCACTCTTCACGCGGGAAACCTAGCATTAGTTCCAGACATTTGTCGCCAAGAGAAGATAAGCACCACAGCCGAAATAGGAGTTCTGAACGAAGACGATCATCCAGCGGCAGCAGACCTTCGCGTGACAAGCACAGCAGCAGCAGTTCCAGAAATCTTGCGACTTCACCCTCGCGTGACAAGCAGCATGGCCGTTCTGGGTCGCATCAAAGACGCTCGTCGCACCGCAAAGGCAGCACTCCTTCTAGTGACGCAAGACATCATTCTTCGCGGCGAAAGTTAAAGTCAGAGCGGGATTTGGGACACAGCCCTCGCAGCGAGCAATCGCGTGATAGTTCCCATGATTCTAGAAGGAAATCAAGTAGACCTACCTCCTATCGCAAGGGCAGTTCTAGGCGGGTATTGAGTACTTCTCCGCATAGGAGAAGGAGGGAGTCAAGTCGCTCCCCCTCTCATGACCGGCATCATGATTCTTCTAGAAGAAAATCAAGTAGACCTTTGCACGAAAAGAGTAGCTCTGAAAGAAAATTGAGTAAGTCTCCGCAGCGAAGAAGCAGCAGACGCCGATCCTCAAGCCGCAAGCCCGACTCGAAGAATATTAGTCCAGCTAGTATCTTGGAGCATCAAGAATATCCTGACAACAGTCCAATGAGCCGTTCGTGGGGAGGTTCGCATGAAAAAAAATCCCGAAATGGTGATACTCCGTATCATGCTTCGATTAGTTCACCTCCGTTCACAAACATTAATCCAAATGCGGATATGTTGTATGGAACAGATGAAGATGCCAAGGCGAAAGAGAAAGCCCGGAGAGGAGGCCCGGAACGTGTCGTCAATCCCGGTGTGCAAAGTATCCCAAGCAATAACAGTGTTGCTGTCAGCACATTGTATGGGGATGACGCCGATGCTGATGCCAAGGCCAAGGCAAAACCTTCCAGGGGAGTGGCAAGCCTTCCTGGCATTGACCGCGTGGACGGCGTGTCAGCTGCCCCCAATTGGCGAGGGACGAGAAATTCAAAAGGAAGCGCTTCGGGAGCTACTACTTCAACCGGGACGGTCAGCAGCGGTTCTACAAAGGCATCTAGTGCCGTTGGCACACTTTATGGAACTGATGCAGACGCCAAGGCAAAGGGAAAGGCAGCAAAGAGAGGAGGATCCGAATTTGCAAGCAATCCTGGTGTGGATCGAGTGCATTATGATGAAAGCATTGCGAGCACCACCGATACACTGTACGGAGGAAGCGATGCAGACGCTAAAGCTAGAGCAAAAGCTTCCAAGAATGGAGTTAGTCCAGGCTTTAGTGGCCGAACTGGTTCTACTGTGCCTCTCGATGCAAGCTCGAGGAGCCAAGGCTTACCAGCGGCTCCATTTGAAGATGAAGAGGCAGCACCTGTTGCGCGAAAGGTGTCCATCGGAAGTACTTCAAGTTCTGGATCTTCCGGAAACGAAGACCCGGAACGCAATCCCCTTGTCTCTTCAGCAACTGTGAATGGATTACAAATACCGAATGACCCTGAGGCTTCGCCTAGCGATGATGGTATAGATAAGGAAGTAGGTGATAAGGAGCGTCGAAAGTCGAGGAAGCGATGCTGCTTTCTATTGGTTTTACTGCTTCTTGCTGGTGGAGGTGCAGCGGCTTGGTACTTTCTCGTCCGCAATGGTGGCAGTAGCAACGAAAATACCCGAAGCAACTCATCCGACATTCGGGATCCGAGCAGTGCACCTTCATCGTCAAGCGGAACGAATAAGCTGCCCACTGAAGTTCCACTAGCAAGTAGCAGCCCATCAACGTTACCGAGCGGTTCGCCAACAGAAGAGATGTGGTATGATCCTCCAAGCGTGTCGGATTGTGAACTTATTGCCACAAACCAAACAATCGCAGGGCGAGAGCAAAAGGAAAACGCCAATTTCGGGTTAGACTTGGAAATTTTACTTTCCGATAATGCTACCATGACAGAGCCACTGTTGGACGAGTTATTAGATGCAATTCAAGAGAAGATTCTTCCTTCTTTAGCTGGCTGCGCCATCATTGTGGACACCTTCTTGGAGAGTTGGCGTTTTGTGATTTTCGATGCTTTTGTGAAAGGCAATGTTGAACCAAAACAACCATGCTCTGATGAAGAATTGCTCGGACAAGATTGCCATCGGGTCTATGCGGAGCTGGCTCTTTTTCTGAAAGGCAAAGTTAGGTTCCTAGACATCATTCGTTTGATAAGTGACGAGAAGGATAATTTCTCGAATGATTTGGGACTATCCGATCAGTTTCTGTTTGTGAATTTGTTTCGGGCCGAGGGGCTGACACCTACCGTTCCCCCCACAATGTTACCAAGCTATACACCGAGTTTGACTCCTAGTCAGGCTCCAACAGGAAAACCAACTCCGACCCCAACATCTCTTCCGACAAAAGCTCCGACAATTTCCCCTACAGGCGAGGGTTCAAGATCTCCAACTCTGGTACCGAGTTTGGAGCCATCATTGATGCCAAGTACAGGTAGTCCATCTTTGAATCCCTCTTTGCAACCAACAGGAGTACCGACGGAAAGCCCGAGTGCGCGGCCAACTGCAATAATCTCAGGACCAACGTTGCCTCCAACGAGGAATGAAACTCCTCCACCAACGTTACCTCCGACGATGAATCAAACTCCTCCACCGTTGCCACCTACATTGCCTCCATCGAGGAATCAAACTCCTCCACCAACTGACAGTACGTTTTCGAATTGCATTGCCATGTAACTTTCGTAACTCTGAATGTTCTCAACTTTTTTCTTAACTTGCAGATCCTACACTCTCGCCATCGGAGTCACCATCAGCATCACCCTCAACCTCACGGCCATCCCGGAGTCCTTCAGCCCCGCCAACCGCTGGTAAGATACTGTTCAACTCGGTGAATTGTCACATCGTTGACTGACTTCGAATCTCTCTGATGCCTTGTCGTTTCTTCTTTTTGGCGTAAACAGCACCTTCACCATATCCGACAACATGTAAGTGTAGCATTCGTGGACATCAGAGTCACACATTTATAGTTTTTGTCTAACACTCTCGAACAACTGCCTCGTGTCCCTTCTAATATACAGCGCCCACAAAGACTCCTTCGATGAGGCCTACAGCCAGTCCAAGCCCACCACCTTCTCCAGCTCCATCTCGAATTCCTACACTCGCGCCTGTATACAGTAAGTGAAAATGCGTTGAATCATAATTGACTTGTTAGATTTCGATACCCTTTCTAACCGGTCCATTCTTTGCATATTCATCAGGCACTCAACTCATTACTCAAGCGTATGGACCTTATACGAACTATCCTGTGAGTCAATCATCAACCACCTGGGGCGGTACTGCAATAAGAGCCATTGATGGCAACAGAAGCGGACTCTATTGGGATGGGTCTGTAACGCACACGAATAATGGTCGAAATGAATGGTGGCAAGTTGATTTGGCAACTGGGGCTGGGAGTCCTGTTGTTGTGGACTACGTTACGGTGTGGAATCGAAATGAAAGGACTCTTGGACTACGCCTCATTGGCGCGATTGTCCAGCTTCTTGATGCGGGTCAAAACGACATCACTCCACCTGCTGTTGCTAATACGCTGACTGGTGCCGTTGATCAAACCATCAACTTTGGCTTTGTACCCGGCGTTAGTTTCGTCAAAATCAGCCATAACAATTATCTTACTCTGGCCGAAGTTGAAGTTTATGGATATGTACCATAAAAAGCATGACTTGGTATCGAGCCGAACAGGATTTTCCGAAGCTTGGCCTTTTCTCGGTTTCAATAATAATATCATGTAAAATACGTGAATTTGCATCAACGAATTGATATTGATAAATAATGTTTCAATGCTATCGAGAGCAGAACCAATCTGATTTCGCAAACAAAAATGATCATCTAAGGGTACCAGGTAATGTATGCTTCATCATCATTCAGCGACTAGATTATTGTAAGGTCCATGTAGTCGATTCATTCTCTGACTGAGCGGTTTTCAAATTCGTCGTGTGCACATGTCATCACTGTACCAGCAGATAAAACACTCCAAACTCTCATCCTTCATGGCAATGATAGAGAATCAACAACGCCTCGCCCAGAATGAGTACCAATTCAAGCGATGAATCCCCCAGGCAGATCGAGAAGGGCGAAGAAACAGAATTGAAAAGACCACCTTCCAACAATAGAGAAGTCAATATCAAGACAGGTGCAGGTTCTCTCACAGATGAGAATGTGGGGCAAGGCAGCACTCCACCAGAAAGACGTGAGCAATTGCAGCGATCATCCAGTCGCTCTCCAAACGGGAAACATAGCAGTTCCAGGCATCTGTCGTCAAGGCGTTCGTCTCATGACAAGGACAGGACTCGACCTTCTGAAAGGAAATCGACTAAGTCTTCTGGTGACAAGCACAGCAGTTCCAGACATCTTTCGAGTTCATCTTCGAATGACAAGCAGAATCGTTCTGAAAGGATATCAAAGGACGGTTCGTATGATAGGCGTCGCGATTCTAGAAGGAGTTCAAATAGGTCTTCGCGTCGAAAGCATATGTCCGAGCGGGAATTAAGCACGCCTCAACATAAAAGGAAAAGCAGTTTAGAAGGGGAACCTGGAGTACCCTACTATGACAGGCAATATGATTCTAAAAGGAAGTCGAGCAGGCATCTGTCTGAAAAGAACAGCTCTGAGCGGGAATTACGCAGGTCTCCGCACAAATGGAGTAGCGAGCGGGAATTAAGCAGGTCCCACAGAAGGAGTAGCGAAAGCAATCAGCGGCTCTCAAGCCGTAGATTTGACACGAAGTCTTGCACAAAACCTACGTCGGACCACGTTGAGAGGGATATACATGAACGAAGACGCTCCAAGGGAAGTAGTCCACATCCAAGGAGTCAGCGGGATGGAGATGATCCATATCATCATTCAATTGCTAGTCCCCCTTTTAGCACTGGTCAGGATCTTAGAAGTGCCATTTTGCTATATGAAACAGATGACACAGATGCCAAGGCGAAAGAGAAATCACGGAGAGGAGGTTCCGAACGTGTCGTTACTCCAGGAATTGAACATACATCTAGCAATAGCAGTGCCGCCGTCAGTATGTTGTATGGAGATAACACAGATACTGATGCCAAGGCGAAAGACAAATTACGGAGAGGAGGTTCCGAACGTGTCTTGAATCCAGGAATAGAACATATCTCCAGCAATAGCAGGGCCGCCGTCAGTACGTTATATGGCGATGACAAGGATGCTGCTGCCAAGGCCAAAGCAAAAGCGTCCAGAAGCGGTGGAGCCGCGATGTTCAGTCCATCAGCGGGTACCAACAGTAGTACTAAGAGTATTGCAACTATCAATACCCTATATGGACAAGACGAGGATTTCAAAGCCAAGGCAAAAGCATCTCGAGGCAGCTCAGAACTGGCGAGTATCCCTGGTGTGGAGAGCATAGCCCTCAATAGCACGCATACATCTGTCAGTACGCTATATGGAAATGAAGCAGATTCCAAGGCAAAGACAAGGGCAGCGAGCGGAGGCTCCGAGATAGCAAGTAACCCAGGTGTTGAGAGTGTAAACTATGACGAAAGTGTTGCCAGCACTGTTGATACACTATATGGCAACGATGATGACGTTAAAGCCAAAGCAAGAGCATCACGAGGTACTCCGAAATTTGCGTCCAGCCGGGGCATGGGAAATGCAGCGACTGGCATGCCATCTCTTACTGAAAGCATTCCGGCAGAGAGCGTGAGTTCTTCAGAAAATGATGTTGAAGAACCAGTTGCAAGAAGGGTGTCTATTGGAAGCACAGAATCTGGACGTTCAAGAAATTCCAATCCGGAACGTGAGATTGATTGTGGGGCAAATGGTGTCCCTTCAGCGGCTATGGGTGCTTTACAAATACCGAATGATCCTAATGCAGCCCGAGTACAGGATCCCGACAAAAAGAAGGGAGCTGAAGAGGAAAAAGAAAAGTCCAAAAAGAAACCTTTTTTGTTGTTCTTTTCACTTCTTTTTCTGATTGGCGGAGGAGCAGCGATTTGGTACTTTCTTTTCAGAAATGGTGACACTAGCAACGAAAATCCTCAGATCAACCCATCCAACATTCAAGATCCGAGCAGTGCACCTTCGCCACCTGGCCTCGCAACCGTGACGCCTGTGGTTCCACTAGCTAGTAGCAGCCCATCAATGTTCCCTAGCAGTTTGCCAACAAAAGGGATGTTGTATGAGCGTCTAAACGAGTCAGATTGTGAAGCAATCGCCAGAAACCAAACAATCTCAGGTCGAGAGCAAAAGGAAAACGCCAATTTCGGGTTAGATTTAGAGGTTGTGCTTTCTGATAACGCCACCATGACAGAACCATTAGTAGAACAGTTATTGGATGCAATTCAAGAGAAGATTCTTCCTTCTTTGGCAGGCTGCTCCATCATCGTGGACAGGTTCTTGGAGGATTGGCGTTTTGTGATTTTCGATGCTTTTGTGAAAGGCAGTGTGCAACCTGAAGAAACATGCTATGATGCAGAATTGCAAGGCCAAAACTGCCATCGGGTCTATGCGGAGCTGGCTCTTTTTCTGAAAGGCAAAGTTAGGTTCCTAGACATCATTCGTTTGATAAGTGATGAGAAGGATAATTTCTCGAATGATTTGGGACTATCCGATCAGTTTCTGTTTGTGAATTTGTTTCGGGCCGAGGGGCTGACACCTACCGTTCCCCCCACAATGTTACCAAGCAATACACCGAGTTTGACTCCTAGTCAGGCTCCAACAGGAAAACCAACTCCGACCCCGACATCTGTTGCGTCGAAAGCTCCGACAATTTTCCCTACAGGGGAGGGTTCAAGATCTCCAACTCTGGTACCGAGTTTGGAACCATCACTGATGCCTAGTACAGGGAGTCCATCTTGGAATCCCTCTTTGCAACCAACAGAAGTACCGACGGAGAGCCCGAGTGCGGAGCCAAGTTCCGTTTTCTCAAGGTCGCCAACTTTGCTTCCAACGAGAGATCCAAGTGGAAGACCGACTATGAATCCATCAACGGCACCAACGGCAAGACCAAGTAAACCTCCAACGATGGCACCAAGTCCACAACCGAGTGCAGTACCTACGTCTGTTCCAAGTGCACCGCCCACTGCTTCTCTAGTTCCTTCCGTGAAGCCATCGTCTATACCTAGTTTGATTCCAAGTTTAGAGCCCTCAAGATTGCCATCCAGTGCTCCAAGTTCCCAGCCTTCAGTGGCAACTTTTTTCTGGGCTCCCTGTGGTCGTGTGGGACGCTGTTCTCCAGCTAGTAGTGTCCAGAACTCGAACTATATTAGGTTCAATGGAACCCCAGCAGGGAGACAGATAGGTATTCGCTGTTGCTCGGACATTGCGCTGCCGCGGTTTAGGCAAAATGGTGCCACTTGTCCATACGCCGATTCGGAAATTGATGGAGTATGTTACGACAGTGTGACATGGTTCGAAGCGGTGACGTTGTGTTCAAGCATTGGAGCACGTTTGTGTACCAAAACAGAATTGGAAGATAACTGTACGAGAGGAACAGGCTGTAATCACGACAATAGATACTCTTGGTCTAGTACCCCAGGTCCTTGAGAAAATTTGTGATGGGTGCGTGATCACGGACAAACCTGTGCATTCCACTTTCCTACCAGGCATTTTTGCTCTTCTTTCACACTCAACACACGACCTATTCTAAAGAGCTTGTCAACCTGAATCCGCATTTCGTATTCATGTCTTCAAGTTAGAAGATACTAAACCTACAGGAAAAGGACACGGCATATAAAACATATTTTAAATTAGTTGGATTTTTGACACGTACGAGTACACCAGTACCCAAAAATTTGAACCATGTCACAGCACTGTCGTACATGCCTGTTTGTGGGCGCAATCATGGACAAGGTCGAGTGATGTGATGGTGGGAGAAGAACACTGATTGATTGATGCGTTTGCTTTTACCGGTATATGGAAAGGGTTTTGATTTATGATTCAGAAGTGTCCATTCACAATGCCATCCTTTCCACGAAACCTTTGTCTTGTAATACTGTTACATCTACAGCTTGCAAATTCTGCGCGACCCTCCGAGGCTTTCTCCCTCCACTCTTCCATTGCAAGGTCGCCCCGAATATCACATCCTTCGTTTCCTCGAGGGGGTGGAAATGGTCCTTCTGTACCTAGTGCCTCGTCGGCCAGTGGTGACAATGTCGGAGCAAAGCTCGAACCAATTGGAAAAGCCTTGGTTGAATTGGCAGTTGCCACTTGGACTTTTACCAAATATCTCTTTGATCATCAAATACGAGATCCCAAAACACACATTGTCGAACCCCTACAGCAGAGACTGAACAAAGTTTTAGGCGAAAAGAAGAATGAGGATGCTGTTGCTGATATAACCACTGAGGAAGACACTATAGACAAATCCTTCTTGAAAGGACACCGAGTCGTACGGTTATCTCTTGTGGCATGGATTTTATCGGAAGCATTAGATCTCATGGGAATCTTGCACGAAGACACACCTCGCTTGTTGAAATCCCAAGTGGATCGAGTTTGGTACGACGTTCAACCTAAACTTATGGATGCGTTGAACCTCATTCATGAATGGTGGAGTAGGGCCATGACCACGGAGAACTTTGAAAGCATTCCTTCTAAATACAATTTTGCGTTGGGAACCAGTATTGGTATGATTGTGGCACCATTATTGTCGGCAGTCATGGGAACGATTGCTAGACCACTCATTTTGGTTTATTCCTTGGCAGAAGGCAATGCGTTTCTTCAACGACGGGGACAACGTGGACTAGTCGACCTCTTGGACACCATTCATAGTGGCATTGGTCATGGGTTTGGAAGAGTTTTGGAACGGTTTCGTAGAATAGTTCGATCGGCCATGCCCCAACCAGTACCCATTGACGGTGCTCTCATTTTGACAACTGGGGGATCCCGCTTTGATAGTATTAGGGGAACTTTGGTCCAACAACGGCACTACCGACGATCCTATCTGTTTCCGTGGAGAAAAGTGCAAATTTCCAAAGCGCTAGTTAATTCAAACCAAGATGGAAAAGGGCCAATTCATCCAATGGTGGCCATGATTCGACACGGTTTTGTGGTGGGAAGTGCCATTGGATTCTTTCTGCGAACATGAAGAAGGAAACTCGACTCATACCATACAATCATTTCCGGCAGAGGTGCATCGATGGACCAATCGCTACCGTACGCGATGTCCCTTCCACATGAATTCCACAAAGCAATATTACTCGTCGCTAGTTCCGCCAATACAGTCTGATTCTTCGAACCATCACACCGACTTGACAAATCAAATATCAAACGAGGTGGTAGTGCAAAAGTGACAGCTTCAGTATGTTCATGTTTACCATCACCAACAACACAAATGCACAAGTATTTTTGAAACGAACTCAACAGCAATGATAGTCAAAGTTATTGTTAACTTCCTCCTACCGTTTCAAGGAGGCTAATCGTTCATAATTTTCTTTCCCAATGACTTCCATAAACTTTTGCACTGCGTCGGCTTGGGATGTTATCGATGCCATGGCTCCGGATGCTTGCAAATGAAGTGAGGCGACTCGGTAGAGGGTTTGCAGGGCTTGCTGCTGTTCCTCCGAATTATCTTCTGCAAGGCCTGCTGCGTGGCGAAAATGTTGAATTGCTTGTTCATATTCCTTCTTGGTGGCATAGGCACATCCCAAACTATATCGGGGTGCAAATCGGTCCGGGCGATATTCAATGGCCTTGATATAGTATTCAATTTCTTCTTCCATACCCTCACTCATGACACCCAAGTTACAATAGGCCTTGCACAAGGCTGTATCAGAGGCTCCAGGAGTTTCAACAATACGGTGATACCACTTGGCTTCGGCGTCTGCATCTTTTTGGACCGCGTAGACTTCGGCCAAGGCTTCCATGGCATCCACATCACTGTCATCGGATTCCAAGGCCAAAAGCATGCAAGTTTTGACCTTTTCATAGTCTTTATTCTCCAGATAATTGGCTCCTAGACTATAGGCGATTTCTCCGCTTTGTGGATTGACTTCTTTCAAACAGTATTCCAATACTTCTCGAGCCTTTTTTCTCTCTCCCGATTTCGTCAGAACGTCGGCAAGATTCGAATAACTACCATCAAAGTCGGGGTTCAAGGCAATGGCAGCCTCAAAGGCTTGTTTGGACTTCTCTACGTCGCCCTTACTAAAGTATTCACTACCCAAACCAAGGAGCATCCGGACGTATTCCACCTTGCTGTTAGACATGCAAAATCCACCAATAATGTATCGAGTACCTTCCTTGATGGCGTGGCCACAATGTTTGACACCACCTGGTCGGACCGTACATTGGCCAATATTCATTTCAATGACTTCCGTATCTCCCTCGAGACCCTCGAACCAAGTGCCACCGCCTTGGTACTCGTCGTTCTTATTCAACGAAATGGTAAACGAGAGGCATCCCGAATCCGTGTGAACATCGGTGCGTCGTCCCGTTTCGGGAGTGTACTTGAACACATAGGCATTATCCACACACAAATCGGTCATATCCGGCACAAAATGGGGAAATTTTTTGACCAGCAAGGGAAAAAGTCGTTCTTGCAACATTTTGTTGAACCATTCATGGACGGAAGGGACATCTCGAATCCAAAATCCAGCGACATCGTACTGTCCAGACGGCAAACGACTCCATGGTTGATCCCCAAAATGAGATTCCGCTTTCGCCACTACATCTTGGCATTCTTGTTCCGAGAATAGAGGTGTTTCTTCATTCGTGACGAACAATCGTCGTTCCAATTCGGTGTCAAAATCCGGGATCTTGCCATTGGCATGGACTTCATATTCATCCAGGATTTGGGATTCGAGTGACTTCTCGGATTCCTTCTTGGACAATTCGGTAGCAGGTCCATGAAAGTAGGAAGCCCGTGCTTTTTGAATGGCTTCATGGTGTCGCTGGCGAGCTTGGTTCATCAAGTCACTGAGGAGTTCTCGATCATTTTGTACCGTCAACCATCCTGGCAATTTGGAAGACAGTGAAACACTGGGTCGTACTGTATCCGCCGATGCTGAGACATACAAAGTACTGCTCACAGCTATGAGAATCAGCAACAATAACTTGGAGTGGATCACCATGAGTGACTTCTTTGAATAAAAAAGATTGCAACAAACGTTTGAAACGCTTGTGTCCAACTTGAAAATCTCTGGGTTTGTTGAAGTTCGATAGCTCGTGACTCGATTTCGTCACTTCTCATTCGTTCTCATTTGCTTGACGCTTTGATCATTGACGTCTTGCGTCTTGCACCGCCGACCAGCTCGTCATGATTGAAGCTCGTGACTGTTTTTCATCTCTAAATTGACATTCCAATCACGAATCTTATCATCGCGCCCAACTGGTCTTTGCACATGAAACAATCGGACACTCAAGTCGGAACTTTTAGCGGAAGTTTCCGTTTCTAGTCCTGTTCACATGTTGCGATCTCGCTGAAACGGTCTTGCAGGAAGGAGTATGAAACACAACTCCCACCGTTCGTAGGTTCAATCTCGTACACGTACAGTACAATTCAAACTCACAAAACAAATAACACACACATACAAACCCGGGACTTTTCGGTAACGATATTCTCCGAAAACCCAACCCGAATCATCCATCCATCCTTCATTTTTCACAGAACAAAAACATGGCCATGAGATTATCTTCGGCAGGAACTCGACGATCCTCTCAATCTTCTTCCACATCACTGCGGTTTCTCAGTAGTAGTCCTACAACGAAATCAAGAAGACATTTCATGGAGGAAGATGATTCTGTGAGCGAAAACTCCCATCCCAGTTTGCAATTGACGATTCCTCACATAAAGAATCATCATCATTCAAACAACAAGGCTCCCATGCCTTCCTTTCCACAGAACAAAAGTCGAAGTAGACGGTCCTCCAGTCCAGCCACCATTAGTACTACTACTGCCAAAAGCGTGCAAGATGACGAGGCTGCCATGTTGCAGTATTTGAATAGAGAACAGCGACGTCGGCGCAGAAATCCCAACGAGCCAGAAACCTGGTCGGTCAAATTGCCAGCGTATCACCATTCCATGCAACAGCAGCAGCAGCCTACAACCACTACTACGACAAAGTCCAAATCACGAAAGTCGTCCTTTCCTCCACGCAATTCCATGTTTCGCGGAAATGCCTCGGGAATCTCACCGGCTGCCTTGAGTTCCTTTGGTTCCGTGGAGGAGGATGAAGCGTATTTGGCCGAGCGGCGAGAACCCTTTGACACCATTGACGAATCGAATCATGATGATCATCATCAAAAGCCAAAATGGAAAAAGTGGTTTTTGAATTGAAAAGCGTGTTTGACTGGAATATGATGAGCGTGTTTATTATTTTACATGCATTGCATTGCTCACAAATACAAGCAGGACGATACATTTGCGCTCGGTTTCAATTCGATCTACTACGAGAGCTTTGGTTTGAAAGCTTACTTACTTATACCCAATAGCTACTGTCACTATAATAACAGTGTATTCTAGGATGAATATTTCATATCACAAAAAATGTATCCAGCTACAAGATAGGACTAGGATGTACCGTATTCTACAATGGTACTATTTTATTGGCAGTACTTCTAGTATCGTTATTTCAAGTCAAGAATGAAAAGGCGGCTTCTACTAGCACATCTCCGACTAGTTACCACTCCATTATTACAAACCAGACAGGACCGGTTCATTCAGTCGTTTCGGTAGTCGTTGTCCAGTCGTTATTCCGCACCGGGACTTGCGCATTTCAAACCAAGCAACCTTCGTTCGAAATTTTCACTGCAAAATTCCGCAAGTCCTTTTTCGATTCCCACGCGACAAAAATCACGGCGCCGCCTCGCTCTTGGGTGACAAAACATTTATGGAAGATTTAAATCGTGCTGGGATTTTCGCGAGAAGCACGCGCGCACCCAAGATTGTCTCCTTACGAATTCGTTTGGTACGTAGATTGCCGTAGGAAAGATTTGCCACCGAGTCTGACTGACTCCACTTCGTACTGGTAGTAATTTTAGGCAGAGAACAAAGAAGCAACATCTATCTATCATTACCAAATCGGGAGTGCAAGACGGCTTACCCACCAAAGATTCTTCTTTCCCCAAACCTGGTTGATTGATTGATTGATTGACTGATTCATTGATTATTTCATTCAATTCATTCATTCATTCACCTGTAAATATCATTAGCGGTTGCGTTGCTAGTTTGTACTTGTAGCAAGTAGACAGGACACTCCAAAACAAATTACAGCCAAAAAGAAGAAAAATTCAAACGAAATAAAAATTTTGGCAATGAGTAATTACATGGGTGGACAATACAACGGGGGGCACAAAGTGCCAACCTTTGCTCCGAATAGTGAAACTGAATCACTAGGCTCTGGCTCTGATTTTGGTTTGGCCATGCCGCAGGGATATCAAGTCAAGACATCTCCCAATCGTCCAACCAATCAAGCTGATCAAAGACTTCTCATGCTGGCCAAGCATCCGAATGCCACTAGTGGCGACATTGAAAGTGCTATGCAACAGCAGCAACAGAAGCAAATGTTGCGAAAACAGCAGCAGCAGCAATTGCAACAACAGCAACAACTTCAACAGCAACCGCAATTACAGCAGCAGCAACAATTTCAACAGCCCCAGAGGCCACAGCAGCAACAGGTATCCTTTCAAACGGTACCTCCACAGCCAACGCCGGTGAGGCATACCCCTATTAGTCCTCCTCCTCAGTCGCAAGTTCAACAAGGGGGATTTACAGAACCATGGGAAGAAGCACCAGCACCCAAAAAGTCTGTAATTGGAAAGTTTGTCTCGAAAATCAAGCCGGATGGTCCCAAAGATGACGAGTCGAGGGACAATAGTTATGCCAACAATACATATTCCAGTGAAAAGACCCGCAAGGTTTCCAATATCGATGAAAAGGCCAGAGCGAAACGACTGAAAGAAGAGGCCAAGAAACAAAAGAAACAAGAAGCGGCCACTGATGGATCTCGTCCTTGTTGCTATTGCCTCTACAAGACCAAGACTGGTCTGTTTATATCATTTATCATTATTGCCATTCTATTGGCTGCAATCTTGACCATGGCCTTAGGATATGGAGATGAACTCTTTCAAAAGGACGCCGAGATTCAAGAAGACTTTGACAATGTGGACGAAGTCGAGACGTGGATTCCCCGACCCATTGATAGCGTTGCGGATACTGCCTTTCCATCTCTTTCTCCTACAGTCGACGACTCGGACAATGGAAATTCAGGCATTATTCCCACGGATGCCCCAGTCCCCACGCCGCCACCGACGACCAAGGAACCCACCACGGAACCATCGACCAACCCAACATTTGCCCCAGTAGTTGGTCCAACTCCCCGACCTACTCCCAACCCCACTCGAGTGCCCACTCGCAATCCAACTCGGGCTCCTACCAAGGTACCCACCACCCAACCTTCCAAAGTCCCGACTAGTGCTCCAACGAAAAGGCCAACACAGTCACCCACAAGGACACCATCAACGAGTCCAACGACTAGTCCCCCTACTAGCCGGCCAACCGAATTGCCGTCCTCATCTCCCACTTTGATTCTTCGTGATTTGGCGCCACTGGGTTCCCCTCTTGTCGGAACTGCCAGTGGACAACGATTTGGATATTCCGTGTCATTGTCCGAAGATGGCAATGTCATGGCAGTCGGGATTCCCTTTGCGACTGCTTTGGGTGCCACACAAGCTGGAATGGTTCAAGTCTACGAATGGACTGCCAATCGATGGAATGTTCGTGGTCCAGTCCTCACGGGCCGTAACACGGAAGACAAATTTGGTAGTGCCATTACCATGAGTGAAGATGGAAGCTTACTGGTAGTCTCGGAACCCAACTTTGAAGGCAGTGCTGGGACCAATGCTGGCAATGTCCGAACCTTTCGCTACAATAGCATCTCCAAGAATTATCTTCCGATTGGAAGAGAACTCGAGGGACTTGCTGCGGCGGATCGCTTTGGCATTTCCGTCAGCATGAACAAGAGCGGCACTCGATTAGTGGTTGGTGCTCCATATCACGACAATAGTGTCGACGATCGACGTTTGGTTTCGGGAGAAGTGCAAACATATGCATTGGTCAATGAAACTTGGGAACCCATCGCCTCACCATTGGGGGGAGAAGCCCATTTTGATTGGTTTGGCTGGAAGGTCGATCTGAACGATGACGGAGATCTTTTATGCGTCGGAGCACCACGCAACCTTGAATTTGGTGGATACGTCACGTGCTATGAATTTGCTAGTGGTAGCTGGAACCGATTGGGCAATGTGATACGGAACTTTACGCCTACACGTTACGATGACAATTTTGGACACTCTCTTCGTGTCAATGGAAATCGTGTGGCTATTGGAGTACCTGGACGAAATCACGATATCCGTACTCAAGATTCTGGATTGGTTGTCGTCTACGAATACGACTCGGCGACGAGGTCATGGAAGCGTTTGGGAGATACAGTCAAGTTTTCGGATCCTAGCCGTAGTGACCAAATGGGATTCTCAGTTGATCTGGAAGGCAATACCCTTGCTGTGGGCTCTCCAGGAAGAAATTCCCGTGGTCAAGTGGATTTGTACTACTACAACCCGGCCACGAATGAGTGGGAAGCCAATCCAAGTCCTCTAGCGGGAAGCGGTGGTTCCACATTCGGATTCTCTGTGGCCATGACGAGGTACCTGGCTGTTGGCAGTGCTGCCAGCAACGGACAAAACACCGGACAAGTCAATGTCTACCGACAGATCTAGGCAAATGAACAAATGAATGATGATTGATAAAATAATTCTGTACGACTAAAGTAAAAAAGACACAGAGTATCTTGCAATTGATTACTTTCGGACTCACAAGTAGTAGATTGATACACTCAAAGCTTCAGCAATGTTGATTTTTTTTAGGAGAGTATTTCTCATTCCATCAAAGACTGCTACATGTAGCTGTCATGTCGATTCCAAACTGCCGAGGTTAAGTTTCGAATCATCGTTCGAGTAGTCAGTAGGAACTACAGCAGTGTACTGTTTTCACGCGATAATTTTACTTCGTACAGTATTTTAAAATACCACGGTACCTGGTAAAGTACAGTACCGTGTAGAGGTAGGTACCTGGTACGAAGAACGGATTCAAATTTATTGTGCTCTGACATTTTCTGTCCCGCGAATTTCGGAACCCAAAAATCACGAACCAGCTGGTAAACATCACACCAACGAAGCATCAATTCAATCACAGATAAACATCATAAAAAACAGTAAAAACAAACCAGAAGCAATAAAGCAATTCAGAAACTTTAAATTTGCTGTCAAAAAAAGACAACGGATTCCAACATGCAAGAAAGACTAGAAGAAGAAGTGGATGTGAACGCCACTCCAAAACGTAGAGATCGTCTATTCACGAGGCTTTCCAAGGGATTTACCCATTCCAGTCAAGTCGTACCGTCCTATGGAGAGTTTCGTCTAGGACATGGAGACCCTCTCATGAAAGCAACACTCGAATATGAACGTATGCAGGCAACTGGAAATGCTAATATGACTCCCAGGATCTCACACACGAAGAAGCTAACAGAGAGGACCTTTGATGTATATGTTGACAAAGAGGTTCACTTGAAGCAGCATGGATCCCCACTTGGTGGAGTTGGAATCAGTGACGTAGTTCATTTCGACGACACTACGGCGCTAGCAATCCCGTGCATTCCTCTATTTGATCAATCGATGATTGAAGAAAGCAAAGAGTAACTTTTGCGATGTCATTGATGTTTGGGCGAAATCTATAGTGTAAACTCACAACTGTATAATAGGTATCTCGATATTTTTAAAGAACAATATGGTACCTGCTGTTGCGGTGATTGCTATCGTTTAGCTAATCTTTTGTCGCCTCCAAAGCGGTTGGAGGCTCGTCAATCGCGCAAACTGCTGTGCCCTTGGAAAAAGAATAATTCGACCAAGTCATAGATGAGCCTACGCACCATAGATGCTTTTGGAACGAAGCATAGCTACATCAATGGTATGACACCTCTTCATATTTCTTGAATAAGCGCCGAGGCGTCCCAACCTTTCGATGATGAGTAGACCTTTACAAACAGAAATGAATAGATCAACACTGTGTAAAAGATGTTGCTGCGGCATGTGATCGGTTGTCGCTTTGGGATTTGTCTCGAAAATGGTTCGAAAGTTGGAAAAGTTTGAGGTTTTTATTTATATTGCCTGTGACGAAAAATGCACCATTTGACTCTTTCGACTATTATTCTTGAGTGAGTAATGAGTGGGTGATTGTTTTCAAACCTCTAGTAACAGATTGGTACAACTCGCTACTGTAAGCTCTACAAATAATTGTGCTAGAATGATCATCATTTGCATTTCATTTCAATCCACAACAATAATGCCATGCCCCCACCCCCATGAAATTGATCAAAAGAGTCGTCACACTATTCGTCCCTAGAAAGCGCATTTTGGATACAGTGACCGATGTTTGCCAGGTTTGCTACATCAGTAACTTTATATACCTGCCTTGCCAATACCACTCTTGCGAGTGAAGTGAGTAGGACCACCAATGATGTCGCTCATGATTTACGGCGTCACGTCTGAAATTTATCATCATTAGGTATGTACTAACACGATTGGTATTTCTTTCATGGGCCTTTTTTGTGCCTGGTCTCTGTAACATTGTTACTGCTTCTGGCAGCCATGGGGAGGAATCCTATTGCATTGAAGAGTTGATGGCGCGTAGTCCTTTTGTCTTTGCAGTTATAGCGCTGAAACAAAATCATTACTGTAGTTTACTCATGACCAAGTGGTGCAGGATTTGAGACGTATCGGACAGGCGGCAGACAAGGGGAAGACACGCTTTTGTAATTCGCATCACCAGCGCAGACAGACAGACGGCAGACAAATCAATCAGACTTCCGCGATTTCACTCTCCGCGTGGTTATCAAGTGGATTTGTTACCACTACAATTGGCCACGAATGACTGGGAAGCTAATCCTCTGGCGGGCAGCAGTGGGTCCACATTCGGATTCTATGTGGCCATGATGAGGTGCCTGGCTGTGGGCAGTGCTGTCAGCAACGTGCAAAACATCGGACAACTCAACGTCTACTGACAGATCTAGGCAAATGAATGAATGAATGATGGGTGACAAAATATTTCTGTGCGACTAAAGTAAAAAAGACACACAAGAGTATCTTGCAATGGATTATTCGTATCGCAAGAGTAGGTTGGTATACTCAAAGCCGCTTCAACAATGTCGATTCAGAGAGGATTTCTCATTATATCGAAGACCGCTACTGTGATGTTGATTCCAAGACTGCGGAGGTTTAAGTTATCAACGCCTTTCAGGTCAGAAGGATACTATTATTACTCTTACGAATGAATGCAATTCTATGTACCTCGATGGAAATATGCAACACATTTTTCGGTCCCACAACCCTAAAAATCACGAACCAACTTGTTTTCGACCAGAAACATCGCACCAAGGAATCATCATCAATCACTCACAAAAAACATCAAAACCAAAACAAACCAGAAACTTTAAATTTTACTGCTTACTGCCCACAACATATTAAAACACAATGAATTCCAACATGCAAGAGAGACGCGAAGAGCGAGGAGTGAGTGTGAACGGCACTCCCACGCGTGAAGATCGTCAATTCACGAGGCTTTCCAAGGGATACGCTCACGCCAGTCAAGTCGTACCGTCCTATGGAGAGGTTTGTCTAGGACATGGAGACCCTCTCATGAAAGCAGCAGTCGAACATGAACGTGTAGAGGCAACTAGAAATGCTAACATGTCCCCCAAGAACTCACACAAGAAAAAGCTATCACAGAGGACCTTTGATGTCTATGCTGACAAAGAAGTTCACCTTGAGGAGCATGGATCACCAGTTGCTGGACTTGGAATCAACGATGTAGTTCATATCGACAAGGACACGGCACTAGAAATCCCCTGCCTTCCTCACACCGATTGAAGAAACAATGAATAACGTTTGGGATGCACACTGAATTTTTAGGCGAATCTATAGTGTAAATTCAAAACTGTATTAAGCATTTTCATATTTGACAACATGATTCCTGGTATGGTGGTGGTTGCTATCATTTGCCTAGTCTCGTGCCGCCTCCAAAGCGCTCGGTCAATCGCACAAGCTACGGTGCCCGTTGCAAAAGGATAAGTCGACCAAGTCATAGATGAGTCAGTGCAACATGGATGCTTCTGAAAAGAAGCATACATCAATATGTGATGTCTCTTGAGTTATAAAATAGATGACTTTCAATCTTTGGATGATGATTGGACCATGTCCATCAGAAATGAATACAGTAACACCGCAAACAGAGATGAATCAAATCGATCGAGTATTCCTCCGTGACCAGGAAGGATGGAACCAGAATCTTTTCTCTGTGATTGTCGCTTGATGGAAGATTCGACCAAGTCTCCGAATATGGCCATGAGTGACATTGCCAAACCAAGTGCAAATCGTTGCGACAGACTCGTACTCCACAAAACATCAAATGATTCATTGGTGTCAATTTCAAACCAGGAAACTAGACGTGGAATCCAAGAAACAGCAGTCCACGTTCCACCTGCAAGGCCACCAATGAAACCCTCCATAGATTTGGCTGGTGATATCTTGTGAATCCACCGAGGGACTGGAATTCTCGGCATACCAATCTTGGAGGCCAGTCGACCAACAAGCAAGGCTCCAGAGTCGCAGTTCCACACCACCAATAATATTGATATCGTACTTGCAAAATCTTGTGAAATAGAATACCAAGTGCGGAATGGAATGGTGATGAGCACAAGTCCCAGTATCCAATGGCGACGTTCCAACCATGTGAGCACCCCAACAGTGGCACAAAGCACCATTTGAAAGAGAGAGTCGACAGGCACCATTGCAACACTCAATGACATTATACAAAATGAAAGCTTTGAGTTCATGGTTGGAAGTGTCTCTGGCTTGTCCTGCTTTGGTTCCAGAAAGCTGAACTCCCATCCAACAAGACCGTGGACACAGACAAAGAAGATTAAGGCGAGCTTTTCATTGGACAGAATCTTCCAGATTATGGGAAAACCAATACAGATTGTCGCTATCCGACGAGGCAGATCCGACCATATGGAGTTCTTGGTTGTAGTTGGTGTCATTTGCGGGATGTACTGTAAAAGGTGCTAAACTTGTGTTATGTATGTGGTGACTTCTGACTGCGGCTGTTTGACGTTGTTACATGTCAAGTATGTTTTAGTTACCATAAAGTCGACTCATTTATTCGAATATTCATTATGACGCGACCACTAGGGGTCGACCCATTCGACTTGATCGCAACAAACGTTTAATGGCCGTTAACTCATTAAAATCGCTCAATATTGCAAAATCGCTGAAATATTTGTTGCAATCACCAAGCAAGATAATAATCATTGAAGAAAAGGTACAATGGGGAACGCGAATTCCACCTTTGATGATGCCGGATTCCCGGGGTCTTCTATCCTCGAGAGTCTAAACCCATGCGGTGACCTCTCGAATACTGAGCTTTCACCCAAGGGAGAGAACAGAGCAGTCCTAGACGAAAAGCTTTTCGACGAGAGTGAATACCAAGGCTTTGCCAAGAACGTTGAAGAGCGAGATGAAAGCCCAACGCTTGGACCACAATCACAACCCAAACGCGCTTCCGTGATGTTTGCCAAAGCTTTAGTGAACGAAGTTACCAATAACCCAAATACGATGCGCCCTGCCGACATGGCCGAGCGTGAACGAAGACTCATGAAGGCACAACTGAAAGCCAACAAGAGAAGTGTGAATGGAGATTCCTCCAAGATTGTTGGAATCCCAGGAGGAGTTGGACAACCTAGTATCTTTGGCAGCATTGCGCATGCGCTGACAGGAGATGCTGATCCGCTTCCAAACATTGCCGAAACACGAGCAAGTCTTTTCCCTCCCAACAGCACCATGTCACAAAACAGAGCACAAATCGAAGACACTCTTCCAGAACCAATCCAAGGCGAGCATAGTATCACCATTGGACTGTGTCTGAGCAGACGTTCTAGTGTCGGTAATGAAGGCACCATTACAAGGCAGACTGCTTTTGATTTCAACGAGTTGCAAGATCGGGAGTACAACTATGTATCCAGTACTGACAGCAATGGCTGGAGAGCTGGAGGTGGAGAGCCTGGTGGCTCTCCTATGGTTTCTACAGCTGGAGAAGAAAGATCAATTTCAAGCGCATCGGGTGCAGCTTCCCACAAGGTGGCGGCTCCTGATGTTGTCCACATTCCCATCATTCAAATTGATGCCGAGTCTGCCGAAGCTATTGACCATATCATAGCAGTTTTGGCCAGCGGGGATATCTTCATCCCGCATATGTCAATTATACCTGAGGCATTGAGTGTTGAGGGTGTTTCTCCTCCAAATATTGTGGTCCGTTTCGGAACAGAGAGAAACGAAGATTTCCCACCTGACCAATGGTCCAACTGGTGCCTGGAATTCATGCACAATCAATTGTTCGAATACTTTCAAGACAAGGGGGCTGTCTGGGGAAAGCGACCATTTTCCATCACTCTTGCGAAAGAGGTTCGCTGGAAGACTGTCAAGCACATGAACAAATATTTTGCCCACGCGGAGAGGGTTATTGACGCATGGCGCGAAAAGGGACCGCAATTCTTGGATCCTCAACTTGCTTATGCAAACGACTCATCAACACCAGAAGAGGTTTCCCAACCCCATGGGATTTACCTCTTCCGTAAGGGCATTCCAACCAATTATTTTGCTCCTAACTTCGCTCCTCCTTACACCACGAATATGACACGGAACCTCTTACTGAACGTCTTGAACAAATCTTGGGACGCAAAGCGAAGAGAATGGACATCACAGCCAAACCCAAGAATTGTCACTCCTACCATGTTGTTCAGCGCCATGTTGGGTTGCAGTGATAACATGGCTGGTGGGTTCCTTGCTAACGAGGTCACGATCTCCTCAAATACTGCGAACTTGTCTATCCTACCAGATAGTTCGAGCATTCGTTCCGCCCGCTCAGCCGGTCGCAGCGCAACTGCCACCGCAAAAATCGCGGGGAGACCTCCTACTCCCAGAAAGAAGCAATCACCTTCGCCAAAGGTTGTTGTTGAAGAGCCTAGGGATGAAAAGTGTGTCATAGATTCGCTCGAAGCTGACTCAAGGCAACAAGTTGATGCACTTTTGTCGGAGGATGACTCAGTTCAAGAAAAAACGGAAGACGAGACTCCTTCGGAATATACCAGTTTCAACGATGAGCTTGATCTCATGGTTATTGGTGGCATAGCAAACGCAACGAAGAAATCACTTGACGAGATCCTCATGGATTCCCCAACTGGAAATGCTGTTTCAATTGCTCCCGTACAAATGCACCGTCAACTATCCCATAACACGGATGCAACAGACAAACAAACAAACCTTTCGTCAATTCAACAAGAATTAATGCAAGCTCTGAATGACCAAGAGAAGGCCAATGACAACGAGGAAGCTCTGAATGACCAAGGGAAAGCAAATGACAACGCGGAAAACGCTGGTCCACAGCTTGTCTCCGATGATGATTGGTTTGATGATATGGTAAGTACAGAGCACTCGCGTTCAATTTTTCATTCATTCCAATCCGATTTTGCTCATTTGTTCATTTTATTAATCCAACCTTGCATCGTAGGGTCACCCAATTCAGACACCAAGTGCTGCCCATGAAAGGCCTCCTATTGTCCTTACTGCCTCATCTGGAGCAGAGTCAGCAGCTTCCTATTCTATCGTCTTTGAAGATCAATCCGGGGACATGTCGGATTCAGCTCGAGTGGTAGAACGAACTGTTGTCGAGCAGCAGGTAGATAAAGTGCCTGGGGAGAAGATGTTGAAGATATTTAAGCCAACAATGCCAGTTTATGAGCAACAGAAGGCACCAACACCAATTGTTGACAGGGTAATGGTACCAGAATTCGAGATGAGACAAGACACAACGCAGGAACATGAAGAAACAAGCGGTAGAGATCCACCTTCAAGTGGCGAAAGGGACCAACATCCCACTGACAGAGAGAATTACTATCCGTTACATCAACTTTACGGAAAGCAGCAAATGGACCTACCACTGACTCCTGGTAGAAAGAACCACCCAGAAGTTCTTCGAAATAACTCTGCTGTTTCTGCCCTGTCGATGGAGTACTCCCTAGACTCGACAAATGTTGGTGACGGCAAGTCATTATACACGCACCAGAGTAGCTTGTTGGGTCAGCATCTTTCTGAACCAACGCGACCAGTCCATATTCAGACAAAGTCTTTATTGACTACTGTCACAAAAGAAGCTCGGTCGGAGGAGGTTGTCCCAACTGACTCGGAGGATTCCACGGAAATTGTCCCTTCAGATGAGGAGTTGTTCAATGTTGGATGGGCGAAGGCGCTGGATCCAAATAGCGGTAGCTACTATTTTTTCACACTTGATAGGAGCAAGATTGTGTGGGAGAATCCACTGGCATCTGGAACTCTTCATACCCGTCCAAGTATGGACACGGCGGGGTCATCAATACTTATTTGAGAATCGCACCTTCCTATTTAGATTGCTTGATAGAAATTTAATTTAAAGTAAACGTCTATGTTTTGCCGTTTGAAATCGAATGAACGTTGCTTTGCACCTTCCTATTGTGATTGGTAGAATTTGAAAGTAAATATCTATGTTCTGCCTGCCTTTGAAATCGAATTCAAGTCGCTCATATCATGGAGTGTGACAAAAATTGTCAGTAACAATTGTTAGTCTCTAAAATAAAAGTCTATGTTCATCATTTCCTGTTTCTATGTATGCCCCTTTGCCCGTTTGCGCCCCTCTATGTGTATGCCCCAGTCCTCAAGGGAAATGATGTTATCAAACAATATTGATGGAACGGCTCCACGATTAGCCGTGAATGTCCTTTTGTGCCCCGCTATGTATATCCTCCAATCCCAAGGAATACGATACATCAAACAATATTGATGGAACGGCTCCAAGATGAGCCGTGTGTGTCCGGAGTCTTTCTTTAGTTAAGCGATTAACCATTGCGCACCGATGTGGGCCACGAATGCCCACCGATACCGATACTCCTGAATTTCAGCAGTTTTTGCCTGATGATCATCACATTACCCCAACTAGTGATGCCCAGGAACTTTCAACGTAATTCTTTTGTCTATCCCAAAACGAGTTGAAATCAGATTGCATTTCATCGAACACTTCTTGCGGGATAAAAGTTTCCTCCGGAAAGAAACTACAGCCCGTGTTTGAGCTTCGACGAACCGGCGGCTTCTGCAGCCTGGCAATTTTCGGTTGTTCGAGCAGGGAACGGCGATAGTTCCTTGGATCTTCGGAACGAGCAGCTTGTTTCTGCAACCTGACAGTTTCAGGTTGGTCTTGACGCATCCCATGATTCTGTTTTGATTCTTGAGAACTAGATTTTGATTCAGGATCTCTTCGCCTTCTTCCCTTTGGTTCTTTTACGCCGGCTCTAAAACCAGGAGGCTCTAGTTTCTTCGCGTTAACGCCAGGACTCTCCCTTATACCGCCCTCAGACGGGTCGATGCCTCTTCGCCTGCTCATTTGAGGGCCTCGAGAATCCACCAATCCTTCACTACATGGAGTAGACGGCTTCTCGGATTGACCATTTTGTTGAACTAGGGGAGGATCGAGCTTAGGCTTCATACTGGCATCCTCGTCCAAGTCATACGAGTCACCTTCTATCTGTTCTATTATTTCGTCTTCTTCGCTAGTTGGACATGAGGCTTGAGACTCTTGCAATCGCCAACTTCCAATGTCTTGCACCATTCCATGCTCATGTTTCAATGGGAAAGGCGCTTTAAGGCCATCATTTTCTGGACCAACGAGCTTTGCTTCCACGTTTCGCGTTGAGTGGACCTCGATCTTAGAATACTTGGGTGGGATGAGCTTAGCGCTCCGCGTTGATTCAGCCTCAAACCTAGGATACTTTGGTGGAATAAGCTTAGCGTATGCAACAGGTAATGGATGTGTAGGTGGAAATGCATTGGAGCTTTTCAGAACCGGTTGATTCTTTGGGGGGGCATCCTCATCAATCGGAAATTCCTCCTCTTCTACAAAGTCAGGAGGCACTGAAATATCTTCCCCAAAAAGAGTTGCGTTGTCGTCGACGATGGACAGGCTAGTCTTTATGTTGTCATTGACAATGGACAATTTAGTCTGTATGCTGTCATCGACGATAGACAATTCAGTTAGCGCATTTTCATCGGTGACAGGCAAACTAAAACTAGTCTGCAAATCGTCGTCGGCAACCGGCATAACTGTCAACAACGTAAGATCTTCAAAAGGCGTCTTGTCTGGGGAATCCGGATCAGCATTGATAGTAACCTTATCCGTGAAATAATGAATTACTTGCTTGGTAGCAGAGATCAATTCTTCGAACGGCTCTTCTCCGATACTTGGTACAAAATCGGAGGACGACGTTGCATTGGCATGATCCTGAAATCTTCTAGCTGGTTCCTTCATGACTGGACTCTGAACTCCATCCCTTTCATCTATTGCTGTATCTTCTGAATCGGAAATGTCTCCATATGAAACAATATTGACCCCTTGTTTCGGTTTTGTCTTTCGAAAGACGCTTATCTTGGACTTCTTGCGAGAGTTTCTATTGCAAGGTTCTCCTACTTTGTGACTTTGGAACTCAAGAATTGGGATGTAATCGAAGAAAGGCACAGCATCAGAATAAGTTTCATCTCGTGCAGGATGTTCTAGAATTTTCGAGCTCGGAACCTCATCCCCATCATCTCCGACTGGGTCTTCCAAATCGGGTATGTCGCCATTAGAATCAATATTGATCTCTTGTTTCGGTTTTGTCTTTTGAAACAATCTCACATTAGACTTCTTGCGAGACTTTCTACGCGACTGCTTCCCGTTTGACTCAGCACTGCTCTGTGTCGTTTCGTCCGTCTCCATTGATTTTGAGCCTTTCACGAGTGGCTTGAGCACTGCTTTGACCCTTTGGCGTATTCGGTTTTTTGAGCTTTCATTGGAGAAGGCGGAAACTGACGTTATGCTTGACGGAACAATAGAAACTGTTTCCTTGACGTCTCGCTTTGTACTATGTGATATATCGTCTTGACTTGACCCTATTGCGTTGATTGAGTTTACTTGGACGCGGATCTGCATAGGGGAGGTTAGCAGAGGTTTTGGTCTATTGACCTCGACAGCCACAATTTTTAGCTTCCCTATCGTTCGCTGCATGAGTCTAACCGCCTCCGTAGGCGATGATGGACATTGATAGCCATTAATTGTGATGATCTTCATTCCTGGCTTCAAGTCTGTACCCGCAAACTTGCTATGCCCCTTTATCTGCCAGATGAAGATGTCATCACTCGAATCCCTTGGTTTGTGAAGGACAATTCCAATCTTCTCATCTATACTTTGCCGAACAATCTTTCCTACAAACCCTTCTGCGGTCACTGTTATTCTTCCCTTTTTGGTTTTGTGAAGAATACTGTCAGCTTTCTTAGGACTCATCCAGGTAACATCTTCATCATTGATTTTCAAAACAACCAATCCCTCTACGAGAGGCGTCTCATCGAAGAGACCGCCTTCAGATATCTTACTAATGATCAGCGGCGAAGACTCATCCTGCTGAGAAAATTTTAAGCCCAGCTTGCTTCGCCTGAAGCGTTTGTTGACTGCGACCTTCACCACCGTCATCTATCTCATTGCAACCGACTTTTTTGATGTGGTGTGTGTTTTTCCACCAACAAGGCTAATTGTTTTCTCAACAGTTGAGAATTATGATCGGCTGGCGTTCAGGCGATTACTGCCCTAAGGAATCGAAAGTCGGCGATGTCGCTGCGACAACTATTTAGAGTTTGCAGTTGTGGGAACCGTTGCAGTGAAACTCAACACCATATTTTCGATCTTTTTCAAATTTGGACTTCGCATTTTAGAACCCTTCGTAAGCTTTTCTACTGGACGAACGCAAAGAATGGTGCAGAAAAAACATCTCGGAGACGATGACGACGATGAGATGTCAGTGGAGATTTGTCTCGATACGCTAACCATCAAACGAGCACCACCGAGTCCTAAGGCCGGGCCAGAAACAAGAGAAAAGAGACGAGCGCCATCACCAAGACCAATGATAGTTCCACAACAACAAGGAAGGGTGATGGGATCCCCAGCTGCAGGGTATTCCATGAGGCAATTGCTAAATGAGCAAGCGCTCGGAATGTACAGTGATGACGAATCTGTCTATTTGAGCGACGATAATCAGGTATGTCGGTCATTGAGATTTGTTCCACTGCAGAAATCGCTCCTACACGAAATGATGGCTCACTATATTGTTTGCACGTGCACACCTTTCATTTAGTCTCAAATCCCTGTGTAGCTTTCAAAGCTAGGAATGCAAAATGTTGAATAAGGAGTTAAAAATTAGAGGATAAGAAGATTAATTATTATATAGAAAGACAAGGAAGTGCTTTATTTGAGTGCTTAGATAGATGTTTTTTCAACTAGTAGGATGGAAATTCTACACGGAGCCGACCACAATCTTCAATTGTCCAAATCTGTGAGGGTTGAAATTGTGTGCAAAAGTCTTCGTCGTGCGACACAACAATGGTCGAACCTACAAAGGAATTCAACACTTCCAACAATGAATTCTTCGTATCCACATCCAAATTTTCCGACACCTCGTCTAATATCAGCAGGCTAGGTAGCTTGCCGCCCAATTGTTGTTGGGCCAACCACAAACGGACTCGCTGACCTGCACTCAATGAATAGATTTTTCGTAAAGCCACATTGGGGATTCCAAAGAATCCCAAATGATGCCGGGCAGCCGCTTGTGTCAAGTTTTTGTCTTTTTGCCACAAATAGTCCAAGGCGGTTTCATTTCCATGCTGAATGGTCATTTCAATGAGCGATGTTTGTGGAAAGTAAAGTGCTTGAACATTTCTCGTAATGCTTCCTTCTGTCGGTTCCAACTCTCCAAGTGCCAATTTTAGAAAGGTACTTTTTCCAGCTCCATTGGCGCCTTTCAATAGTATGCGATCCGTGGCGTCAATCCTTGCATCCATGTATTGAAACATCAATGGATCCCGCTCGTCGTATCGAAACGACACTTCCTGGAACAGTGCCAAAGTACCACTCGAACAAGTTCCTTCGAGCTTGAGTTGCTTGGTGCGTTCTCTTTGAGCTTGGTGTTTGATTTCTTCCAAATCTGAAACGTCGTGTTTGAGTTGTTTCAGCTTGGAAGCCGCCGACTTGTCCGCCTTTTGTTTGGCTTCCTTATTTTTGCCCTTGATGAACCGCTTGTCCGCGTTTTGCGTCGTCTTTTGTTTCAAGTTGGCTTCTCGCTTGTCGAGTTGAGTCCGGATTGTTTTGAGGCTCGATTCGGCCGATTTCATTTTGGAATCAAAGGCATCAATCGTCTTGGCCGCATGGTCCATGTCTGCCTGATGCGTCGCCTTGAAACTCTCATAGCCACAATGGTACATGGAGAGTTTGTGATTGGCCGAATTAATGTACCAAATGCGATCGCACAATTTCTCCAACAGAACTTCCTTGTGGGATATGATTAATACCATGGTATTGCCGTGGAGTGCGGCATCCTTGGTTTTTTCAATCAACCAATCCGTCGAAGTCTGATCCAAAAAGGAAGGCTCATCAATGATCAAAATGTCGGGTCTCGAGGTAAAGGCCGCAACCAAACGGCATTTGTACCTCCACCCACAGGATAATTGCGAGACTGGCTTGTCCAAAAATCTATCAAATCCCAATTGTTCAATCGTCTTTTGAATTTGAATGTCCGACAAAGTCTCCAATTCTTCTTGTTTGTCGTAGAGTTCGGCCAATTCAACGGCCATATCTTCCACGTCCACCTCGGGATCGCCAGTCTCCAACTTTCTCTCCAGTTGTTCAATTTGACGACTCAACGAAACAATCTTTTCTTGGGCAATGGACGCCATGTATTCTCGGGGTTTCATATTCCCAAACTCTGCTTCGTCAAAGGCATAGGCTTCGTGGGAGGAAACGTATTGAATCGACAGTGATGCTTGTGGAAAGTTGGGAATTTGTTTCGAAGCAAGAACCTTGGCCAAACTGCTCTTGCCAGCTCCATTGGTCCCCACCAATCCAGTGATGGTCTTTCTCACCAAACTCACATCGGAAGGGTCAAACAATAGACACGAGTCATGTGTCAAGCCCACGTGTAGATTGATGGAATGGCCGTGATAGGTACATGTGGAATCAGATGTGAGTGTAGGAAGTTGCTGTTGCTGTTGTCGTTGTTGTTGCTGCAATGGAGAGGATGTTGCTTCTGGTTCTGCTACCATGTGTGTATAGGTGTATTTTATAGAGGTATGGTTTTTAAAAAAATATGATACAGAAACAGGCATCTTCAGATCAGAAGATGATGTCGAGGATATATTATGCCGCACGTTTGGATTTCTTGTGTTTGCTTGCGGTTGCTTGTTGGCGCGTGGGGGAATTCGATTGATTCGATTCAATCTTCGTCGCGCTATTTTTTTTCGTCGAAAATATCCCGCGGGAACGACCACAATTTTCACTTTTCCGCATCTATCATATTCACTGAAATACAACAAGACTAGCTAGGAACAACGAGACTAATATCTACAGCGACAATGATAACCCCAACCGCCGGAACAAAGACTTCCACTTCGATCGAACCTCCTCTCGAATCCACTTTGGATACTGGTTCTGCCTCCAGCAGCCAGAGCAAGCAACGCCAAATTAGTGTGTCGTGTTCCACCAACGAAGAACAATGGCAGCAACGACAATCATCGGAGAAAGTATCCAACACTGCGATTACCGCCAATACCATTGCGACACAACAGTCCACAAAAGTGACTCCTCCACCACCAACTTCCAAGCGAATCATTATTCCCGACCGTCACCCTTCCACGTCCGATCACGGCAAGAGACTCAAAGTCGAAAAGTCATCATCAGCTGACGACGACGACAACGACAATTGGCACCTTGTTGCTGCTGCTTCTGGTCAGGTTGGCCAAGCCTTGGCCAAAGTACTAATGTATGCTGTGGACCCAATTCGAATTCAAACAGATTTGCGCCAAAATGTGGAAGCCTTTGTGATTCATTTCCGTGGCGGCAAGAAAGCGTTATTGGCCAAACAAGAAGCTAGTACTACTACTACTACTACTGCTCATGATGGTACCTTTCATACATTGCCGGCCATTATCGTGGCGGGCAATCTGAAACATTTGGATTCCGTCGTGGAGGCAATTTCCCAACGACCAAAGGAGTATGCCCAAACAGAGCAGGATCCACAAGAACTGCCGAACCGGCGGGCATTGCTGATTGTCATTGAGGTCCAATACGGTTTGTTGGCGAATGGAAAAGCTGGTGTCGCAGTCTCTGGTGACGCAGCACACCTCGGCTTTGTCATTCACCTGTTGAAACTGGCACTGAAGGACCGCAAGGATCATAGTATAGCCACGTCCTCTTTGTCTGCTGATTTGGCACTTCTCGACAGCCCCAAAAAAGTCGAGAAGTTCTTCAAAGCCAAAAGAGCTATTTGATTCTACAATAAATGCCATCAAAACTGTAGTGAAACTATTTCTATGACACTAGGTGGTAGAGTGTCATGTAACCTTTCGATATTGTCTATTATTTATCTTTGTTATTTGTAGCCGTGATCTTCTTGCCCCAAAAGACCTAGTACAGTACTCTAGTCAATCCCTTTTATGCAAACACGAGCTCGTGATTGACAGCACCCAACTTTTCAAAGTCCTTGGTTTCGAATTCCAATGAAAGCGATTCGTCGGATACCCACTTGCGGTCCTTTTTGGATCTACCAACAGCAGTGGGCTTTTTGTTGGCCTGCTGCTGCTGCTGCTGCTGTTGCTTGGGATTGACAGCCAGTGCATCGGCACCATTCAACTCGTAACTTCCCTTGCGAATGTGATTGCGGACAGGTGCTCGAAAGATGTTCTTGATCTTCTTGGTTGTGGTTTTTGCCATGTTGGGTTTCCATCCCAAACGGCGCTTCCAGTAGGCAGCCTTTGTTGCCGTGGGAGTCACGTACAAGATGAGACCGGTCCCATTGACCTTTTGGTTGTCATTGTCGTCTTCGTCTTCGTCCGAAGGATATTCTTCGGACCAGTCTTCCGAAGTGGTGGGCGTGGCGGTCATGGAGGCTTCGTCCAGTTCGAGATCATCAGAAGATGTCTTGAAAGTGGTGAATGAATCATGTCCCTCGTTGGGGATTGGATGGGAAAACGGAGTGACAGCCATTGCCTCCTCATTGTTGTCGTCAAAGGTCATCATCATATCGTCAGCCATGTTCATTGTAGAAATAATGGAAAGAAGTAGAAAGTATTGATAGCAATAGGAATGAATGAAATCTGCGTGTTGCAAAAGTTATGTGTGTGTGTGCGCGTGTGTGTGTGTGTGTGTATGTGAAAACCAATGGATGTTTGCTTTTTTGGTTTTTGGCGATCGTGTTTTTTTTCACGATGACGACGACGAGGTGGTTTGTCGAGCCCGTTTTCGTTTGCTCGTTGGAACTCTCTGGGATTTGATCATACATTGCACCAATCATGTTCTGGTGCTCTTCTTCCCATCATGAATTGAAGGTAAAGGAAGAAGGCTGGTTGACATTGTATCCTTTGAAACATTTGTCAAGTGGTGGATACAATAACCATTGTCATCCACGGTTAGGTTGCTCGTGTGGTGTTTTACTCGTTTGCGTGTTGTGGTTTGTATTTGAATTTGTTGCGCGCGTTGAGTCGGAGGGGTCATATGTGAGACCGTTACACGCTGTGCTGTAACCGTTATTTCTTATGTTTGAATTTGGCAACATTTCGATCAGAGCATCATCATCATCATCATCGTCTCGAAGAAAACAACAGAATGTAGAGATGACAGTATTTTAGAGAACGAAAACGATGGAGGGAGAAGAGCAAGACTTGGTTGAGGAACTGATCAAACAATCCCAATGTCATTCTTTTTTGAAATAAACAAGAAAATTATCAAAACGGAACGGACATTTCCGAGAGATTGTTGAAGATACAACAGGAGTCAGGTGGGTGAGAAGCAGGATCTTGATGTCGTCACACTCAATTACATTGGACATCAGCTGATGCGGGAAGGACATTTAAAAGAAACCTTGGAGAAATTCAAAAAAGCTCGGAGTTGAGGAGGGATGGTTCCGTCAAGATTGTTGTTGTCAACACGGAAATCGATAAGTTTTGTGAGGATTGCTTACAAGAGAAGCGCTGTTCTTCGCTCCAACATGGCTGCAATCTAAGAGAATGTTTCGACAATCAAAGTTGAACAGGGTTTGCTACAAGATGGCATTGCTGCGAGTGCACAAGCCCTCAAGCTTCGTAGAAGAATATTTGAGGACAACAACAATGCGGACACGAATGGGGCGTATGGAAGCTCACAGATCTTTGCTGAAACTTTTCTTGGAGAATCGGAGCTAACAGCGACTTATTTGACAATGTCATACTCATCCAGCGAAACACGAGCCATCGCATGGAACAACGTGCGATCTGATGGTCTCTAGTCACTCAAGACCCGGTCGTCAATATAGCTCATGTCGGTGTTGTCGCTTATTGCCAGCAAAATGGTTTCCAGCAGGGAGCTATTTTCGTATATTTGTCAGACTGAATTAATCACTAGTCATGTGATCCGAGCTGCTGATAAGTCGTCCCCATCAGCTTAGATGCGAAGGAGAGTCTTGGCAAATCTGAATTGCCCGTCTTAGTACAGCGTATTTTCCAACACCTCAGACGACCTAAGCCACGGTCTCGATGTCTGTCGAACATCAACGAGGAAGTGAAATCATGTCCTTATTCTATTTTTAAAATTCATTCTATTTTTAAAATTCATTATAGTGTTGTAATAAGAAACCACGTTAGATCCAATAAACGTTATATTGATTACCTCTCGGTTGCTAGAGCCAATCGATTGGAACGACGGGCAAGGACTGCTTCTCAAACATGCTCCCCCCAGCACATTTGACCCCATATTATAGAACCATGGTTGTAATGACCATTTCTATGCAAATACAAATTCCTGGTTCACAGAGCGAAAAGACTGCCAATTCTTCTCCTTGGCTGCTTGGTCGTCACTGTCCATGGCATATTCTTCGTTGGGATCCCGTTGTTCTCTGTCATTGCAAGATGAGTCTCGTTCATGTACTAGCTCACGATCGCTGACATTCGATTGCAATTGTTTTCCATCCTCTCTTCGTTTGAGCAAAAGGGCATCTCCTTGGTTCGCCTGGGAGAGTCCAACTGTGGCATGTCGCCGCATGGGAGTACGAAACAAGTTCTTGAGTTTCTGGCGGTGAGCTCGAGTCGTGTCGGGTTTCCAACCCAAACGACGCTTCCAATAAGGAGTTTTGGTACCTGTAGAGGTAGCATACATGATCAGACCAGTGCCGTTGGAAGTGGCATTCTCGTCTCTCTCCTCCAACGAATCATCATAATCCACTCTGAACAAGTCTTCAGATTTTTCGTTGTCGGAACCATCATTATGGATTGTGGATGTGGTGAAATCTTCAGTTACTGTGTCGTCTTCAAAGTCGTTGGAAGATTTCTTGGTGGTAGAAAGGAAGAGCACAGGAGATTTTCTACCTTTGGAAGGAGATCGAGTGGATTTTTTGGCGCGAGGCGCCGTTGGCTTGTCGTTGAATAGGCTGGCGGCCATGGCAATAGAAGCAGCGTTCATCTTGTAGTAGTAGAATGGATGGAAACAAAGAGTGATGGTGGTGGGAAAGTAAAGTGATAACAGTTGCGCGGAGCAAAATTTGTGTGTGCACACTCAAGTGATGTGGCTCTTGGCTTTTGGCGATCGTGTTTTTGCCACGATGGGTTGGTGCAAATTCGAAACCAAAATGGTTTCTATCAGTCGTTTACGATCTACAGTATATTCCTCGGAATAGAGCTAATGGATCACAATGTAGTGCTTGACGCGCTAGCGATAGAGGTGTCAAAGGAAGGCTGGTTGGTCAAAAAAAAGATCATTGTCCGGCGATGCTTCGTGCAACTATCTCGTGCGTTGAAGGAGGTGGGAACCGTTGTTTGCAGGTTGCATTCTTCTGGAGTTTCCCGCGTGAAACGACTCATACGACTCAATGAGATGATATGATATCCCCCGTTTTAGTCCCACAACAGAAGTAGGGCATCGATATCCCCTTTGTTTTGAGACCCGCTTCAGCACCTCATTTTCGAAAACGTGTTGTAGAGAGATGAACATGTATGAAGGTGTCAAAAGACCGAATCTTACATTGGCATTCCTTTCTTGCCGTTGGTTGCATTCTCCTAATCGTTGTGATTAACCAGTGCATGATTGCTGAAATTCCTTCTTCTAACATGTCCTCGGCACAACCAACGAACAACGACAACTCGAACGAAGGCGTTGTTTCCAAGTCAGCTACCGGTAGCAGCCAAAAGGAGACTGTGCGGCTAGTCATCATTTCCGACACTCATGGGCACCACAAAAAATTGACTTCCATTTTACCAAAAGGTGATATCTTGATTCATTTAGGCGACTTTTGCAACAAGGGATCCGCGTCGGATGCTTTGGAGTTTGCCAATTGGATCACCAAAATGGCTGCCATTCCTAGCAACCAAAAACAGATTTCTTCACAACATGCACTCTACGAAGAAATCATTGTGTTGGAAGGAAACCATGATCGTACACGTAAATTATCTCCGGCGGAAATCAAAGCGAAGCCACCGATTGATCTTACCAAGATGTTCAAGAGAGTCAACTCGGACACTGATGGCAAGGTGCAATTCTTACAAGATCAAATGGTCCAATCCAAAAGGTTTCCACTAAAGTTCTATGGTGCCTCTTGGAATTCCTGTGCTGGAGACAACTTTCCCACTCAGTTTGATTTCATGGGCCAGGAGCCACCTGATGTCATGCTAGCACATCTAAACCCGTATATTTCATCCAAGATTACCTATCCACAATTGGAATCGTTGGAGCTCGTTCATGCTTGGCGAGGAGCTGAAGGGTTGTCCAGGACTGTCCTACAGAATAAAATTCCACTTTGCATGTCGGGCCACCTCCATTGGGGTCGAGGGGTGATCCACGTGCCTCACAACAGGAACAAGCAACAACAAAATAACAACGGTAGCAGTTCGGTATTCATCAATGCTGCCAGCATGAAATCGCATCGGGATGCAGGCATTTTGTACGAGCCAGTCGTCGTGGACTATGACTTGGAACAGCGAAAACCGATTCGGATAGACTTATCATACACTACCGTTGAGAACTAACTTGGGTTTATTCCCATCCAAAACAAAATCAATCATGGTACTGTACGATGTTACAGTCAAGGTACCGTCGGGTTTAGTATGACGCACTATACTGTAGGTATGCGGAACAAAGATACAACTGTAGAGATTGCTAGTAGTTTTATACAGTAACTGATAAACAATTGTTTTACAAGTTGTCCAATCCGGTGCTTAAACAGCGAAAATCTGATTCACCTTCTTGTGTCAAAAGTTTGGTGTCGGTCAGCCATTTCTCCAGCTCCCAACAACCGGGTGATGAAATGTTTGATATTTTGTCGACAACTGATCCGTTCTTGATGGCGACAAGGGTTGGTTGTTCTATATCGATGTCAAGTTTCTTGGTGAACATGGGCGCCTTGTGAGAGTGAACTCGTCGGCACTGACAATTGGATCCAGCTTCTATGGTTCGAATGGCAACGATCTCCTCTAGTTGATCCGATAAACAGCACTTTTCAGGGCAAAAGAGGACAAAAAATGCCACATCACTACACTCGTTTGCTGTGAAGCATTCCATAAGGAACTCGTTCTGATCAAGGGGGGTGAAGAAAGCACTCTCTTCTTCTTTATTCTCATGAGCAGAATCATGCTGTCGAGCAGTCTCGCTATAGCAATCAAAAGTAGCCGACCACTCGTCATGACTTTCGCCAATACTGTCTTCAGATTCAGAAGTTCGTTTGGTGTGGTGAAGGGTTTCCTCGTCATCATGGCTGTAGCTGTGTTGAATCTTATGTTGTCTTCTCGGCGCAGAACCTTGATTTCGAAACGGAATTGTCATCTTCGACCCCACGCGAGATAGATGGTGAACAATGGATTGTGGTTGCTGTTGCTGTTGCTGTATTTCGTCGGTGCAAGGATTCAGATACATGGTTGCTTGTTTTCGTGATGATGGTTTTTTGTGAATTATTGTTGTGAGCAAGACTCGATATCGTACTTCGATACATTTATGTGAGCACACGAAAGGCTTTTGTGATACACGTACACGTGTACGTGTACGTACTTCACTTTGAACTTCTGCTCGTAGTTTCAGTTCAGTCGTTGATGATCTTCAATCTGTGGTCCCCTTTTATTAAACGTACTTATTAAGTTTCTTGTGCTTCTATCTTTCCTCCTCCATACTGTACTGTAGGAGCCCCAAATCCTTATTGTTCCTTGCAGAGATTGGCCTCGTAGGAAAAACGTGTGACACATTCTCAGCAAGAGTTAAGTGCGTGAATTAGCATTCAGTGATCAATGTTTCCCACTTGAGCGACCTTGCCAGCTAGCAAGCAAAGCATGCAGCCAGCCAGCCATGGACCAAATAACGAGAAGGGTAGCGACGCAGTGCAAAGCGCCATGGGAGTCTCCAATGCCCTCACAGTGGCGATGTAAAAGACGTAGCATGGGCAGCAAATCCTGCAGAGATTTTGGACGTCAATAAAAATATTTGACAAATGCTAGCCAGAAAGTCGACAAATGATTTATCGTTTCGGATACCAACACCAGAAACTCATGCAGCAGGTGCTATCATGTCATCGTCCTCGTCTTCGTCTTCGTCTACTGTCTGTTCGTCCTCGTCCCGAACAAATCGTCGGCAGCAGCTCATTTTCTGCAAGATCAATTTTTGCACATTTAGCAGGAAGGCATTCTTCACTGGTTCAACTTCATTGCGAGTGAGCATTCCTCGAGTGAGAGCTTGTATCTTGATGGCAGATTTTGATCTCTTCGCCGCTCGAAACGTTTGCAAGTACTGGTCGCAACCCACTTGGTCTGGGGATAGTGGGAGGCATTCCAGACTGGAGAAGAGTGTCGCTCGCGACTGCTCTAGTCCTTCTTCGACACTCATTTGCAAAGATGCAATCGTGCCACTGCCATTCTCCAACGATGAGAGCAGTACTTCCTTCTCATAGTCTCCTTGATGCATGTAATACTGTAGGAGAAGATCATTGGTGAAGTCCACAATAAGTTCTAGTTCTCGTTCCTTCTTAGCGCAGATATCGAGATCCGCCACAGTATAGTTCGAAAGCTTGCGGCCTTTTCAATTTGCCGTTTGATGTTCCGCTCTTCTTCTTTTAGCCGTGAAAATTCAACTATGCTTCGCTTGGCACAGCGAGGCTGGCTGCAGTACGCTCGGAGACCTTTCGATACAGAATCAAACTTGGCCCACAGTTCTGTCATTGAAGGGATGAACTCATGAAGGACGAATGGCATCATGTCAAGTCGTTTTTGGAGGCCTCGTACTTCTTCGTGTCGATTCTTGTCGAGCGCATCATAGATCGAGGATTGTAACTTATGGCAGTACTTTAAGAGTAGATATCGCGAGTGCAAAGCATCCAAAGACCGACAGCATCCGAGACTGGCATACTGTGAGAACTCTTCTTGCGATATGGTTCGGACAGAATGTACCATATTGTCCAGCTTCCCCTTGCCAAATCCCTTGTACAAAACACAGTAGCGAGGGTACGACAGTAGACTACTGTCACCATCTTCCTTTAGCTCCATTCGTCGAACCATTTCATACCACAAACTGGCGGAACACTTGGTACCAGGCGCTCGTTCTTCCGTCACGTGTCGATAGAGTCGACCAAATATCTTGACGGTGGCTTTTAAGCCCAGAACGGGGATGGAAATGTGGCGGTCTTCGCAGTTTACATGTATCGGTTCTGAGTTGATACTAATGAATTTGACGTGCTCCGTGGTTTCGATGAGAGTCGAAATCTTGTCCACTAACAGTGGCACCGACTCGTACTCCAATAAAGTGGCATCCAGCACCAAGATCATATTTCGGTCTTGGACGTAAGTCTTGATTCGATCCGTCACTTCAGTCAAGGTCACTTGGTAGCTTCCATTGCACAACGACGGGTGTGCTCGGAGCTCCATCCAGACAATGCCTTCAATCGAGTTGGTTTCGAATCGTTGCTCTAAACATTGGCAAGCACTCTGTGTAGTACACCTCGCCGTACCGAGCTCATCTTCCCCCGTGACCCAACTGATGCGAGCATTCTCATCTTGAGTATCTTTGACTAGCTGGAGAACCTTCCACACTTCCGTATCATGTCTTGAAAAGTAGCTGGGAGGTTTTGGAAAGCATGTACTTGTTCTTCGTTTGCTTTGGATGGGTAGCCTCCCATGGCTACCTCTGCAGGCCGCACAATCTTGGCTGTCTTTATCCGATAACAGCCATAACTGAGGGGGCAAGTCCCGGTACGCGGGATACATTGAGACTTCGTGCATTGCCCGATCATATGCTTCATTCGCAGATACGGATTCACTTGAAAGAAGAGTAGAGTACATAACCTTGGAGAACTCGAGCACATAGGATACATTGATGTCGGTTCGATCTGAGTGAGCACAGACAATAGGTGCGGCACCAGCATTTCTCAGAGCTTCTCCAATGGATCGAGACTTGCAGGCAGCAATGAAGATTAGTTGAAAGACAGAAGCAAAGCCTTCGCCATCAGATCGATGACTTTGCATCAGTTTTTCGAGATAAGTGACGGTGATGGGCAAGGCAGTTCCCCATCCATCTTCAAAAGCGAGGTATCGTGGTCTGGCATGGCATGAAATGTGCAGACTCATGCACTGCTTGGGCTGAGTTCGTGCCAGTTGCAAGAAAGATCCAAGCTGCCTTGTAGTTCCAACTTCAAAATTAACTTGTGCTCTCCTTCGTTTCTGCTTGGGTGCCTCATCAAAGACTCTTTGAATGACGTTTTGTTCTTGTTGAATATCCAACGGAGACAAGTAGTTGCCATCCTCACTGCCATTTTCAAACGCTAGAGGTGACGCTTGAAACCAAACGACACAAGATTCAAATTCAGAAGCATCTTCACGGTCTTCGATGGTAGACATTTGGCTTATTGCTTGTATGCTTCGATAGCTTATGAGAAGTTGTATCAGAAACGGATTTGGCGGGATACATGTGCTGTACCACAGTGTCAAAGGTTGTATCTACGGGAGCTTCCAAGATTTTCTATTTACAATTCGTGTCGTCGCTTCGTCTCTAAACTACCGTACCGGTATCTTGTGTTAATTTTAACGAACGGCATAAAGAACAAAAGAACCAGCAGGGCACGTCTGACATTTTTGACATGCTTGTGTCTTGTGTCCCCACCAGTACAGTTGGAGGCAGACATGAATGTGGTTATTATGAAGGTGTCAAGAGACCAAGGGGCAATCTTTCCTCCTCGCCAGTTTCGATTCTTCTTCTCATTGCGATTAACCAATGCATGATGACAGAAATGCCTCGTTCTAACATACAATCCATTGATGGACATGTGTCACGTGCAGCTTTGCACGTCTTGCGTGGTCTTTAGTGGTCGGAGTGATCGTCTGAAAACTTTTGAAGCAAAAGGTTTGCGATATTATAATACCGGTAGAATGAATACATCGCGTCGCATTTTACATATTCGTTGCATCTAAAAAACGAATGAGTCTAGATCATCATGTCACTCCGCGATGCAGTAAGAAACCGAGATTTGGCACAGGTGACAGAACTCTTAGAGAATGGAGTTGATGTGGATCAGAGACTATTTGGAGGGGGGTCTACAGTCTTGCTTCTTGCATGTCAAAGCGGACATGTTGGAATTGTTCAAGTACTATTAGATGCCGGTGCCGATGTACATGCAACGAATCAAGAAAAGTGGACACCGCTACATTTCGCATGTCTCGGAAATCATGTGAATGTGGTTCGGCTACTTTTGGATCGAGGAGCCGATTTAAATGATGCCAGAAATGCGGAGAAGCGGACACCATTGCACGCCGCATGTGAACTTGGACTCTTGGGAGTTGCGAAAGAACTACTTGACCAAAGCGCTGAGTTGGATGCAAACGACCATTACAGAAGGACTCCCTTGCATATAGCATGCCTGCATGATCATTTCCATGTTATGAGGTTGTTGTTAGACCGCGGCGCCAATGTCAATGCAGTCAATGGATCGGTCTCTACACCACTACATGTTGCTTGCCACTACAATGTTCGTTTAGAAACCGTAAGACTTTTGTTAGATAAGGGTGCAGATGTCGGTGCCAAAACAGAAAATGGATCGACACCACTGTATGTTGCATGTGGGCTCGGACGATTGGAAATAGCGCGACTGCTAGTTGAACATGGCGCCGATATCGAAGCAAAGGCCTCTGGGGAAAAGACACCGTTGCACATTGCCTTTTCGAATTATAATGTAGATGTGGCCACAATGCTAATGGATCACGGGGCTGATATCGAAGCCAAAACTGGGGGATATACACCATTGTGCAGTGCGTGTAAAGCTGGTGAATACGAAGCCGCGAGGATACTGATTCACCGAGGTGCAAATGTTCATGCATCGTCACAGAAGGAATGGACGCCCCTGCATTTTGTGGTAGAGTGGGGTCATGACTCAGGGTTGGCTCGAATACTTCTTGATCAAGGAGTAAACATAGAAGCAAAAACGAACAAGGGTATGACTCCTCTACACATTGCCTCTTACAAGAACAAGTTGGAGGTAGCCCGCTTACTCGTACAAAGAGGTGCGAAAATAAATTCCAGGGCACATGATGGATCGACATCTTTGCATCTGGCATGTGAAAAGAATTGTTTGGCTGTAGCTCAGCTATTGTTACAGCGTTGTTCTAATGTGAGAGCGAAAACCAATGACGGTCTAGCACCGTTACATGTTGCGAGCGAAAAGGGACATGCAGGCATGGTCTGGTTGTTGGTAAATCATTGCCCGTGGTTGCTTTTGCGGGAATGATGCGTTTCCCAAAGTGGCTAGTCCTGTACTGTACTGCATAAATATTATGAACTGACTTGCCTGGTGGCAAAGATCTTGCCCCATAGCAGCAATATTATCGCATCAAGTAAAAGTAGTGAAATCAATCCTCTGACAAATCCAAGAGTCCCAATAAACCCAACTCCAGCCGCTGTTGCTGCGATGGCCGTTGCCTTGAGTTGTTGTACGGCTTCCATATGAATACCGAAGACCTCCTCTTCTTCCGCAACAGATATCAATGCACCAGATGAGCTCTCTTTCGAATAAAGTTGTTCATCATCTGGCTGTAGGGTCGTTTGGTAAACGCTAGAATCCTTCCAGTCGGTCGGACCACTCCCCGTGACTTCCACGGTGTATCCTCCCTCTACAGTAGTGGCAGCAAGTACCGCCTTAGCCAATTGACTTCGACACATTCCAGGACGACCTGCAATCCCAGCAAAGGTAAACGTGTCACCTTGAGAAAACGTCAATCCCATCGCCGCCGCTTCAGGGTACTTGTTCATCCAGCGATCGTCGCTGTTGAGTCCACCCGCGCGTAAGATTACATAGTTGATTTTGTTGATGCTGTCTGTTCCTAAAGATGATGGATTATTGGTATTGGATGATGCTACCGCCCGACGAAGAGCTTGTTCACCCAAATAGTGAGAGGCCATGGGAATCGTCTCTGGATAGAGCGTATTGAAGAGCAACGAGGCGATGCTATAGGGTCGTGTTGCCCAGGCGGTAGAAACCAGCACAATTTGCCGAATGCTTGGTGTTTGAATTGCTAGTTTGGCCACGGATTCCACGCCATAATAATTGACACTCTTGTAATCGGCCCCTTCACCGCCAGCCAAAAATACCAAATGTGTCAACGGTGGAGAAGATGGAGAAGTCTGAAATGCAGCTTTCACATCGGCCATCGAATTTAGGTTCCCTAGAACATATTCGATCACACAAGGTTCTCCATCGTCACCATCTTGTTGACTATACTTGGAGTTCTTGGCCTCAAAGAGTTCCCTAGCCTTCGCTTCGTCGCGGCAAAAGATCCGAAGATGAAATCCTTGCTCCAACAACAAATCGCTAACCAATTGACCGGTTCTTCCAGTAGCTCCAGTAATCAATGCTACAGGTGGAATTGACGGTTGTAGAGCACCACAATGTTGCCATGTGATTGCTAGAATCAAGCAAGATAGAATCAATTGTTGCCAAAACATCATGATTTTGATAAACCACTCGTACACTATAATGTATGAGCACCTGTTATGTCGGGTCTGACTAGTCAAAGATTTATTACGCCTGGATTTCAAATTTTTAACTGCTTCTCTCAGTGGCAATCCCAACGACCATGCTACTAGTAATCATGTAAAGGACCCAAGTTGTGTAAACTGTTTTAACAAGTAAAAATATAAGACGTAAAAGCACAATCGCCCATGTCAAGTTTCTTGTCCCCTATCTATCCTGTCTTCACAAATACAAAGGATCTACTATCTATATTTGTGATTCTTCTTCAAAGTGTAGAACAGTGATCTTCCTCTCTTGTGTACTCTTAGCTGCCATCATTTTCATGACGTGTTCCGCAGTGAATGATCGTGTATCAACGTTGTCCACAGAGATAATCAAGTCACCAGGGAATAGATGACCCTCCAAACTGCTTCCTGGTTTAACTGTGTGCACCGCCGGTCCATCTTTGGTAGAATGGATGACGATATTGAGTTTTCCTGGCGGCGCGTAGCAGTCGCGGCAGACAATGCTCGACATGACAGAGTCGTCCTTGCTTGAGTAGAGGTCCGATGGAGAATTCACATGATTATATACGTCTTTGTCGTTCGACGCGTAAGAAAGGGAATCAGTGGAATGCTGATGCTGGATCGGAATTGAAATGTTCGGAGTCGTCGTAGGGTATTGTTTGGCTGCAGCGATTCTTTTTTCTATCCATTCCGTGTCTTCTTCCAGATGGGGGCTAAATTCTTGGTTGGTTGCATTGCCATTTCTCGCCGCGGTATCGCCTCGCTGTCTAGAAACCTCTTTCGGCAATGCTACAACATCTGAAATGGTGGAGTTACCTACAGAGTTGTTGTCGTACGATTTGTAGGACCACTCTGAAGGGTCCATGGCATTCGCTTGATACATGGCAGATCCATCAACGCCGTTATTTCCAGCGTGACGTCGACCACCAGATGGATAGAAGATCTCATGAGTCATTCCTTCGATGAATACAGGACGCTTTCTATCTGGAGTTTCTAGGCCTTCGTCCTTTTTCTCTTCACTATAGACGTCGGGCGTTCGAAGATTGACATCTTGGAATGGGTGACGTTGGCTTTGGGGATCGTTGCTTGGCAGATATGCTGGTTTTCTAGCGTAGTTTCTGGTACCCCCATTGCTTCCCTGCCCAGGGGCCATAGCACCACTGTTTCCCATTCGTTGATATCCTGCAGATGGACTATTGGAAGAATGTCTGCTGTGGTCATTGATCGGTGTTGACGGTCTACTTCTTGTAGGAGTCGATGGCCTACTTCGATTCGGAGTTGAGTTTCGACTCTGGCTACTAGACCTATGTTTGCTTGGTGTGCCTGATCTGGATCTAGGCCGGAAAATGTCCTTGGCTTCGTTTCCAGTGTCTATTCTCCTCTCTGGTGATCGTCCAATCCGTTCTTGATTATTCCTCCCGCCTTCAACGGCACCTCCTGTTGGAGCGCAATGGAACATACCCATCAGCCCACCTGGCGACGTCGATTGTGTCTTCCTTTCCAAACTTGTGCTCCTTGGGGTTGGATCTCTTCCACCACCATTTGAAGTGCATGCTGTGAAGTTAGCAATATCGGAAAATGCATTTCTGGAATTGCCAGGTCTTGGGGGTTGAGCCTGGCGTTCAACGAGTGTTTCACCATTTCCGGTTGTATGAGCCCCAGTCCGGGCCGTGTATGCTGCAATCTCTGCAAAAGAATTCTTAGAGGAGCTGTGGCTCTCACTCGTATCACTTGAAGATGATCCATCTCTTTCAAATACAGCGGCCGGAGGCAGTGGGCGCCCATCAGTTGGGTTTGCGTTCCCATTGGTAGGAGCATACAAATCTTCATTCTCGTTCATAAAGTTCAACAAGTTGTACATGCGATTGGACGATGGAACTGTAGCTTGACTTGCAGCACCACTAGTATTTGCTGGTGCTGTTTTCAATCTTTTTGAAGCATCGGCTATGTTATCCGAAAAGACTGAGTCTTGCGATCCAAGTTCGGAGACGCTGCTGGAAGGGAACTCAGGCGAAGGTGGTCGATGACTATCGAGACTCTTATCAAAACTGAAGGCCCCGCCTTCAATGTCTGTAAGTATTTGATCTCCTGATTTGGACAAGTCAGGATTTGAGCGTTTTCGTCTTCGCACCAAGAGGAATAGAATGACGGCAAGGAAAGTTGCTCCAATCAAAATAGCCGGAACTGCAATTTGTTCTGGGGTCAATGCTGATTCATCTGCAGGTGGTTGAACATCACTGATCACATCGCTGACAGCGACCTTCTGCACCGGCGATGTCGAAGGTGCCAAGGAGGCGCTTGGTGCAGCTGTCGGGATCTCTCTTCTATAGGCTTCCGTCACAGTGTAGAAGTCTGCACCTTCAAATCTGGTCAAATTGGTAACGAAGAGACTCAAATCGGACATGACTTCTCTTATCACCACTTCGAGCTCTGCAATGTCTGGAGATGGTTCGTTGTCAAAGGTCATCTTGATTTCCATCAGCATTTCAGTCCCCATTTTGTTGATCTGTCCAGATGGTTCAATAGTGGCTGGATATCCGATCAGAGAAGAACTGACTGAATCCAATTCATTGTTTTGAGGTTCGTAGATTGCGTTCATTTCAGCCAAAAGAAAGTTGTTCATAGCCAATCGGACCACAGGAAATGAATTTTCCTCTATTTCCCCTTGTGTCTCAAAGATATCCAGAAAGAATGCTGTCATGATTTTGCTTCTTCCATCATCAGAGTGAGTGAGAATACCCTGACGCCCTTTGCTAGGATTGTTTCTTGGGTGTCGACGAAGTGATCGAACACCAAAGTTTGTGGATTGTATATCTCCATACACCATGCTCACGGGGATGACGACGAGTAGCGGTGCGAGTGTTCTCCTCATGATTGCAGTGTAGTATTATGTGAGATGAAGAATCTGTTCCCAACCTGCACCTACTGTAGTCGTTGCTTCTTCCAATAACTTGAAGCAAGGAGCTTGAGGTATTGTCTGTCCCGCAGTGAGGAAGGCTGCTCGTTTGGCTACCTAGAGCACAGCACAGGAAGCCTTCTTTGAAATCAGAATACCCGACACTACTAGTTTCAAAGTGGTAGGTAGTTTATGTGAACCGGGAAAAAGCAACGGTAAAAAAAAACGGTCAAAATTCAAAATTACTGCGATGTCGCAGCTTCTGTCGTTTTGTTCGTGTGTTAGACTAGTCCGACCCATCCACCCGACTGTCTGACTCCTCATCAGTACCAGTACTGTACTGTATTGAAAAAGGCTTGTATACTTTGAGAGAACGTTGATATTCGAAAACCTATGTTAGACATTAATATACAATCTTGTTTTCGTGGCGCTCTATCTATATGAGTGCCCGTTGATGATTGCTGCCCTTCGAAGACTTGATTTGAAAGGACAAGTCATCTAAATCCATATCAACTGGGCCCGCACGAAAATCAAGCTCGCCACTACTGGCACTGCTAGTAGGGCTGGTGGATCCAGTGTGAGATTCAGTGAGGTAGTCGTCAGGGTCAGCGATTCCGCTGTATCGCTCGTTCCTGTTTCCGAACTGGAATCTTGGGGATGGTTGACGTAGTTTGCTTTCGGGTCGGGCCTTATTCTTTCCCTTGCGAATCTCCAAGCCAGAATCTGGATGCACCTTCTTCGCTTGAAGTGACGAGCGCGACGGAATGGAGTGCACTGATTCATCGTCTTCTTCGATTTGTCCCAAACCATTCAGTTGGACATCGTCTAGCAAGGAGACGTCCTGACCATATGGAACAGATGCACTACTACTGCGACGGGGATTCTTGCGGCCTGTTGGTGTGGAAAATGAAGTCTCCGTGGTTTTGTTGTAGTTCGAAAGTCCCAGACTGGCTTTGGACATTAATGACATGGCACCTGAATCAGTAGAAATCATAGACATATCGTTGTTGTTGTAGGAATACTCAGACTTGTCCGGTGACGGCGGGTGGTCATTGAACAAGCTAAGCTGTAGCTTTTCCATCTCGTCTCTCTTTTCTTGCTTCTTCATCTTTTGATTTTTCTTCTTTTGCTTCTTCGTCTGCTTTTGTATTTTTCGATTGGATTTATTGGAGACATCTATCGACTGAGGGCTCACATGACTCGCTTTCCTCGAACTGTAACACCAGCAACAACGACATGCAACTACACATATAATGGCAAGGATGATACCGGTTACAATGGCCACACCATACACCATGATAGCCATCCATCCAGTCAAAAGTTCATCGTTGTTGACGTCGTTGGCGTCGTTGGCACTCTCCGCGGGCTCCTCTTCAGAACTCAAATCTTGTACCAGTACGTTGTCCCGAACCGCAATTTCAATGTTCTGAAGAGATTTCAAGAAGTCATTGTTTGATCTCAAGAGTGCCTCGAGGAACTTGCCAAGATTGCGGCCAGCAAAAGCATTTTCTACCAGCTTTTCCACTTGTGTTGTCGGAGGGGTGGGCTCAACGGAAAACAACAAAATACCAGCAAACTCCAAGTGTGCTGTTTTGGTATCGTCGGATTCGGTTTGAATGTCAAAGGGACGCAGTCTTAGTGTCACTGATTTGAAATAGCGACTATCAATTTGATAGTAGGCATTAAAGTAGTCGATGAGGTATTTGGTGGTGATCGAGAGCATATCCTCAAATAAGTCGGCGTCGTTGTTGTTCATCGTTTCGGAATTCAGATGAATGTTAATTTTCCCCATTTCCACAGTCTTTGCTGAAGCACTGTTGAACGGAAGCAGATGGCATGATAATAGAAATAGAAGGAGCCTCTTCATCGTTGAAGCCTAGGCGTAGATAGAGGTAGACGTAATAGCGGTGAATAGAGTTGTTTTCTTCATGCATCATCATGGAAGCAGAAACAAGGAACCGCCAGGAGCTAAATATTTCAAAACGTGAAGAAAAAATAACGTTCGATGGGTTGAGTCGAGTCAGTCAAGTGTACACATGATGTATTAGAGCTCGTTATCTTCGTCTACCGGTGCAGTGTACAGTACCGGTATGGTATCAACATGTTGGCGTATAGTTTATTTTCTGAAGGCTGCAATGTCTGACATGTTTTGTGTTGAAAGCATTACGAGTTGCGATCAAAGTAGCTTTTTGTTCGAAACCAGAATAGACCAATCAAAATATACTAGGACCTACATGTACTACAGTAGGTGCAGATTCTCCGGAAGTTGAAAGTGATACAAGTAATAGTCCTTATAATACAATTTGAGTTCAACCAACATCTACGTCGAAACCAGTTCTACCGTCGCTGTCATTGATACCGAATCCTTGGAACTCGATGGCTCGTCTCCGAATGCCGCCAAACGGTACTCCCCCTTCAGAACTTGATCGTAAATGAACATTTGTAAATCTCCCGGTGTATATGGCCACGAGGAATTTGCGGGGTCGGAGCAAAATCGATCGGCTAGCTCTTGTACAGTAGCTGGTAGGTATGAGAGTATTTCTCGTTTCAATGTCTCCTGAGACTGCCGGAATTCGTTCTTAGCCTTTTCTCGTTTTGCCATTACGAGCAAACGAGTCAAGGGTTTGTTCTTCCTAATGGATTCGAGACTGACATTCTGTGAAAACATTTTCATTCCAAGTACTTTCCGCCGAAATTTGTCACTATGTTCAGGGGCGAGCTGTACCAGCGGTCCCGATTTGGCACAAAATACGTTAAAGCCAACAATCACACGGAGTTGATCTCCATGAATCTTTTCCACTTTTGTGCTTCCGTGGGGAAGATTGCCAAGATGACATGTTAGTTGGTTGTACTTGTATGGGAGGGAAATAACGCCAGGGTCTTTCATATCTACTGGTTGTCGTTTCGCTTTGTAGCCGGTTATTTCATAGTGTGGAATTCCTTTCAAGCTGACATAAAAGTCTCCACCATCAATTTGATCTTTCGTACACTGTAAAGTGCCTGCCAATAGAGGCGGTACAATTATATTTCGTTCGTAGCGTATCTGTTCGGCATAGTCGAGATGAAACGGAACAGAGGTCTTTGAATCGATGAAAGATTGTATGGTATAGAAGAGCAAATGATAAGCCGAGTTGACAGACGATCGAAGCCAAAAGTTCGCAACAAGCACACTTACGCCAGATGAAGCTGCCAAACCCCATACGGCTATACCATGAACCTCTTTCAACTGTTCTCGAGAGAACAGAGGCTGTGAGTTACTTTTGCTTGGCGGGTACTGCTTCCAGAGTTTGGTTCCTTCACCTAGAGCCAGCCTCAAGTATTCTGCTGTTATCTTTACAACTATCGATGATTCATTGGCATTACTGTTCTCCCAGCACCGTTCTATTTGCTCAATAGTTACATAATCCCCCCAAGCATTGTTCCCTTTAGATTCGGGATCTGAACCTGCAGTTTTGGTATATATGGCATCTATAATATCAGTGTCTGCAAAAGCATCGTTGTAGACGTGTACCACTGGTTCTTGTTGCTGGAACATGTCGTACTGCACAATTTTTGCTTCTCTAATTGAATCTTTTAGATTTTCAGGAATGTGACCATCATCAAAGCTGCTTTCAGTGGCGCCGTATGATCGCCAATCGCTGGATAGCATAGTACTTGTAGTGTGGTCTGGCATTGAAGAGGATGAGGACAAGGAAAACACTTTTCAAATTTTGGAATTTGCTCTTTGGCGACGACTGACTGACTCCATCGACTGTCTTGTAAATAACCCGGAGAGTATCAACCTTAACGAATATTCGACTCCATCGACTACATCCAAAATGGCTCTGGAAGCATCTGCTCTGGAAATTTTGGGTTATTCTTCGGCATCACCCAAAAGTCATCGACAGACAAAACAAAAAAGTAGTGCCAGTGCCTCACCATCTTTCCTCCCTGTCGATCCAACTTGATACAATGAACAAATTCTCCTTGCTTGCTTTTTTCCTTGCTGCCGCCGTTTTCCAGTCTGCTGATGTCAATGCCCAGACGACGCAGGTCTGTGAGGAAGCGTGCGCCGAAGACTTGAGAATCAACTGCGACGATTTGCTCGCTCAATACACATTTCAAGGAAGTTGCTGCTCCTTGACGCAGATTACTGCCTACGATGGCTGCCGTGTGGAAGTGGGCTTCGGAAACTGCTACTGGTTCCCCAAGTGTGAGGAATGTCCACTGCGTACCGAAGGCCGATGGAATAATATCAAATGCGGTTTGGAATACCAAGGCGCTGAGGGTTTTGCATGTCCAGCCTCCGAATATCCTACCGTCTGGAAGAATCCTTACCCTGAAGGTCCTTGGAACGACTACTCGTGCTCTCCTACTGCGGCTCCAGCGGTTCAGACTGCCCCACCCGATTCCGCCTCAGCTTCCACCTCGGTCCGTATGATGGCAGCGTTGGGAGCTGTCGTTGCAGTGGCACAAATGTAAAACTTTGGGGTAGTTCACTATAGTTTGAATGTCGCCTTGTCGCTACTTCTAAGACGTTAATAAGTATTTGTTTGTTTGGGTGAAGCATGATGCCTCGAAAAATGTGCTAGCAAATCGACTGTTCTTGGTAGTCTCGACTTAGAATCTTGTCTCTACTAGCCTTACAAGCCCTAAACATACTTCGCCTTTAGTGTTCTCCAGGCGGCTGGTGCCACGCGCCGAAACAGATGTTTGTAAAGTGCAGCGCTCCAAAAATTTGAGAACCTCTTGCACTATGACTTTGCTTGTTGGATACTCTCTTCAACGAAGCTACTGCTCATTGAAAAACAAGTCTGTCTACAATAGTTACCTTGCTAAAGTCGGGTTCGGAAACTGCTACGGCTATGGTGATTTGCTGCCTCCTCTTCATGAAGGTTTTATAAACTTAACAGATCTCAAAATAAAATCATAAATTCAAGTATTGAACTGTGTCAGGCATAGCACCCTAGCCCCAACGATACATCTAGACTTCAGATTTGGTTTCCGATGCTTTGCTGGCCGCTGAAGACCCCTCGTCACTGTCTGAGTCTGATTCGGAACCATCAAACTGCGGACTCTGAATGGTCAGTCGAACAATGCGCATGTTCTCGGATTCTTCTTCCTCGGCATCATCTCGTTGTTCGTCAGTGGCCAATAGCTTGGCAACGTCTGAGGCTTCAAGTCCGCGGGTTTCGACATTGTTCACGGCAAGAATGTAGTCGCCTACAAAAATTTGATCCAAAAGTGGGCTCGTTTCCTTGATATCTTCAACCATGGGAAAAGTGTCGTGACTTCTGGCACCCATTAGACCAATTCCAAGTGTCACACTGCTATTATTTCCAGGTGCATAGTCGACGTGGCGGATGCAAGCTTGCATGCCAACAACCTCCTCAATCTTCTCCAGCATTGTATTGTGCATGCTACTGGTATACTCGTGGACGGGAAGAAGATCTCTAGAATAGAGTTGCTCCAACTGCGCCAATTCGTTCTGCTTTGAACCTTCTTGCTCGGCCAATGTCTCGGTCGTTCGTTGCAGAAGCGTAGGAGGAGGCAAGCAGTCGTCGCTTTGCACGCCAGAGGAGTCGTCACTCGAAGCAATCGGGTAATCATCCTCTGGACTTGGTTTTGCTGATGTTAGAGACTGGATTGGAGTGCGATAGATCGAGTCCGGGTAGTTGGTATTGCCTTGTACAGGACTTGTGGGTTGCTCCGAGGTTGCATAAACGGATGGTGAACCAAGACTGGCTGTTGGACTGGTCATCGATTTGGCCAATGATTTGCAATGACTTGGAGAGATAATGTCTTCTTTTGTTGTTGTCAGTTTACCAGGTGCTGTCTCGACACTGTGAATGGAGCTGGCCATGGACATGTTGTCATTATGGGCGCTGTGTTGGCTTCCTTGCGGAGATGAGCAGGGACTGATACCCAATCGAGGAGCCGAACGCGACGACAGGTTGGCAAATGCTGTAGATAGGGGTGTGCGTTGGCTTCGTGACCTTGAGTAGCTTCTAGATCTGTGAGATACAGAAACGGACTCGGCATCGTCAACAAGATAAACATCGTCGTCCATGACTGAGCCAATTTGGGATCCGCTGCAGTCCCCCTCAATGGTCCGAAAACTTGGGCTGTCCATGCCTTCTTCCGCAACGTCTCGACACTCACGAAACTTCTTGAGCCTCTTCAATTCCAAAAGATATGCTAGGTTGGTCCCCTGTGGTATCTTCAGTTCCAGCAAGTACGACAGATCGGCGCCTTGCGAGACTCGATGAGACTCTTGTAGTTCAGTGACTTCCAATGAATGCTCCAAGTCTTCGGATTCGGCGGCACGCAAGCATCCAAGACTTGTCATCGTTGATACTGAAGACTCCGAAGCCTTATTTTCAACAAACTGTGGTTGATACTTCTCTGCAGGAGTTCCACTCGTGTGAGTGCTGATAATCTCACTCGATTCGGTCCGTTCGATGTGCTTGGACGATGCCGTTTCCTCTCGTGCCCGACGCCGCTCCTCTCTTTCATCAAGCAGTTGTTGATGCTTGCAACGATCTCTCAAGTCAGTAACAAAGAGCAGGATGGCGCAGATAATCACGCTACTCGCCACCCCTACAATGACAGCAGGAATGGTGTCTTGAGAGCTGACAGATCGATCAAACTGATCATCTTGTGGTTGCGGGGTGACGGAAGGTGCCTGTGTGACAGCTTGGTCAGCCTTGGGAGAAGCAGGTAAGATATTTATCCGATAGTTGCGAAATACTGCGGTCTTCTCTTCTTACCTGATCATCTTGTTGGAGTCCACGCCTAAGGAATTGGGTTCTAGCGGAGAACTGGTTGACATTATCCAAAGCCAACACAGGTGAAATGAGCATAGCAGCTACAGAAAGGGCAACTGTCATCACAAATGGTGGTTTCATATCCATCTTTCGAGGTCGAATCATCATTTGGTCTGTTTCGATCAATCGAAGTATGCGAGTTTTGCTTCACCAATCTTGCTTTTAAAAAAATAAGAGGGAGTCTCGACGAACGTTTATTCATGAGGAAGACTCCCAACAACTGTTGGCTTCCTCATCCTTCTCCAAAGCTTGGAGTCTCACTATCACATACGATGGCTGCTTCATGTTGATCAGAAAAAAACCAAATTGATTGCATATCATAACGCAGGAGGAGTTGTCATCATCAGAAGCATAAAATCCATATCCACTTTCACGCAACGAAGATCGTGTTTATGACTCACTGGACTAATATCTTTTCAAGTCGAATGAATCAATATGTTTAACGTTGGGATGGCGAAAGCTGATCCTACTAGAGTAGTAGTACATTCCGCACGTTTTCTATTTTAGCTTAAAGTCACGATTCTTCTTTATCAGAGCCAAGAAAAACCCTCCGGTATCCCGATCTTGGGGCCATAACCGCATGCACTTTTCTAGGTGAAGGTCCTTTGAAGATTCATTTGAAGGTGGCCACATGGTCGGTGAGATTGTGCAAGTTGGTGGCTGTGATGTCGCAGACGCGTAGGAGTCGTGCCAAGTGATTTTTGGGATATCTTCTGCGTCGTCAATGTCAATCTCACCCTCGGAGCTATCACCTTGGTCGTCGGCTCGGAACTCTGCCACTTTCCAGGATGATATTCCTTGGCGTCTCACGAGATCGCCGGGCAAGGAAGGCCAGTCCAGTAGCTCTACAATTGGACTGGGACGCTTCTTTTTCGTCCCGTCCTTGGAGTCTTTGGATGCTTGAATCGTTGACAGCGCTGCGGCGACAACAGCCTCGTCTTCGATTGGATTCAACGTGCAAGTACTGTAGCAAACTACGCCGCCTACCTCCACCAGTTGCAAAGCGCGAATCAAGATTCGGAGCTGCAAATCGTGCAAGTCGTTGCCGCAATTCGGTTTCCACATTGGCAAAATGTGCTTGTCTTTGCGGCATGTTCCGTCCCCAGAACACGGAACGTCGCAAAGGACCGCATCGAATTTAAGTTTGGATTTTTCTCCACTTGATTTCGACTTGGTGACTGGTGCTTGCAATCTAGAACCATCTTGACAACTAAAATGAAGACGCTTCAAGAGACTTGAAGACACCCCACTGCGTCCTAGAGCTTGACGCAGCGTGATCAGTCGATTCTCCGAAACATCGTTCGCTACAACCCTTCGAAGAAAAAAGATGTTAGCAAAGTACTCAAAGCAAAAGTGAGCATATGCTCAGCTCTACTCTGATAACATACCTTCCGTTCTGGCCCACAATTTCGAGAGCTTGAAGTGTCTTGGAACCTGGGGATGCACAGACGTCCAACACCTTTGCGCCAACTCGAATCGCGCCGACATCATGAAGAGCAACGACTGGGAGCATACTGCCGATTTCTTGTCGAGCAAGTACACCATTTTGCGAATTTTCTTGCAAAAACTCCTTTAGGTCTGGAGAAATACGGCTCAGATTCTCCTTGCACAAGACGTCACTAGGACGGTTCTTGGATCGGTACAAGGTTGTATTGCCAAACTGAACTGCCTCCACCAAATCCGAGAACTCCGCTAAAACCTCTTCAGCAACTTCATTATCCATCTGGCGTCGCTCCGACGCCGTTTCAAACTGCCTCATCCGAAAAGAGAGCGGTAGCGGCTGGGAGAAAGCCTTCAAGAAAGATTGAAATTCGACATTGTTTCTGTGGCAAGGACTATCATCCAACATCTCGAATTTTGAGTAGGCGGACTCCAGCAGGGATGGAGGACTAGAAACCTCAGTTGGCGAAGAATCCGTCGTCATAACTGCAAGTGCACTCTCGTCGACTGTCTTGGAATTGGTATTCTGAATCTTTCCGCCCTTTTTCTTCTTGTTTCGTCTTTTGGCTGCACGCGAGTTACCACCACCTGATTTGGGCTGCATCCCTTCACCAGTTTTGGGGCCAATTTTATGTCCCTCTTCTTTCGACGAGGTAGCGTCACCACTTTTGACTCCTTCTGCACTGGATATCGTTCCGATGGGTTGATTCATGTAATACTGGACAAATAAGGAGTATCCCGCATTCGATCTTCGAAACCAAACATTCTCATGTTTATTCTGTTTGCCTCTGGCTTGAGAGAGAGGATTCTTGTTCCGCTTTCGTTTCTTCTGTCCCTTTGTGGTTTCCATGTCGTTGTTCGTTTCGATCATGATCAAAGATGAATGGGTGTTGGAGTGAAGTGTTTTTGCTTTTGGATTTTGGTTGATGATGGACGGGTCGGTTGAGTCCATTGTGGGGGAGGTAGACAGACGACTAGACGTAGAATTCGCGGAACCCAAAATTGATGATTCCTCACAAAATTGTCCAAAGTCTTGGGAGGTCAAATTCTCTCTTAGTTTCTCTCGAGCAATTGCTCTCTCTGTCAAAGGATCCACCCCCACGACGATGAGCCAGATAACTGAATCTTGTGGACCAATACCAGAAAACGAGAGCAACAATATCCTAAAGCGGTCTCTCAAAGCCGCTTCGAAATACTTCAAGCAAAACTTTCTTGACACTCGAAGGAGTGAAACAATTACATTGTCAATTCCAGCAGAACTGTTGGAGAGTGGCAACAACATGCCGATTGACACTGTAGAGCTTACGAGACAATGCGAGCTCTACGTGAAGAAGAAACTGGAGAAAAGTTTTCGGATGAGCAGCCCAGACGTTGTCGAAGTTGCTGTCGACGATGACGGGTCCATAAAAGAGGAGTCAAGACGTGATAGAAAAAAGAAGCTCCGAAGAAATGATACAGCATCTTCGACACCCACGAGTAGCCCCGACAGAAGTGGTCACAAGAGCAAAAATTCCGCACATTACGAAAAGCCTGATCCACCAGCACAGAAGAAAGGTGAACAACAGGTAGTTCGAGATCCGTTCTTCCAGGCTCGAGATCGGTGTATCCAGAATTTCAATGATCTGGCAACTCGAGGTATCCAAGCTTTCGATGATTTAGCTTCTCGTTGCTATCAGATTTTCCAGGGTCTAACTAGGCGTCAGCTCATGTACATTGCTGCCGGATTAGTCCTTTTTATCATAATTATCATCGTGATTGGCGTTACAACTGGAGGTGGATCGCCGACAGTCCCAACAACAGGATCAGGCAGCCCTGCAGCGTCTCCTATTCCTGGTCAATATTCCGGCTCGGAAGAATTTTTACGGGGAGTACTTTTTGACATGGAACCAATTCAAAAGGATGCTTTTCATTGGCTACTGAATATTGACTCTTGGAAACCTGCTAGGGATGCCACAAATATCGAGCAACTTTGGATCGAACGATATGTACTGGCTGCGTTCTACTTTTCAACCATCACTTCGGAAATAAAATGGAAAAACGAACAAAATTGGATATCCGATAAACCAGTCTGCAGGTGGTTTGGGGTGAAGTGCTATGCATCTGGAGAAGTTGCGGATCTCACTCTATGTAAGAAATGAATGTTGATTGATTGATTCATTCGAAAGTCAAGGGATTAACACGACCTGACCTGTTTTCTTTCATATGTACAGCTCATAACGAAATCGTTGGTCGGATATCTACGGAACTTGGGAAACTCAAAAGCCTCAAGAGGTTGAAACTGGGTACGTTAAGAAAATGGCATTGCACAGCGCTATCAGATTGCCGTGCGATGATCTCACACTAGTATACATTGTGTTTCAGATTCAAATGAGTTTGAAAAGGGTATTCCCAGCGAGATTGGTGGCCTCGTAGAACTTGAACACCTTGATCTATGTGAGTGTGGGTCTGTTGCGGAATTATTCAACGGAAGGAGCTAATGTATTTCCGTTTCTATTTTAATATACCAGACTTCAACATGTTATCCGGAACATTGCCGAATGAGATTGGGATGCTGTCGAAACTCACAGGGCTCTATCTAAGTAAGTAGGTTGTCGCTACTTAAGCGTCAAAGAGACCCATTTGACCTGACTAATTCCTTGCATCATAGGAGGCAACCAGCTTTCTGGGCAACTTCCTGACACTTTTGGTGCTTTGACGAGCCTCACAGCTCTGCAGATTTGTAAGTAGAGGAAATTGAAATGCTCTCTCTCTCTCTCTCTTTCTCTCTCCATGACTCGCGACTAACGGAGCGGATTATTTTGGGTGAGACAGCCGAAAACAAGTTTAGGGGCCCCATTGGGAGCCATCTTGCTTCTCTTCGAAATCTTGTAACAGTTGTAATTGGTACGTTGGCTGTAAACTGATACTGATACTGGTCGCACTATCTCGATGTAAACTCACTTACGAACTGGTGCCTCGATAGACAAAAACCGATTCTCGGGAAGTTTGCCTTATGGACTGGGGAAATTGACAAAACTGAAGTGGCTCAGAATTGGTACGTATGCGTGAACAAAGAATGATGAAAGAGCTCAGAAACGGCTTCGCTGACAGATTGATTGATTGATTGATTCTACTCCTTTCTGAAACACGACGCACAGAGGAAAATGAAATTACAGGTAGCATCCCAATTTCAATTGGTTATCTCACCGCTCTTCAGACCGTCATCCTTGGTAACAACATGATCACGGGAACTCTACCGCGTGATTTGTCGGGTCTGACAAAGCTTCATCAACTTGACGTCCGTAAGTACTGACCAAGTTGGCTGTGTGTGACAATATCAATGATCTGTCTTTTCTGACACTGTCCAATTGGTGCAGGATGGAACAAGATCGAAGGTACAATCCCACCTGGACTTAAACGGCTTAGCAACTTATGGCATCTAAATCTCTGTAAGTTGTCGAATGATTGATTGAGATGTGCACGATAATGTCCAATTTTCTGACAGCTTGTCGTGATACCCTTCCTTGATTATTTGACAGCAACGAATAAGTTCGACGGAATAGTACCCGAGCTCCCAGCTAGTCTGACGAAGCAAGACTACAAGAATGGGCCATTCTGTTCACTTGGTATGTTGACACAAGGGAACCACGATATCATATATAGATCAACGAAAGTCTTTTCCTAACCATTTGATCTGCTTGCTTCCAATCAGCTGGCAATTATCTTGCCGACATCCAAAATGGAGACCTACTCGGGTGTAAGATCAACGGACAAAGGAGTTGAAGAAGAGGAAGAAAAAAGCCAGCCACAACACCAACGAAGTAAAATTTTAGCAATGTACAGTACATGTATAGAATGTGGCTCGGGAACCATTAGTAAGCAAGACAACTCATTCAGAGACAAAAGGCTTTGAAACACAGATGATTGATTCATTCAATTGATGGTATCTTTCATTTTTTTTAAATCCAAAAACTCAAAATCGATTGCGTCGCTCGAAATATACAAATTGCAACCAACAGTTCAGGGTAAAATACAGTAGAGTAGTCCTCCACAATCAAGTTTGTTTTGTCCTGATCGTTTTGTGCTTAGGATTGTTGGCACTGCACCTGCTGTGAACCGCCCTCTCCTCCTTCGTCGGAATCATATGCTCGATCGTGGTTTGCTACTCCCCCCTTGCCAAAATTCTTCACGTCGCCTAGTTCCAAATGTGCTACCTCAGCCACTTCAGGATCATATTCAATTGCCATGGAGGCCCCAGGCAGTATCTTTCGCAACATGTCTATTTGGTCTGGTTTCAGATCACCATCTTCCGGGAATTCGACCGTGAATAGCACATATAGATCACCCTTGACAAACGGATTCCCATGGGAAGGCATACCTTCACCCTGTACGATCTTTACAAACGGTGTCTTGTTGTCCTTTTCTGCTTTGATAATTTCACCCGAACGCGACTTGATGATAATTTCCCGATTGTCCAAATGGGTAATCCTCCATTCAAAACCACAAAGTGCTTCGTTCAGCGAGATAGTCTTAGTAATTAAAAGGTCTGCCCCCTTTCGCTTGAATAGTGGATGTGGTTTTTGCTGAATGACAAAGTTGACATGTCCCGCCTCCATGTTGGGCTTCTCATCGGCCTTGTTCCGAAAAACAATTTTCGCTTCATTTTTCATTCCCTTCTCAATCAAAACTTCCAAAACTTCCCGTTGTCGCTTTTTGGGAGCCATGTATCCTTCCCCGGTGCAAGCAGGACACTTGCGTCGCACTTGTTGGACCATTCCTATCGCAATTTGTCGCAGTTCCACTACTGCGCCAGATCCACTGCAATTGGTGCACATTTTGGGTTCCCCGTCCAAGACTTGTCGACTGACTGCCATCTTGACCATCTTTCCATTGTACAAATCCTCCAAGGAAACCTGAAGCGGATGATTTACATCCTCTCCTCGTTTGGGTCCCGATGATCGACGTCCACCTCGACCACCACCGAAGAACATGCTAAACAAGTCTTCATGTCCTCCAGATCCACCAGCACCTCCTTCCAAACCTTCCAAACCGTACCGATCGTATTTGGCCCGCTGTTCGGGATCGCTCAAAATTTCGTAGGCCGCATTGATTTCTTTGAATTTGTGTTCGTCCCCACCCTTGTCTGGATGATGTACGACGGCCAATTTTCGATACGCCTTTTTGATTTCCTTGGCATCGGCTGATTTGTTCACCTGCAATTTATATTGTTTGAATAGTGAGTGAAGTGTTTTGGAATAAAACACATTGAACATATTGCTTCCAAACGTGACAATGGTGTGACACATCACACAAACCAACACGTACCCCTAGAGTTTCATATAGTTTTGTCGTGTCGGCATTGGAAGAAGAACCTCCAGGTCCACCATCCATACCTCCATTCTGAAATTGATCAAAGGGATCCCCACCAAAGAACATCTTGCCGTTTTCAAACCTACAGGTATTACCGAGGCCTCTATCGTCCCACTTTGGTTTCGAGTTACGCGGTGTGAAGTGGGAGCTGGATTTTCGTGCATTTTCATTTTCGTGCATTTTTTCACGCCACCAAGACTTCGAAATTCTGCTCTTCAACATTCCCTTCTAACCTACCGGTAGACGAAGCCCGGCAAGATTAGAACTCTCGCACGGATGGCCAGACGTGTGCGATATTTTTGGCACGCACGCCAATAAAGACTGACGTTTGAATGTTATTACTTATGAGTGCGATATTTTTTGCAGTCTCAAAGCGTGGATCATAAACACAAGGTAGCACAGCACGTGCTATTTACCTTGCACTCTCGGAAGACCGTGCACACTACATTGTGCAGCATGGTACTAACAAGCTAGCACAGTACGATTGCACGCGGAAAAAGACCCAAAGAGATTTGCTGTGACCCGGGTAATCGAGGCTGTTTTGCGACTAGTCAACGTAGAAAACTTCGTACTGCTTCGCGACTAGGCAGTGCTGTTCAATGCACAGTGAACGCCAATTGCATTGTCACGGTTGACTGTAGGTGACATTCACAAAGTAGCAACATCATGGCAAAATCAAGTGCTGCAAAAGACAGCAACGAGGCTTCCAAGAAATCTCCGGAAGAAGCGGATCATACCAAACCAGACTACGGTCCTTGGAAAGAACGAAAGCGACCGCCTGGTTCTCAAGCGGGACGCTACAAGCGTTTTGATAAGTCCATTCCGAGTGGTGCCGAGCGCGTGTTGGTTCCAACCAAGAACGATGTTGTCTTTGGTAGAGGTAAGGGCTCACACGATCACCCTGGAAACAGACGAATGCGAGAGATCATCCGTCGCCATAAGAAAGACTACAGCGCCATTCATCGATCCAAAAAGAGACAAATTGCAGAGCTTGTATATTCCGAAATCACGCAAAATGGTGCGAGGTTTCTACACAGGAAAAGAGGTGAAGAAGCCTATGCAGTGGTGGATCTCAACCTCGCTTTGCAAAAATTGAGCAACACGCTGCGGTGCCGCAAGAGTTGTTTGATTGGTGACGAGGATGAAAACGAAGAAACTGTAGCGGCGTCTTCATCCGCAGCCTTTGCTTCGGCTCCTGGGGCCGTTACTATTCAACCAAGACGGGACGCAGCCGGATTCCCTGGTGCCGTTCCACCAGCAGTATTGGCGCCACCCGTTGGTGGTCTCGTCTCCGCTGCTGCGTTGCATCAGGAAGCACTTAGTGCCGGTGCTGCTTCCATGACAGCGCAGGATTCGTTGTTGCGCAGGAGGTACCTCGCAGGGCTTGCAAGACCAGAATATATGCTGCCACCAACGAGTCTTGCGGCAGAACGTGAGCTGTGGATGGGCACATCATCTCTTGCCGCTGAAAGAGAGCTGCTTTTTCGAAGGTCTGCGCTTGGTCATCCATATGGTGCAGGTGGTGCTGGATCACTTTTGGGAAGCTCCTTGCTTGCCTCTGATCCATTGCTCTCTGCTCCCCCAATGTCAGCTCACGAAAGGTACAGTGAAATGATGGCTGCGGAGCAGGAATACCTTTTGGCCCGAAGACGATTGAGAAATGCAACCCTTGGTTTGTAGAAAATTTTGCTTTGCTATCGTATACTATTATTATTCCATATGATATTATGTTATATAGTCCTATTGCATTTCCCACAGAAATAATTTTGAAATTTATTGAAATTCTTATCACTTTAGAATGCATTTAGTCAGTTGGATTTTGAAAAAGTGAGCTTGCAGATGCGAATTGTAGTAGCATACTGTAGCTTCAATAGGCAATGATACTGTAGATAGCAGCAGTGGCGTTTCAGAAATACTCGTACCGTAGAAAAAATCAAGAGGAACGTGGAACGACAGACAGACTGCCAACGTAATTTTGTGACATCGACCATGACCACAAGAAAATCTTTTCTTTTCGAATAGAATACTGTGCAATACTGTATATTCATAGAATACCCATCATCCGCACTATCGGTACCAGGCTTATAAATTGCTGCCTCATCTCTAGTAGTATCATGCCTCGCGGAAAGAATTATGTCAACAACAATCGAGGTGTCTTTTTGCAAGCCAGCAAGAAGAACAAGCAAATCATGAGACAATGTGAGTACGGCTCGGCTTGCAACCGTCCGGATTGCATTTACCAACACGACAATGTGGGAACAAAGACGGATGAAGTATGTCTTCAATTTCTAGCAGGGACCTGTGCCTTTGCTACTGGTGGTTGTCGGAAGCGTCATCCTAACAAGGACGAAAAGGACCGCTTGCTACGAAAGTATAAGCGAGTTCGGTGTCATTTTGGAGACGACTGCCATACCGAAGGCTGCCTTTACCTGCATCCCAAAGAAATGAAGCCAATCGAACCGGCATATATTGAACCAATGAATATGGATGCAGCCTTTCCTGCACTGGGAAGTGCTCAATCCAAGAGTACGACGACGACGATGAACACTCCCAAAACGGAACCACTTCCGCCTTCCCCATGGAACAATACTGCGCCACAACAACAGCCCATGATGCAACAAAACATGCTGCCAATGAATCAACCGAACATGTCCAACATACCGATGGCACCAGCATGGTTTCCACAGGACCCATCATTTGCTCCGTTTTCTGCTCCTCCTCCTACCGGCATGCAAAATCAGCAGCAGCAACAGGAGTACTATGAATACGGTGATGGCGGTACTGGCTATGATTATGGTGGAGCAGGTTATGGATATTGTGGTGGCAGTGAGTACGATCATGGGGGATATAACAACAATGATATTAATGGCTACGACATGGGAGCGCCGGGAGAGGAAATGCCAGCGCCTCAAATGGCTCCCCCATCGTTCAATGCCGGAGCTAAGGAATTCGTTCCTGGGGGATTTTCATCATAGCGTAAAGAAAAAATAAGAATCAATACGGAATAATTTATTCGATGCGATCAAGCCAAGGATAGATTATGGTTGCCACCATGGTCATGGAACAGACTACAGTACTAATAACAATGTAACGGTGTCGTCGTAAGCACGAAGAAGACCGAGCACACACAAAATTGGAACTCGTTTTGAGCCTAGACTTTTGCTGTCTATCTTCTTCTTTTGCTGCAATGCAAACGTTAAGGATACATTCAACGTGAGAGTAATTAAATTGCGGTTGTTTTGTGTGATACCGGTATATGTAAAAGTGATACAAGGAGGTGACGACTGCCCCAAACGCTCGTCATGTTTCCTTTAAAATCTTTCAAATGAATTTGACTAATACGAACGCTTCAAACTTGTGGGAAAGCATGCTTCCCATCGCACCCAACATTGCAACCAACAACAGTCACTTGAGATTCATCGATTCATTGCTCTTTGCTGTCTACTGGTTATTTTTTGGTTGCGCTGCTGTTATTGATACGTGCACAATACGAATTCAACGCTGAGAGTAGAAAGATTGAACTAGAATCCGCCAAAATAACGACCAAAGCGAAGACAAACACAAACGTCAAATCTCGTACATTCTTTCCATTCATTCTACCTACATACATTAATATACCCTCAATCCTCAATACTGCTGAAATGGACTTGGAAACCTACATTTCTCGATACAGCGGAGAAACGCGACTACAAAGACTCCTTCTAATTGCTCAGCAGAGCCCCGATGAAGCTGTCGCTACTCAAGCCTTTGAGATGGCCGAAGCCCAAATGAAGGAAGAAGGAAACCTGCGGCAATACAAGAAAGTCTTTGGACTTTCCACAGTTACCGCTACTTCTACCGGTGAAACAAGTGGTGACATGGCTATGCAATTTGTCGGCGAGTCCAAATCTTCCGAAGGCAACCTCCGCCGCCCACCTCCTTCTTCCTTTCAACCAGACGAGTCTTGGATGGCTTCCACAGAAGCCGCCAACAAGGAAGCCCGTCACGTCTTGCAGGGCCGTTTGTCTGCGTCACAAAGTCAAATGCACCGCGAGGCCATTCGCAACGCCTATGTGGCTTTGGCCAAGCACGATGCCAAGACTGGAAATGCCTCGGCTGCTTTGGCCTCTTTATTTCGGGCCATGGATTATTGCACCAGCCGCACACAGTCTGGACAATTGAGTTTGGTACTACTAGAAGTGGCCTTGAATGCGGGCTGTTACGTACAAGCTCGTGAATATGTCACAAAGTTGGAACACACCTTGCAAGGAAACCCCGCTGGGGCCACTTCCAGCGAAGGAACTGAAATTTTGCAAGATGTGTCCATCAAGTTGCAAATTGCCTCTGGATTGGAACGCATGGCCCAAGGGGATTATGCTACGGCTGCTGTGACCTTTTCGAATTTGTGCAAGGCCCATGGTGGCGCCACTGCGAAATTAGATTGGCCCACTGTGGCAAGTGCGGATGATATTGCCATGTATGCGGCTTTGCTCAGTCTCGCCACCCAAGGCCGCTCCGAGATTCTTTGGCTGGCCGAACACCCCGAAGCTTTGGAGTTGGTTCCCGCCATGAGGGAACTACTCTCGCAGTGGGCCAAGGCGAATTACGTCAAGACCATTCAAGCCTTTAGCCAAGAGGGTGCAATTATGGAATTTCCTGACGTGTACTTTTCTACCGTTGACAAGTGGGAGAAATTGAGCCAATCGATTCGGGAAAAGTGTTTGTTGGAGTACCTGAAACCGTACCAGTGCGTCCAGCTTGAACACATGGCCAAGCTCTTTCCGTCTATTGCGAATGTTCAAGATACTCTGGTGGATTTGATGGGACGTGGTTTGCTAGAAGGGGCCAAGATTGATGGTCGGGCTAATGTCTTGCGCAAAACTCAAGGGGCAAATAAAAACCCAGCGCATTCCACTTTGAAGGACTTGGGTCAAATGGAAGACCGAATTTTGGATGATGCTCACGCCATGTTGATTCGATTGGCTTGTTTGGAGCAAGATTTGTGCGTGTCGGATGGTTTGTATGATGGATCTAGACGACGCACGGCGGCGACATATGGTAGAGATCACATGGTAGAGGATGACGATGACAGTAGTGATGAAGATACACCCATGATGGATGCGGATTTGCAGGCGGCTGCAGCACAAAATCCTGAAGATTTGTATTGAAAGGATTTAGTTGAAGGAAGGTTAGTACCGTAGTAGTATGATGGCTTCTACAATGGCTTAAACCAGTAGGGAAGCGAAACAAAATAACCAAAATTTTAGATTCCAAGCGATTTCAGATTCACGACTCTTCCCTAGTCTCACAACAACTGCGGACGAGGGCTTCCGTTTTCCAGGGAATACACAGTGTGGGTTTGGTTTTCGGAGCTACGCAATATAAATCATCTAGTTGCCGTGGTACGATGAAATTGAATGTCTACTTGGAAGAGTTATGCTGTAATAATAGAGGGACTAGTGCTGCATTATTTCTAATAGCGTTTGTACATGAATGGCCTCACTATCGTACTTATTTTTTCAAGCTACTGTACTCCATTATTTCAGTCGTGCAACGCCCGTGACTGAATCCGTACCAGGACAGACTCTGGAAATCCCAATGACAATTTTGAAATTTCACATTCAGACGACAAGTGCATAAAATTTGAACACACAAAGAGGCCAAATTGCAGGAAGATAATGCTGGAACGAACGAGAAGAGGCTGCCTTATAATGATTGTGTGGTAAAAGGATGAAACCAAAAACGAAAGAAATAATTCCGTGAAAGAAGTGAGCGAGGCTTCAGGTCAGACACGAGCGCGACTTTTGTTGCGTTGACATTCAAAGACATGTCGTCACCGCCTCAGGGAAGGCGTCGAAGAGTCAATTCGGAAGTGCATCGTGATCTGCAGGATTTCAATCATGCTTCGTTGGATGGAACGACCCTTTCAGCCAATCGCCCGAATACTGTTAGACTGAGGAGCAAGAAACGACACGTCTATCATGGATTGGAATTATGCTGGCCTATTCATCATGATCGCAAGAATCACCACCGCCATGATGGAAAGAATGGACCAAAGCTCAATCTACTACTGTTGGTGATGTGCTGCTTTGTCATTGTTCCTCTTTGTTATGTCAAGGTGGCTTATTATGTGGCCTTTGCAGGATCTGACAGGTCTCCTGATAATCGCAGCAGTGCTGATGTCCATCCAAATGTTCGGGGAAGCCCCAGGAGTCCATCACTGCCACAAGATGAGAATGGCAAGACCCATCAAGTTCCCCGCATTTTGATCTTCACACACTATCGCGACCTGTTGAACACACCGTTGGAGGATTTGGCAGATGAAGAAGAGAAAATGCTCGCCACCAACATCCACCATTCTATCAACATTCACCAGTCGTCCAGTACGAATGGCTTTCAAGACGATGGAAGATTGAACGATGTTAAACCTCCTCAAGTAGGTCCCACCCAAGTTCGTTTTCTAACAGACGAGGATTGCTTGCAATCCTTGCAAAAGGTCTTTCCAGCATTGATCCCTTATTTTCTCAATGAGACGCAAGGAATGTTCAAGGCAGACATTTGCCGAGGAAGTGCTCTATTCGAAACGGGCGGGATTTATTTGGATGTAGATGTTGGAGTGCGTGCCGATCTTTGGTACGATCTATTGCAGACCACCGAATTCTTTACATCCCTCGTACATCGACAATCAAAGTACCCGGGTCACTTTTTCCAAGCCATTCTCGGTGCAGCTCCCAAGAGTCCCATCATTTACAGGTACTTGGAGCTATTTCTGGATCATTACACACACAAGGAATATGTGGACAGTGGACCCTTAGGGGTGATTCTTTTGCGCAGAGCATGGGATGCTGTATACGACGAGAAACTTGAATCTCCGCCCACGGAGCTCTACCAGGAAGTCTTGTACCATCCCAAAGCCTTCCCGAACCTGCATCCAGCACCAACTTGGGGAGTACGTCGTGCCTGTCACTTTGTAGTGGTTGCTCGTGCCCACAAGGAAAACACTGTGGAATTCACAATCCAACCTCGGAGTACCAACGGCACGGCCACAGATCATGATTTGAAGGCTCGAAAGTATCGCATTCCCCTGTACAGTCGGGTTGGAGGCAGTCGAATGTGCCCCATCAAAGGTGCTGCTATTAATGGCACTTCTTTGTAATACGTTGCCAAACTTTGATAATACGGAATTATTGTAGTATTTATTCTACTACAATAGATAATGGTGTAATCAAGGCAAGCAGGACCATCTCCACAAAGCTGCAGTTGGTCTCATAACCCAACACGTGTTTTGAGGATGGAATTTTTGCCCCCAAATTGACAATGGTCGGGGACGCATCTTATTGTCATTCAAACCTGTACTTTGCCTTTCCACTTGCAACAAGCATCGAGCAACAACCTTTCCTCGACGACACATTGTACACTTAAGAAATAGCATGTCCGAGGCACCGCCAGCAGCAGCACCTGCCCCCGCAGGAAAGGCAGGAAAGAAGGAGAAAAAGAATCAGGCGAAAAAGAAACCACCTTCCAATTTGGTGATTCCACCGAAAAAGCCCAAGCTGACCAAAGCAGAACGTCGGGCCTTGCAAGAGCAACAACGGGCAGCCAAGGCGGGTGAAAAAGCAGGAGGTGCTAAAAAGGGCGGTGGAGAGCAGCAGCAACAAGGAGGGCAACAAGAAAAGAAGGGGCAACAGCAGCAGGATCTGTCGAGTTCAGCTGACGCCTCCAAGTCCAAACAGAACCAAAAACCAGATTCTTCTGAGACAAGCAAAAGTGGGAAAGAGGAAGAAAGCCACGAGGAGAACAGAACCTTGGATATATTTGCTCACCTTTCAAACTATCACGGTACGTCCTACGAGTCCAACGACTTCATTCGCTGCTAGTGTACTTGTTGATTGATGGGGCAAATGTAGTAGTTGCCCTGTTTCTTCAATGAATCTAGATCCTATTTTCCCTTTGAAGATTTTTCTCACACAGGTGCTTCCGTTCTCTCTATTACCAAATGATTTCTCTTAAATATTTGGTGAATGATAGAGCTCCCCAATCCGCACGCTCCAGAGTGGACATCCACACTCCACCCAGCAGTGATTGAGTTGGGAATGCAATACGCCTCGGGGTCCATTCGAGGAGGACAAGCTCGATGCCGATCCATGTTGGAGGTGTTCTTACAAGTATTTGACGACTATGAGCCTCCCGAAGATACTACCTCAGATTACCGTAGCCATTTGGACCACATGGTGCTCAAGCCATCCTTTACCTTTTGGACTACAAAATGCCGACAACACTGTGTCAGTATGGGAAATGCCTTTACTTTTTGCAAGCTAGCTGTAGCATCCCTCGATCGTGATTCAACGTGGGAAAAAGCCAAGGACATTTTGAAAGATACATTGGATCGATACATGCACGAACGAATGGATATTGCCAACCAAGCGATTACCGAACATGCCATGAAGAAAATTGCCAATGGAGATGTCATTCTAACTTTTGGAAACTCGCACGCCATTCGAGTATTGCTAACAACCGCCAAGAAGGAAGGACTTGATTTCTACGTTTGGATTGCCGATTCGCGGCCACTTTTTGAGGGAAAGGATATGCTGGCAGCATTGGAAGAAGCTGGAATTTCGTGTGGATATATTCAATTGAACGCACTCACCTATGTGTTGAAACAAATCAACAAGGTATTTTTGGGTGCCAGTGCCTTGATGAGCAACGGAGCAGTCTTTGGACGAGTGGGAACTGCTTGTGTCGCCATGTTGGCCAATGACAGTCACATACCAGTCCTAGTCTGCTGCGAAACATACAAGATCTCTAACAAGGTTCAATTGGAATCTATTACGCATAACGAACTTGGGAATCCCGACGCCCTTGCTGAACTCCCAGAAGGTCCCGCTTCGTCATGCTTGTCTAACTGGAGGGAAAGCAAGACTTTGAAGCTATTGAATCTCATGTACGACGTTACACCACCCGATTTCGTCAGTGGTATCATTACTGAAGTTGGAATTATTCCATCTACAAGTGTTGCAGTGCTATTGCGAGAAATGAACCCTCAAGATGCAGCCTATTAAAAAATTCATTCATGATTATTTCCCATGTTAGAATCTATTGATAGACAGTATTATACATTTCGTTAGGTACGGTTGTTTACGAGGTAGTGACGGCTTCTGTCAGGTATTGTATTGGGGTGTGCTGTGCGTGTTGAAAGAGTGCGTCATTAACTCTTGCAATTCTGTGGTAAAGCGTTGATTTGATAGTCAACTCTTCTAATGATGTGTATGACTATGCATCGCCGAGATCTCAGTGTTTGCCCATCCTCAATCAAAGGCAAATGGTCAATGTCCAAGCATGTTTATGTGATGCATCATATTGTCGTAGCTCATTTCTTCTTCGTCACGTCAGTTGCTTAATGTCACAATAGAAAGAACCACTCAACTCGGATACATGTGACAACCGATCGGCGTCAATCTTCAACGTCATTTTCTGTTCATCAAATACATTTGCATAATCCGAATCGACAGTCTCTGGAGTCCCAGGCTTTTTGCGTTCCGTAAAGGAAGTAATGGGAAAGCATTGCAAACAATGCCCATTCATTGCCAACCCACCCACCGTCAGTGCTTTCCATCCACCAAAGACTCGTCGTTTGTGCAGTTGATTGGCACAGAAAGGGCACTGTCCAGCTTGAATTAACTTTAGCGCCAATGAAACCCCTTTGTCGACAGGGCATTGTTGTGGGTCTTCACCGCTGGTGTTCTCATTGTTTACAACATCAGGAGTCAATCCTGCATTGATCCACGTCTTGTGGTGTTTCTTTTTGAAAAATCGTGCTTTTAAGCGCTTTCCTGCTGCCCGGAGACTTGCTTTCAATCCCATCTTGCAAGCTAATTATCCTTTCCATACACTGGATTAGTATGGAGGAGGAATGGTACCAGTACTATAGCGCAATGAGTGAGTGCGGCAACACACACTCCCCTCCGGTTTTGAAAAAGAACTCACACATGAGAGAGTGCGAGTCAGTCGGTCTATCACTTGAGGCTTGTCATTATGTGCCCCTCCCCCACTACTACCGGTACCCCCCAATACATTTCCGAGACGCAGCATCATTCAGCATTGCTCCATGCAAACGATGCTATCGTATTGACGTCCCTCTCGCAATCAGAGACACTTCCGAAACATTACAGCATACAAACGTAAGAGCATTTAGCTACTTTTAATAAATGAGTAGTTCTACGGATTGAACCTGTTGCACTCGATGATTGATTCACCACGTCCTCAAGAGGAGGGACTTCTTGACTTCTTCTCCTCCTAATAGTCCGAAACATAAAATATTCCAATCTAGAATGATTCATTCAATTAAATTTCTCAACAATATGAACCAATGCAAGCAATCGAACGCAACTACTCCAACATGGGCACAAGGACGGAGACGTGGCATCTGGCATCCGTTGTTGAACTTACTTGCTGGGTGATGGCACGGACGTCAGAGACCATTTGTCTGATCTATGTCGCACAAGAATCCAGAATTATTTTCGTACGGTGAAACGTACTAGTCTTGCTAGGACCGAGCCAGAATAGCTGCATTCGCACAACAAATGTCTCAACGGAGCTTCGTTTTCCGTGTCACAAAGAATTTTTGTTTCAAGTTTTTGTGAAACGCAAGATCGTTGTGTCAAAACATCCATATGTGGACCTCCTTTCGAGCAGACAACATGCCCGGCCACACCAAAAACCCTCTCTCCTCCCTCCTTGCCAGGATGCCGAAGGCCAAGTCGCCAGAGAGTTTGAAGGTAATTGAACTATTGGATGATTCGGATGACGAAGATACCAAAGAACAATGTTCTGTCAAAGATTCGAACGAAGAAATCCAAGAGAAAACGAAAGGCACTCAAACAAAAGAGCCTGCCGCCGCCAAGGAAAGGGAAGTAGCCATTGATAACTTGTGTAACGAATTGCAGGAAGTATTCAAGTTGTTGCGCACCAAGGAGAAGCGAAAGCTTAGTGACGCATTCGAAAGTACACCGGAGCTAAAGAAGCGAAAGATTAGTGACGCTAGCGAGGGGTCATCACGGCTCAAGTCTCCGCCCGCAGCAGTAGTCTCTCCCAATCAAGACGAAGCTTGTATCAAACCAAAGGAGCACGAAGAAACTTGTGTAGAATGCGTGGAAGAGTTCGCAACCGCGGCTGCAACCAATTCTGAGAATGAGAATTCTAACTTTGAAGCCCTTTTGAAGACTGCAGGTGAGGAGCAGCAGCGACTACAGGATACCGTCGAAGCAGAGAATATGACGGATGCTCTCATTAATTCCTTTAATGACTGCATGCCGCCTGAAGCCTCTAAAGGCGGCGAAGGCACGCCTCAAGCGGAAGACAATCAAGATCCAAACTGTCTCGCGATCGAAGAATCTTCGGGGGACGTGTGTTCCGTAGATCTCCCTACCAACGAAGAAGCTACGCTGGAAGAAACCGCTGAAAGTTTCCACGAGCCCGACATCACACCAAACGAAGAAACTGTCGAAAACTCCCACCCAGAAGAACTGGACGAACCGCAAGATGACGTTTCTATCGAGTACGAATGGGAAGAGACTTGGGATTCTCCCGTCAACGCTATCGTGTCTACTACAATCCAATGGATCAAGGATATCCTTCCTCCATCGATTGGTTCTTTTTTCTTGTTTGTTTCTGGTTTGTATTGTGTCTCTGTGGATTCTTCGGCGCCATTGAAGCTTGCCCTATGTCTACTCGTCTATTGTGTCAATGTTGGCAACGCAGTGGAGGAACGAGAAACGGGTGATCAACCCGTGTTTTGCGTCTCTCTTCCTACCAACGGATCCAAGAGTTGGCGAGCTCTGGTATTGTCATTCTACACGATTGGCGGGTTGGGATTGCTCAACTTGGTTTCTGCATTTGGTGACAAGCTTGGGGATCGGATCCGGACCCAAATGCAACAAGCTTGAGAACTTTCTTGTCTTACTTTTGAAAGCATCTGCTATTGGCTTCTGCGGGAGTTTGTGTAATAGAATCTGCATAGATGATGCTTATTATAACTATTCATGTATTGTTTTAAAAGTAACAGTACTAGTATCTGAGTATTTGGAGTAGTCTATATCCAGTATCATTGTGTGCAGCGCGGTATGTAAGATTGCGAGACAGAGATACCTAGATAGTCTTGCGGCTTGCACTGTTGCGATTGAGAATGCCGCTGATCATCATGACAGCCAAATACTGCCTGTTACTGTACTACAGTACGTACCCGTATATATCAGCTTCTACAGTGTAGTCGCGCCAGTCAATCAATCGAATTTCGACCAACCTTCATTCTTCAGTCAACCTCTCTGCTCTAAAGCGGTTCTAGCCACAACTTAACAAACATCTAGGTATAGGTATCGAAGGAACATTGAGGATTTTAGTGATAATGGGGCTGACTGATGCTCAAAACGTGACCAAATGTGTCGTTGAAAATCGCAAGTAAAGGTTCTGCCAACCTGATGGGATTTTGATAACCCAAAGACAGTTCATCATGCTCTAGAGGGAAAGGAACCTCGCACGAACGACCATGGAAAGGATTACCGCGTTGGGAATACAAGAGGTAGTGGTACATATTCCGAATCGGCATGCAAATACGCAACCCTACCACAAATCATCGTTGACCCTCAACCCTTAGCAAGCAAATGCAGTGACAAAACGGCTGTTCCTATGCCAGCTCTTGTCTGCGATCCCGAAGGCAGGCGCAATAATACAACCGATTCAAGTTTTAAGAAGATGACGACGGGGAGAGAAAAAGGATACAATGGTCCTTTGGGATGGAATGAGCACCAACAGCAGTGCAATCACCGAAGATACTCTTCCAGAAAACTGTTGAGTCTGCTCCCCTTTTGCTTTGACGCACGCATTCGAACTGAAGATGTCAATACCCAGAATGAAAGCACGGTGCAATGTTTGTCGTCCCTTAAAAAGAAGAACGTCACCATCGATGGTGAATGAATGAATCGTCATGGAGAGGCGAACGACTGATCGAAAGCACAACAGTGTCCATGCCCGAATCAATGTGGCTCAGTATGCCTCGTTTGGCATCGGCTTTCAACGTCCGCAAAGGAATAAAAATACTCCAAGAAGAAAACATTGCAAAAGACAGTAAAATGACCATGTCTTCAGCCCGTGGACAATCGTTTGTGCCACAGTGCCACAGGCACGCTCTCCAACTTTTCTTCCTCATCACTCAGTAACTATGTGAAAGGGAATAGTCGGCGCCTAGAATGTCAGCGATGTTATGTCAAGCTAAACAATGGATCCTACTTGTGTGACTCATGAATTCCTACCGGTAGAAGTGAGACTGCCCCCAGGCGTGACGAGGAGGAGAGGTACGTTACACGTGCACAGGGTGGAAGCAACGACATTTCCGTACGTTCAAGTGCGCCAGTCGGCGTTCCCTCCATTCTCTTGAAAACTCGAATTCAATTTAAGGACTTCTCCAATGACAAATTTCAAACTCGATGACACCTGTGGTACGGATCTAGAACGCATAAACTAGCAAGGGGCATGATTTGCCTAGACTCTGACTCAGATTCAGATGCTGACCTAGCTCTTATTATGGCAAGCAAACATTATGCTCCCAGCAATGGCAAAACGGGTGATTTCATGAAACGAAATCTTCGAGAATCCGAAGGATCTTTGGATTGTTCTACCAAGAGTATAGGTTCTACTTCCCCAAGGAATACCAATCCAACTGGCATTGCCAACATGAGCCTGAGCCACGCTAATCTTCGTCGGTCGAGTAGAGGTCATATCGTAACTTCAACTTACAGCAAACTGAAGGCTCCACCTTCTTACCCCAGTCATATTCAAAGAAAGGTCGATGAGTTCACAGCAGAAGAGCGGCAACAAGCCGAATCGAAGAAGCGCAGTAGTTTGCGACGAAATGGAGAGAAGCCAAAGCGGAGTAAGCTCAATACTCTTGTTTTGTTATCTCATAATGACAAGGTTTCTAACATTTTTCGAATTGGTTGTCATGTAAAGAGATTTCTATGTCCACTTCACTTGAAATGCCGGAAAGTCTTCTAGATATTGATGCACATAGAACATCTGTCATTACGCAGGATGTGGATGAAACAGCCACTCACTCAAATGAATCTGGTGATGAAGATATTTCTGTACACAAAGCTGAAAAAAGCGTATCGCCAGCGGGTGGGGATAGCGATGCCACCTTGTCGCTAAGCCAAGAATCTGTATCGTCTACAAGCTGCGACGAAGATCATAGCAAATCCTCTTTGCTGACGAAGGAGGAGAAGAAAGCACCGAGTGAAGTGGACGTCTCATCTCCTTTTGAGCCCACAGGCAGACAGTTTGATGAGCTGGGGACAAGCCAAGGTGATCCAATTGAACTCAGCAGTGACAGCGAGGTGGAAAATGAGGAAAACAATCATGGAGATTCCAACTTGAATCTTATTCAATCAGAAGGGCGACCAGAAGGTCTTCATCCACAAGGCCTCGATTCGACCTCCAGTCGCTTTCCAAGGAAATGTAAAAATGAGAGATGGAATGACGAAGAAAAGAAGAAGTACAAAAATGATCATCCTTGTATTGGTACGAAAGGACGTCCAATTAAGTCAGTCCACAGGGATAGGAAATGCGAGTCTTGTGGCTACTGCCGTACCTGCACCAGTCCACCCTGGTGTACAACGAGGGAGTTGCATTCATTTAAAGAAGAACAGGAACAAAAAATATGTACTCCTAACATTACCACGAAGGACGCTCAGCCCTATCTCGCCACTCCTTATCGGAGAGCAGAAAGAAAGCGACAGGTTGTTTCGTTGAGTCCAACGCGAAAAGTGTCATCGAAACGAAAACACTCTGTTGACGAGAAAGCATCCAGAAAAAGTGCAAAGGGCTGTGCGACTCAAGGAAAAGATGAGATGATGATACCGCGAACATTGGAGGAAATCTCTACTCGTCGGGACAGCAAAAAAAGAAGCCCATATAAGTTGGCAGTGAGTCCAACAAAAGACAAAAAGAAACGAAAGCACAAGAAGAAGAAGAAGAAATTTACGAAGCAAGGTGATGATGAAACGCAGAAAATCTTTTTGTTCCTAGCTGAAAGAGTGATGAAGTGCGAGAAAGAGTTGGACGAGCGAAAGCATTTCAAAACGGAAATCCCACCAGCGTTGGCCGGATCTGAGGAAACCAATCCTCAACAACATTTGGGTATCCCTAGAAACTCTGCCCAGGCATCGTCTATCAATTTTATCGCACCCGAAGACTTGCAGAGAGCAGTTGAAGGGGCTTTGCAAAATATTTCGCTCGTGGAGAGGACACCATTTGCAACAACTGGGTTTGCTGTGCGCGATGATTCCATAGTGAAACCTGTATCAGAATACACGGAAAATGGCCGAGCCGTGCCTTATTTCAGCCAAAGCGCTCAAGTTGTGACAACATCTGTAGATGAGCAGGTCTTTCCGGCCTCACAAATACCCATACAAGCAAGTGAAGTGAAAGATAGAGGAAATCAAGATGGAAGAGACTTGTTCAATGACGCTGGAGGCACGGATTCATATCAAGAACCCCCCCGCGCTGCCATTGGAGGGCGAGAAACTCAGAGGATGGAAGGTATTGGAAGTACCCAAAATACAAATGAAATAGCCACGAAACAAGACTCCAGAGGGAAAAACGACAGCGAGACAATTCGCAGGCTTCGACAACAAAGAGACGAAAGTGAAGCAGCTGTGAGTTCAAAATTTCAGCGGGTGCTACAGCAACGCAATGGTAGTATGGAAGTTGAGTCGCGGTCTAGCGAACTTGTGAGTGGCAGAATTCCAAGCTCGAGCCAGCAAAGAGGCGAAAATGCTGGTACGAAAGTCTCATCTCCGCCTGCTAGGCACTTCCCCAACAATGAAAGTATGATGTTGTTGCTTCTCCTCATCATACTTTCTATGGCTACAATCGAGCCCCCTATTCTCAATGGCATTCTGTTTGTACTCGTCGTTATCAGACTCGTCATGGTACTGAGTCACCACAACAATTGAATGAATAAAGTCACCACGAAACACATAGGATTATAAATTAACGTATTCATCTTATTCAATGACTTGACTCCTAATAACATGTATCCAGAAGCTGGCCTCAACGCTCATGGACTTTCTACAGAGATGGTTCGGAGGACAGTTAGCTTTCGTGTAGGTTGTGAACTCTTCTTTCCAATGAGTTTAGACACATTGATGGCGGACAGTTTCCTCACATCTTCGTCATCCACAGCAACCAACTTGTCGCCAACCTTTATCCTGTCAGCAATAATGGAAGTGGGCTTGACTGCATGCACAAATGATGCCCCGTCACTGGGTGTATCAATCACCACTCCCAGTTTGCCTGGTGGTGCAAAGACATGAATGAGTTCTTCTCTGGTGGTAGGAGCCTCAGAGACACTGTCTTCTTGAACGCTTCTTGCACCATTGGAGGACTTTGGCGAGGCTGCTGCTTTTGGTGAGGCCACCTTTTCTTTTGCTGGGGCCTTCTTTCTCCCCTTTCGGCAGCACATCAAACAAATAAATAAAAGCACAAGTACAGCAGCTCCGATACCAATGAGAACATATGTATTCGAAAGGAGCGAGTCATCGTCTTCAGGTTCTTCTTCACCAGTGCCAGCTGTAGAAACAGATGGCGCTCTTGTTGGAGGGGAGGTAGGAGTTTCTGGTGGGGTTGAGACATCAGTTGCAGTTACTCCAGTAAGATCAATAAAGCTTTCGCCTCTACCCTTGAGATCAGCCAAAAACTGGGTACGATCAGCGTCATTTGCCAGTGGTTGCGTGGCCAAATCATTTCCCTCTAATTCTGCACCACTTGAAGAAATGTATTCAAAAGTGTGATCGTAAGTGATTTCGACTCCAGATTCTCCATCTTGCAATCTTCGCAACCTCCTGGGTACGTCCACATTAGTGATCTTTGGTGTGTTGGCCAGGAGAGTGATATCTGGGTTCGAAGCTGAGAAATACTCCGTTGTCGTTTCGAACATTTGGGCGATCCATGCATCTTGACAAGCAGTGTCGCATGCCGTCATGCCTAGAAGTGTTTGACTCAAGTCCGTTGCACTCACTGTTGTCGCTAATGGTACTACTGGCGCTGTGGTAGGAGCTCCAGGTGTCACTGTTGGGCTATCCACGGGAGGACTTGGTGCTGTTGGGCCATCAACTGGAGGAGCTGTTGTTGTAGGGCCATCAACGGGAGGACTTGGTGCTGTAGGGGTATCGACGGGAGGACTTGGAGCTGTAGGGGTATCAACGGGAGGGGTAGGGGTGTCTACTGGAGGACTTGGTACCGTTGGTGGAGTACCACTATCCACTGGGGCACTAGTTGCTGTTGGGGGTCCCGCCACAGGAGGTGCTACTGGGGCCATCACTGGTGGTGCAACTGGCGCAGGTGCGACTGGGGCATTTGTTGGAGTGACAACTGGTGGAGCAGTAGGCAAGGGCCTGACTGGAGCAAGGATAGGTGCAGCGGTTTGAGGAGCAATGGATGGTGCCGGAGTAGCCATTGTTGGTGTTGTAGGTCGACCCGCTACGTATTCAAAACGAATCAAGTGTCAGCAATGAATGTGAATCGAGACATGGATTGGCTGTAGCAAATGTGAACAGATGTGTGCTTACCAACTTCGAAATTGATGATCTGACCCTGCGCGCAGTTGTCGCTGACGCTACTGGTGAATGTAATGGTTTTTCCAGCGTCTTCTTCGGTGAACCGATAGGTAACAGAAGCAGGTCCAACTGGCCCAACAAAAATACTTCCATCCAGACTACAGTCGCCGGAAGGGTGAATCCAAACATCACTGAATTCGTCATAGGTAAATGTCACCGAATCTCCTGGCACGGCTTCGACATCACCATATGCCGCGACGAACCAAGTCAATTCGAACTTTGTCGCACCCACGATAGTGGGAAAGCCAGTCGGACTGATAGTTGGAAACGGAGTCGTAGGAACTCTTGTGGGAAGACCGGTGGGGGATGGCGTCTCGATGGTTGGGGCAATGCTGATTTCGTCGAAATAGAGAGATGGAAAGAGAAATGCGGTTAGAAACGCGATCGAGTCTAAGATCAAATTTATTGCGATAGGGAGCAGTTGACGTACGTTGGCCTCGTCGATGGTGAGCTTGTTGGGGTCGTGGAAGGTTGCTCAGTGGTTGGCACTGAAGAAAAAAAACAGAGTGGAATTTAGGTGTCAGAATTGTTTAGGACAAATCTGAAAAAAGGCGGTCATCAGAACCCAACATGGACTTACCAACTGTAAAGGTAATGATTTGCCCATTTGCACAATTGTCCTCTACACTTGTTGCAAAGGTGACAGGAGACCCAAGATCTGAATCCGTAAAATTGTAGGACGCTGAACCAGGCCCAAATCCACCGAGTTGAATTCTTCCACTCTGTTCACAACTTCCTGTCGGATGGATCCAAAGATCACTATTTGCACCGTATGTGAAGGTTACCTGTTGCAATACATCGCGAGGCAGAGAAAGAACAAGAATCAATGGATGAATGAATGAATGAATGAATCAACAAATAATTCAGCATCGGAATATGATAGAATGATAAAAATCAATCCATCGTCATTGCCATATTCAACATACCGTATCACCGGGATTGGCAACAATGCCACCATACAATGCATTATCCCAAACTAGCGCAAAGTCCGTTGCAGTAGTTGCTTGAATCAACAGGGAAAGCGCACATAGAAGAACTGCTCCAAATCGAATCATTTTTGTCAATTGTTGTTGAACGGAGTGGAACCCTTATTATGAAATGCGTATCTTTTGTTGTTGTTGTTTCAGTATCTCTTCACTACCAAATCGATTGACACGTCCTCTACTCTTCGGTAACAACAACGAACCCTCTTTCTACTGTATCGCGTCTTCTTGGTGGAGTTGTAATGACGTGTGTGTCAACCAACAATTACAAGCAATGAGATGGAAGCTTTTGTGGGGAACCTCTCAAAGGTGCAAGTTAGTTGGAGTTGTCCGTTGTATCGCGTAGATTGTACTACGGGCAAAGTACCACACGTCATACCCATAAGTAAATAAATAAATAATTGGCTCGCCAATTCGGAAGTCACGAGCCACATTTTGACCAATAATCCAATGCAATCTCGATCGGATGGCAATGCTGGGCCATGCTACTGTAGCTTACAGGAAGAACTATAAAATCGACATAAACAAAATATAGTATTTGTTACCATCTCTTTACATATCTTGGTGTTTGACTTTTCATTCTATAACAGTCGTTCTGATGATACTCAGCTTTCTTGATGGGTTGGCACTCTTTCGACTAATGAGTTTGGACACCTTGATTGCTGTCATCGCTCTGACATCTTCATCGTCTACTGCCACGAGCTTATCACCAACCTGTATCTTGTCAGCAATTATAGAAGAATCTTTGACGGCGTGGACCACTGGTGCTCCGTCATCTGGAGTGTCAATAACAACTCCAAGCTTCCCAGGGGGTGCGAATACGTGAATCAGATCTTCTTTGACATTGCCGCCAGTGGCACGGTAGGCGTCTTCAAAGGAACCACCAGTGTCGAATCCGCCAAGAGCTCCTCCAGTGGCTCCAGCATTCACAGGATCCAATAATCCTTGGTTGTTCGATCCATACGTACCACCAGCTTCCGAAACCGAAGTGTCACCACCTCCGCCGTATGCCTTGGAATAGTCGTAGTCAACTGTTGCAACACTGCAAATAAAAAAGATGTGTAAGATAAGTTTCGTTTTCAGAACAAACTACATAGCCCAGCAAAAAAGAGATTCAAGACGTACCTTTGGTCTCCATAGGGTCTATCCGGACCTCCAAGTGTGCTGACTTCGTCTCTTCCATGGTTGACCTTGAGCACATCAGGTGGTGGGCCACTACCGTCTTGTCCGTTATCCTTCTTTCTACAACATAGGAACCCAATCAATGCCAAAACAATGACACCACCTCCGGCAGCAATACCAATGATAGCATTTCTAGACAATAGAGGATCATCATCTTCTGCTTCGGTGCCTGGACTCGCGACTGGTGCACCAGTTGGTGCAGGTGTGTCAGGAGAGTCAATGGAAGTGACTCCAGTAAGGTCCGTGAAGAAATCTCCTCTCGACTTGAGATTTGCGACAAATTGGTTTCGGTTAGCTGATGTTGCCAATGGTTGTGCGGCCAAATCGTACACTCGGACAGTAGTGTCCCCTTCAGATGTATATTGGAATTCGTGATCATAGTTCACAACAACGCCAGATGATCCACCTTGTAATCTACGTCTGGTTGGCAATTCAACGCTGGTAATCTTTGGAGTATTGGTAACAACAGTAAAATCAGCATCCAAACGAGCAAAATAGTTGACTGTGCTTTCAAACATCTGAGAGGCCCATTCCTGTTGGCAAAGTTCATCACACTCGGTCATTCCTTGAAGCGTTTGACTCAAGTCTGTGGCTGTTTCAGTTGTTATTTCTGGTCCTCCCGATGGTGCTGCTGATGGTTCTGGGGCCAGTGTAGGGGCAAGAGTGGGTTCCTTCGTTGGCTCTCCAGTGATGGGGGCAGCGGTTGGTTCACCAGTGATGGGAGCAACTGTTGGTTCACCCGTTACAGGAGCAATTGTTGGTGCCGCGGTGACGGGTGCAATTGTAGGGGCGGCTGTTGGCAAAGGAGTGATAGGTGCAGCTGTCGGTGAAGGAGTGGCCGCTGTCACTGTTGGTGAAGGGGTAGCTGGTGTCACTGTTGGTGATGGAGTAGCAGGAATGACTGGAGTGACTGTTGGCGACGGGGTAGCTACGACAGGTGCAGCAGTGGTGGGAGCAGCGGTAGAGGGAGCAATCGAGGGCGCGGGACTTATCGGTGCTGCACTTGGAGACTTTGATGGCACTTCGGATGCGGCAGAAGGCATCAAACTACAAAATGGACGCGGATCGACCAATGAAAGTGTCAAGTTGTAATGGTTGTTGTAAATCATCGCTGGTTGAGTAGGCATCGTCTAAGGGCACGCTTTGTTCCCTTAACATTGACGTACCTTGGTTGTACAACTGGGGGTGCTACCGTTGGTGACGGAGTGGCTGGGACTGGTGGTAGAAGAAGATTGATGGAGGAAGTTACAAGTGAGAAACTGCATCCAATCGATCAATACATCAAAGTACGTCGTCGAACGAACAAACCTACCAATCTGAAAGTTGATAATTTGACCACTCTCGCAATGAGATCCAGTGTCACAGGCAAATGTGATGGTGGACCCAAGATCGGCGTCGGTAAACGCATAGGTGGCAGGGCTAGCACCAAGAGCACCGACTGCAATCTTTCCAGTTTCTACACAGGTTCCAGTGGGATGGATCCAGACATCGTGATTTGCACCATAATTGAATGTAACCTATTTGTTTTCAGCAGCACCATATTAAGGATAAAGAGAGAAGAAAAAAGAAGGAAAAGAATCCTATTGTTGAGCATGGTGATGTACGTGCAAAGTCGTTTGAACAATGCTTTCCAATGCAATGCTTCCAAGATTTCTTTCGACATACCGTATCTCCTGGAGAAGCAGTAATATTTCCATAAAGTGCAATCGCCCATAGAAAATCAAAGTTCGTTTGCGCCGTGGCTTGGGATATTTGAGATAAAAGGCACAGCAGTGCTCCGAATCGCATCATTGTTGTAGTCATCTATCTGTCCTGAACAGTATATTGAAAATGTATTTGATTTTGTTTTTGTCTTGTTGCACTGGAAACTGATCTATTTTTCCTTCAATGACTGTTGTTATCGTTTGATTCTTGCTTGTTGCTGTTATTATTGCTCTTGCTGTTCTTCCTCAATGACAAGGCTAATGCAGTACAGTATCTATTCCAAACCTCTTACAGTACTCTTGGTTCAAAACCTCAAAAGCCAGCAATGATTCCAATACTTTGATCCACATGCAGGCCGCCGTTTTGAATTGATAGGAAATTTCCTGACGGTGCGGCTCGCTCGCCAGTTCACCAATCGCAATGCCTTAACGGTCTTGCATCGGACGTTGATTTGAGTCACCCCGATCTAAGGCGAACAACGGAAAGACCATTTGCCGCACTCGTCAGTCCCATATGTAATGAGCTTCCGAGCTAGTGATCGAGCAAGTCAAAAATAGGTATCCAAATAGCAAAGATGTTTGTGTCTGGTACTGTAGTGTTGTTTGTTTGTTTTTATGAGTGTATTATGGATACTAATGAAAAAGGATGTGTGTTTGTGTGTGTGTGTGACAGTCGAACACCTACAATACATTGCATTTGCAGCCACCCACCTCAAATCTTGCGATCGCCATTAATGCTGGGAGCCAAGTCGGCATCCGATGCATCGTTGGCATCCGTGGGCATACCACCAAGTGCTCCTCCGGGAAACTTGGGAGGACCGCCCAAGCTGGAAGCGTATCCATCGAGTGAATAACCATAGGAATCCATACTGGAGACACTGTGTGCATCACTCAATTCGCGTGGTTCAAACTTGGCCGATGGTGCTGTAGCCGCAGGGTTCCCAGCCGGCGCTTGATGTGGCATGGAGTATCCCGCGTAGCTAGAGTCCAAACCATTCGAAACGACAGAGTCGGTAATGACCGAGTCGGAGATGACAGAATCTGGATAGTTCGAAGCCCCTGGAATCTCTTGTGGTGGAGGTTCTCTGGCGGACGACGGTGTTCCTGTTTGAGCAGTAGAAGGTGGTACCATGCCCAAGGGTTGATGCTTGGGAGGAGGTGTGGGTGCATGTTGTCCTCCTCGAGTCTTTTCCATATTACCATTATCTCGTTCTCCGCGGTTTGCCTTGTACGCTTCTCGCTTGGCTCGATCTGATCTCCATGCCCAAATGACGGCAAACATGAGCAGACAAAAGGCAAGACAGGCAACGATAATGGCAATCATAATGATAATCTCCAAAGTCTTGTCGGTTGCCGATTCATCTTCACCTCCAGAATTGTCACCATTTGTAGCGGACAATTCCGCACGGACATCCAACACAGCAGTTCCCAGACCCATTCCAGGTTCCGCATTACGAAGGAGGTCCAAAAGCCTCTTGTCTTCTAGTAAAGTAGCCTTTTGAATCAACTCGACAAAGTCCGCATTGACCGGTTCGGTCATGGCCGATTCCAAGTTCCAAACAGTGAATCCTCGAAAGACAGCCTTGTAAAAGTTGGTGGCTTGAGCGCCTTCTTGCAATTGCCTTCGAGTCACAAAGTCCAAGGCGGCATAATCAAAGGTGGCGCCACTGCTGAGCAAGGAATCATTTTCGCTCTTGGCCTTGTAGGAATCGTCCAACCAACTGGTGACAATCTGCCTCAGCGTAAAGATATTCACATCTTCCGGAGCCCCATCCAAGGCCAGTCGAATGTCAAAATTTAACAAGTAGACCACCTGTCGATCCGCATTTCCTTGGAGTTCTCGTGAGGTCACTTCCGAGTTTCCAACGATGCGGCATTCCGCCACCGCCCACAGCATGGAAGCCATTATTATGAGGTGTTTCAAAATCATCATAGTGCTGTTCCCCCAATGTAATACTGTATGTAATAATAACAAGTCTTGGATCAAATAATTTACGAGAGCAATTCAATAATGTTCAATCAATCAATCAATCAATCAATCAATCAATTTGATTGCAATGCGTCTGAGCCCAATTTTTTCAAATAAATAATTCAACACCCAAAAGATAATAGTGTTTCTTCACTTTCAAAAAGTCTCTGCAGCTTCAAACGTTGATATACAATGACTTCTGATGCTCTTGGTGGAAGATGATGGATGACTTTGCACTAAGAAGCAACTGCGCAGACAAAAAGACTATGGATTATTGGAGTATTGCTTGCTTCTTCCCCACTCGACAATTTTTTTTGCCTTGATTCGGCACGATACGTTATCCATGTTGGTGGGAGCGTGCAAGGGCGGCCTGCTCGTTCACGTGAAAGTCATACGCAACACTCGCAGGGAGGTGAAATTTGCAGCCCCCCAATGCAACACTTTTTTGACGTGATTCAATTCCGTCTCGGATTGGGTCTGTCTGCTTTCCGTTTTAAGGTGCAATAGTACTACTGTACCAATCTTGTCAATGAAGGAGTGTTCCTTCAGAGTTGCACCATGATAAGTTTGTCGCATCTTGTTGACTCTTGCTTTATCTTTCATCTACTAGAGAGTGTAGTAGCTATCTATTTATTCATCATGGTCTATCTACTACCTAGTATGGGCTCGTCGTCCCGCCGACGTAGGCTGCCAGTCGACCCAACCACTTGAGGTCCGATTGTGTGAAACTTGCGAGTAGCTGATCACTGGTGACCAACCAACACGAATTGCCTGTGATGCGTTGGAGCACAATGCATCTCGTTTCGTCGGCAGCATTCAACCCCAAGTCCACTGCCGCGGGGTGTGTCAAAGGTAGACTTATTCTTCCTCCCTTGGATTGCTCGAGTTGCTTCAAAGCAGCTTGGATTCCTGTACTTTCGTCGGTAGGACTTGCCATGGTGGTCGTAGTGCCCAAGCGATAGACCATTTGATTCGTAGTATCGGCCTCGTCCTCTAATGATGATGATCCTTCGAGTAGCATCATTTGAGTCGCAGGGGTAACGGATAGGTAGGACGCTGCAGCCCATTGTATTTTGGATTTTTCATCGTCATTAATGTTGGAAAAAGTGGCCCACTTTTGCAACAATTTTTCGTCCGTATTGCTAGTAGTACTCGACGTTGTTTTTGACGCGCTACTAGTACTACTGCCTTCAATAATCAAGTCTTCCTTTCCAAATTCAATGGCCGCTTGAAATAACACCAATAGACTATACAGAATAGCAACAACTTCTTCAAACGAAAGGTTTCCAAAGGGAGTGGGGGAGGTAATGTGATTGATTGCGGTCAAGATCAACAAGACGCTCCCAAAGACGACTCGAACTTTGGGGCCTTCCAAACCAGGCACAAAGAAGCCAGATCCTTTTTCAATGGCACCGGATGGACGAACGTAGACTCCCTTGGATTTTTTCCTTTTTTCTTCTTCGGCGTACAGTCGGGTCCCTCCTGATACTATCCTACTCCTTCGTGGTGCCAAGAAGAAAGATTGTGATGGTGCATGCTTTTCTTCAATCGAAAATGAATCAAGTCTGCTGATGGATTGAGGTTGTGGTGGTACAAAGCCAAAGGCAGTTTCTGATTCAATGCAGAAACACAAGAGAGCAACCATACAAACTTTCCACATTTTCTATTTATTCTTCCTGATGATCGATTGATTGTTGTGGTGATGATTGATGATGTTTGCAATCGGCGTCAGTCATCAAGATTCGGGGGATGATTAAGATCTCCTCTTTTTCGAATAGAAGCAAGCCCCCCTATTTTTGAAAATTAGGCAACCACCCACTGAAAAATGACATTTATATGCTTTCTCCTTTTCTTCTTCTTCTGCAACGTTTTGTGTGAAGAATCGTACAGTACCGTCCGCCAAGATGATGTCCAGTGAAGATGAACGCTCGTTCGATGAGGACTATGACGATGCTCCCACGGCGATTCCCATCCTTCTGGGAAGCGAAATTCGAATCGGAACCCTACTCGGCCGAGGTACATTTTGCAAAGTTTCGTTGGTGAAGGACATTCATCTAAAAGCCCAGACCGAACCAGGCCTCGTGCAAGAATCGAGGCAAAAACTCGAGCTAAAATTCAAGATTGCAGCGTCACAGGATTCGTACCAGCAGCAGCAGCTAGATGTTTTTGGAAGGCAACCAAATGCACAGAATCCAGTCAACCCCAAACCTAGAATGGCACTGAAACAACTAAAGAACTTGTCAGAAAAGAGCAAGAAACAGGCAAAGGACGATCTGAGGAGAGAATGTGACATATTAAGAGCCATAAAAGAAGACTGGTGTTCGCACCCAAATATCATTGAGCTCCATGCAATAGGTGTGGAATCGTCAAAAGAGTTTCACGACCGTGACATACGGCCCTCCTTTTTGGTTCTTTCCAAGCTTCGGTGTACAATGGTTAGCTTCATGACGAAATGGAGGGAACAACGAGGACTTGGTGTTATGGAGTTTTTTGGAATCAATATCAAAGAATCCCAAGATATGTGGTTGGAACGTTTGATGGTATTGTCACAAATAGCCGATGCAATTCGATTTCTTCATTTGCACAATGTCATATTTCGTGACATCAAGCCTCAGAACATTGGATTCGATGGCGACAACGTGCCAAAGCTCTTTGATTTTGGTCTGGCCAAGCGGGTCTATTCCGTGGAAGAAAACTATAAACTGACTGGCAACACAGGAACCTTACGCTACATGGCACCAGAAGTTGCCTTGGATCAACCGTATGGAATGGACGTGGACATATACTCCCTCGCAATATTAATGCACGAGGTGCTATCCCTGAAGATTCCATTCGTAGAAGTTCCAGCAAGCGAGTTTCGACATGAAGTAATAGCAAAAGGCAAACGTCCTCCTTTGGATTATGGTTGGCCATCGCCACTGAGTGGGTTGATGGCGTCCATGTGGCACGAGTCGCCAAGTAAGAGGCCGCCGTCATCCGAGGTGTGCAAAATGCTAACGCTCATGCTTCGAGGGTCAGATGCAGGTCTATTTCCTGATAGAATAGTAATGTAGTGCATTGCAATGCAATGCGTTGTAGCTAAACTACCAAGTAAAAAAACACACACAACGCTAACACATTGAGTAGTAATCCAGATATTACTATGGTGCAAGTTGCTTAGCTTATTCAATGTCGCGCATCATCGCTAACCTTCCTTCCAGTCGCAGCAAGTCGGAGAAGCTTTCTATTCTCTCGAACAGCAAGTTTCGCAACGCTGACAAGTTTTGAGGCTGGAATCGTCCCGTCTTTAGACAGTACGAAAGCCATGTCGACAGCTGTTCGGCTCTTAGTGGTGTGGACGCTAATCTGGAGGTCAGCTTGCTCACCAAAAGAACAATGTGAGCAGGCTCGAGCTCCTTCATGGTAGTCGAAATTACTTGAACGTCTCGTACGCCCAAAGCCAATTCCAAAAGATTATCATCCCCTGACTGCAATGCTTGAGAGAGTAACTGTTTCAGAGATTCTGTCGTTGCTGTCTTTGGCTTGAAGGTTGTTGGTGGCGTTTCTTCGTCATCTTCGTCATCATCATCGTCGTTGTCCTCGTCTTCCTCTTCCATCGCTCGACTCATTTGCTGTAATCGTTCGGCAATGGACATTTCTTTCAACTCATCTTCTTCTGTCCTCTCGTTTTCATCCTCATCTACACTTGATGCCTTTGGCTTCTTGGACGGAGGTACAATCTCCATTCCGGCTTGTCCAGGCCCCAGAATCTTGGCTTCAGAAGGCGCCTTGCGCTTTGTAGCACTCTTACTTTCCGTCTTTGATTCGTTTTCTTCGTCGAGTTTGATAATGGATGGTAAGTCTTCGTCTTCCAAGGCGACCCATTCGGCACTGCATCCTCCAGTAGGTTGATGAATCAAAGCAAGAAGTTGGTCTCGGATCAAGAACATTGCAATTGGACGAGCCGATGTCGCTTGAGTCAACTTTTTAGCGGTCGAACCAGTGATCGTATGTAGCGTATGATCAGCAAGGAGCGTGTGTTTCCCATTGCTACTCTTGATCATCTGCAATGGACTTGTGCTCGAGGAGAATACTTGAGGAATACTGACGACCTTCTTCATTGTAGAAAGGTTGTACACGGCGACGGATCCAGAGTTTTCGACACCAACCAGCAAGTTTTCATCTGATGGACAGACAAAGATGCGAGCAAAGTTTTTGGATTTGATCTTTCCCTCCTTCTTTCCAGTCGCTCGATCCATCACACGAGCACCACCTGATGTTTGTACAACAATCCGCTTCTTTGATAGTGCCATGTAGGCGTCTTTCATATCCCCCTCAAATTTGCCGCTCTTCACCTTTCGTGTCAATTTACTGCTTGAAGCAAGATACTCGTAGACGTAGAGTTTTTGAGAGTGCTGTGTCAGAATTGAAAACTTTTCTCCATCCGAGTCGCCTGACAATGCGAGAAAGTTTTGATCTTCCGACGAGGACATCATTTTATTCGCAACAACCCCACGCTCCAAGTCCCAGACAACAATTTCTGAAGTTCCCAAAAGTCCCACAACCATGGCGTTCCCACAAAAAGCCAAATCTTTCAATGGATTTGGTGATGAGTGGGTCAATGTCATATTTAAGGAACAAGATGAAGATGACAATTGATAGACTTGAATCATCAGCCGACTAGTTGCAGCAGGTGACACTATAGCTGCAAGGCTACCATCAGACGAGAGGGCAGAATGCATTGTTGCTTGTGTCATATTTGTTGACTGATCCTCAAAGACTCTACTGTAGAGTGAGGTTTCACCCGATCACTGTTTCGTTCTCTTTTTTCGTTGGTGATGGCAACTGAAGACGGATGACACCAGACGTCGTACGGATGACACCAGACGGCGCCCATTTCCCCTTACACTCCTGACTCCTGACACCAACACTCAACAACACTCCACAACACTCCACACAACTGCCATTATTCATTTTACAACACAAAAGCTGAGAGCCTCAAACCGAAATCAGGGAGCAGGATGGGAAATGTCTCTCGTTCGGTTTTGGCAGTCGATAATAATACTTTTCGGCTTACATAAAGAAGTTGGTGCCTTTGTTTCCAATGGGGCGAAGTTAAGACAGAATCTGTTCTTGCAAAACAGTTTTGGAGTGAATAAATACCACGCTTCGTTGCAAGCAACCAAATCTTCTGATGAAATTAGTGCATTTTCAATAGATCTTCCCGACAATATACCCGATATCTCAATTTTATATGAATCGGATCGTATCCTGATTGTGGATAAGCCGTCCGGAATATCGCACCATAACGACGAAGCCGACGCACCGGGGGTTGTCACTGTTGTTCGACACCAACAGCAAAAGCGGCTGTGGGGTGTCCATCGATTGGACAAAGTAACATCGGGTATATTGATATTTGCCAAGGATGCCGAGATGGCTTCTCATCTTGCGACTGCCTTTGCGGAAGGCAAGATACAGAAGATTTACGTGGGGGTCTCCGCAAAATTGAAACCGAAAAAGAGACAAGGCTGGGTGAAGGGTGGGATGTCGCGGAGTCGTAACAAGTCCTGGAAACTAATTCGGGACCCAAAAGACAAAGAAAACTTTGCAAAGACTCGATTCTTTACGGCCAAGTTATCCCCCAAGTACGAGAGTGATCAAGTACAAGACGATGACGATTCAACCAGAAAATTTACTTGCATCCTGTTTCGGCCCTTCACAGGGCGGACACATCAGCTACGAGTTGCTGCAAAGTCAGTGGGACTAGCATTACTGGGAGATCCAATATACAAAGATGGGCAGGACGATATCGTGTCAGAAAGGACGTATTTGCATGCTTCTGGAATTTCGATTCCTTCCATTGCTGGTGAAGCGGAGGTCAACCTTTGGAATCCGCCACCATTTGAATCACTTGCAGGAAAAAGCGAATTGGACTCAGTGTTGAGTGTTCTGATGCAGAAACATTGTGATCTGCCCAACTTATTGGATGCTGCAAGTCCAGGACTGAAAAAGATATCATAAGCGAGAAGATTTATTTTAAAAATACTGCCCACGGTACGAATGAAATATTTTAATACCTTCTACTCTAGACACAAAATAGAAGATTCTAGCTTGCAATGCCGTCTTGCTTGTGTTTGCCGTTGCGCGATTTTTGTGGCGAGCAAACCCAGTTTCGAAGTTCCTCCAAAGTCAAATCAGCAGAGTCAAACTACGTGACGAAGTCCAAAATTTCAACTTGACCATCAATATTAAAAATCTTGACGGTTTGTGTTCATTAAAGAGTCTGCTAGTCCGCTTTGCAGATAATGAGGAGGCCAAGATCCTCTATTCGATTTATGCACCATAGGGTCTGGATATTATCCCTTGTGATATTATGCTTCATTGTCTGTTACATTGAGGTGGACGTGGTACCTAAGGATGAACAACACGAAGATCCAGAGCGCTTGAGGCTCCTGCAGCGTGAGCTCCAGGTAATTGACGACGATGATGGAATATCTTTACGGCAAACGATTCTGCCGACCTTGATTTTGACACCCGCGCCGACTAGTCCAACAGGGATACCTTCCACGTCCCCAAGTAATTTTCCAACTATTTTCAGTGAAGCACCTTCCGAGCCGCCTTCTACAAGCCCTAGTGAACAGCCGTCGACCTCTCTATCCCCTTCGCAGTATCCATCATTATCATTGCAGCCCTCTCTTTCCCAGAGACCGTCTTATTCACCCAGTGTAATGCCTTCCAAAACACCTACAATGCGACCCACAAAATCCCCAACCACTATGCCTTCGGTGGAACCGTCGTCGTTGCCGACACCTTCACCGTCAAACACTCCCACTGGTTCGATCGGGCCTTCCGCACAGCCTTCCTTTGAACCAACAAATTTCCCTACAGTTTCATTACGGCCATCGCTGATGCCTTCCATAAGCGCACAGCCAACTACGACTCGAGAGCCAACAAACCTACCTTCCATATCCCCGACACTCTATCCAACAGCGAGCCCTTCGATAATGCCAACCCCACTCCCACCTACTCAGAGTCCTTCGGGTACACCGTCGCAAATTCCTTCGCTTTCCCCCTCATTGCAACCGTCGACTATTCCTACAATGTTCCCAACACTCAGTGTTTTTCCAGTGGTCGCACCCAGTGTCACAATGGTACTGGTTGGGTTTCCAGCGAGGCTGAGTGACATACAGCAAGAAGAGTGGGAGAATATGACCAGTGACCATGTTCTGCGATTCTATCAAAAATTTAATGAGATTGATCGGGGAGTGATACCTGTCAATGTTACCAACGTTACTACTGTCTTCCTGGAGCAAAGCTACCAACCAGAAGATGGACGATTAGAGATTGAGTATGAACAAACATTGGTGTTGGGAAAATTTAGAGAGACTGAGAATGACGAGGTCTTGTTTGTAGCTCCGTTTGTCGAGAATACCCAGGACTATGTCATTCAACTACTCACAACGTGGGATTTTGACAACTTGATTGCCTTGCGATCGGTCGTTGTTGGGAAAGGAAATGGCACCCAGGCTCCTGCACCTGCGGATGATACAGGAATTTCCTCTGGTGGACTGGCTGCACTAGCAGTATCCATTGTTTTGGGGGCCTGCGCCGTTGTCGGATTCTTGTTTTGGGACAAGAAGGAAAAGTGGGGCTTTCGACGGCAAAGTCAACAACCCCCGCAACCGGCATCGCCTATTCGCGAGGGAGTACAAGAGTCTGAAAGGATGAATGGCGACCGTGAAGGACGGGTGCACGATTCGCAGGGATGGAGGAGTGGTGGCCGAGATGGAACCTTTGGCTCTCAGGGATGGACAAATACTCAACCACGCACACCTCCTCGGTACGACAGTAGTACCATGCCCACCGCTGCTATGCTGAGTGCCGATGGTGGATCTACAATTGATCGAATGTCTCTTGCGACAGGTAGTCATCATGGGCGACTCCAATCTCGGAACACCAACGTTGCTCCTATTTCAATGCGAACAGGTGTGTTTGGCCGTGTTCGGGACGAATCTGAAATTACTGTGACAGACAGTGATGGTGGACTTGCATCAGATACAGGTAGTGATGGTTTTGTCATTGATCCTCCAACTCTTCCCTCTATAGCGGACGTTGCCGAAACCTTTTTGTGAGTGATAATGCTGTTTCAATATGTGCAATGAAGTGACCATACACTCTAACACGAATATGTTTCTATCATTACAGACCTGGGACAAATGTTGGTGCGCTATCACCAATGCATATTCCCGACGAAGAGGAAGAAGCTGCCCATCACGAGTATTCGTCTAGTCAAGAGATGCTAGGTTTGGCTCGACCTCATTCTTCACCACCGTAAGTCGGACCAACTGGATATGTCAAATCCTTAATCCAGGTGCCACATCCTTACCCTCTGAATGTATTTTATATTTTAATTATTTTACAGTGTGTTTGGGTTCTCTATGACAATACAAGAGTTGGAGTAGGAGTTGGTTGTTAACCCGCTACCTCAAACACCAGTTTCAAACCTTTCATCATCAGCCCTTTTCATAACATACAAGAAACCTCGACTCTCTTCCTCTTCTTGCCTACGAGCATAAAGAATGCGGTATTCATCATCCAGGTAGGCGTGCTCCCATAGACGTGTTTCGCGGCCTTCGAAATCAATCTTCGGTCCAAGTGGTATCATACCACCAATTTTGTTTCCAACAGTCTGAAATGTAATAGCTAGCGTTGAATCATCAACTACATTCGTACTTGCTACTAATTCCCCGCAAATGGGAGGAAAGTTGACTCGCAAGATATTCCTGGCTTTTTGTTTATCATTGAGATCCACATCTTGGTAGACGTCACCGACGAAGGGTCCTAGCTTCCCGCTGCTAGGCGCTGCAGGAGCGAAGTTTGTCCACTCCATTCGCCAAAAGCCAGACATCATCTTGGAATTCTTCACTGGTGCCCTGGTTGGGTTTTGCTTCTCCAATTGACGGCAAACATCCAATATTTGTTCCGATATATCCCCCGGCGTGTTCAATCCATTTTTGGGACTCTGTTGAATGAGCGAATCGAGTTCTTGTAGTAGGACTTGCGGGGACGCCTTTGGAGCTGCGGGAGCAAATGGGAATTGGGGAAATTCAAAGGCTGTTGCAGTCGCGGCCATGCAAGTGGCGATGATGAGAGTGCGTTTCATCATGCGGTTTTCAAATGTGTGACGCCCGAATTTCACATGCTGAACTTCCACGCGTAACCGTAGGCGTGTACAACTCGATGACTATTAGGTCGGAAGCATTTTATGCTGTCTAAATAGACAAGGCTACCACAACATTAAAAAATGTAAATAACAGCACTAGTTCACATTACACAAACAATACAAACCACTAAATCTCTCTTCGACTACCCCGTAGCCAACTGAAACGCTTTGTCTGCGTCGTCGTGTCAGTGGCAAGTTCCTCGGGGCCTACCCGCAAGACATCTTGTACCTCTGTCTGTGTCAAAGTACGCGAGGGTTGGATCAACTTGAGGGCCGCCACTTCTTTCATAAAGTAATCGATAGTCTGCTCCTTGCTGCGCATTTTTTCTTCCCAGTCCTTTTCAACATGTTCCAATTCCAATCGAAGTCTAACACCCTCCTTCTCGGATGCCTCGAGCTTCTCTTCCAATTCCTTGACTCCAGTGTTCTCCTTGAATCTATCAAGCAAATGCCGAAGCTTACGAACTTCGAGTTGTTGTTCCATTCGAACTTTCTCCAAGCTTTCGACTTTACCATTCGCGATGAGCAATTCCCCTTGCAACCGGTCAATCGATTTGCCAGTATCGGAATGGATAGAGATGTTGAGCCCCGATTTGTCGAAGGACTTACTAAAGGATATGGAGGCCAACGAGACCTCCTCTCGCAGATTATCCACGGTTTGTTGGAGTTCAACAATTTCGGATCGACTCTCCCTCGAAAGTTTTTCCGATGCTTCCCGTTCGTAGTTCAATTCCTCTTGAAGACATTGAATTTCTTCGTGGAGGAGTTCCATGTCATCTTGCTTGAGCGGCTGCAACTGAGTAGTCTGAAGCTTTGTTTCCATTCGTTTCAGCTCGGCTTGCAATTTTTCATTTCGTCGATACTCGTCGTCCAAGTCAGCATGGAGATCGTCATTCTCCTCCAATAGCTCCTTTACCTCCTGCTCCAATTCCAGTCGCACTTGTCGGTCCGAATATTTTTCATCTTCAAGTGCGATTCGCTCCATGACGTGCGTAATGGATGGGTCAGCGGAGAAGGCGGAAGCTGCTGTACCACTTGTTGTTTGTCGTTGAAATACGCTAGGTGGCTTGGGCATGGTGATGAGATCAGCTACGTGATCATCTTCAACTTTTGTCTCTTCTTCTGATGCCAATCTCTCGCGTCCTTGGACTACGATCTTGCCTGATGCCACCAGCCCATCAAATGCCCTCAGGCCATCAACGAGATCTTCATAGGAGGAACCTCCCACCACTGCATCATCATCGGATACATCGGGGATCGACATACGGACTCCTTTCTTCATTTTCTTCCTTTTCTTGGTCAACGATTTCTTCTTGGATTTCTTCTTCTTCTTGCTGCCTTTCGAAGACTTGCTCTTGCGACTGAGATTGTCACCGTCATCGTCCTCATCATCGCTATCCACAATGTTCCCAGTAAAGTCAATTCGTTTGGGAGCCTGGACTTTCTTCGTCTTGCACTTTCCTCTTCGAAGATCGGACGGATCAAGCGTTTTGGCCGACAAGGTGCTCCGAATGGAAAGATTCATTTCTTTGTTGCTGGGACGATGTACCGCCGTTTTCGTGGTATGTGCTGACTTGACGAGCGAATGGGCGCTCTCGCCACTCAAGCTGTCGCTGAAACCAGTCGACGATAACTCTTCGTCATCGATAGACTTTCCATATTTGGTGACATTTCGTTGTTGGCTCCAAAACATCTCCATCGCTGACTTGCGTACATCTTCGTCGACGTGAAAAAAGCCAGAGTCGGTGTCACTGTCTTCTCCTTGCGTTTCAGTTTGTTTCAGACGAAAAGAAGCAGTGCTGCCCAAGGCAGATCTGACACTAGATCCTAAGAGCTTGGCCCCTTTCAGGCTAGGACGACTAAACCTCTTGCCAGATTTACCCACCATCGTGGTCGGCTTTCGGATGTCCATCGTCGTTGCAGATTGATAGTTGATAGTTGATGAATTGATGATACTTGTTCAGTTTTGGAATTTTGTCTTTCCAATGTTGAGTGTCGAATAATTTTTCGAATCGTCTCCGTGCTCAGTAATGGTGCTAGACTTAAATGTGGCTAATGACTTCTTAGGGACGTTGAATGTGCATGGCTTGGATGGTGAACAAATTTTCTCTTCGCATCACAAATCACATGAACCGTACACGTACCGGTACGCGTCTTGAAGAGAACCGCGTCCGCCATCAATAATGTTTTTCGCCATATTTGACAAAGAATTTGAAATTTCGACCAAAAGACAATTGCAATGTGTCGACAAAAATAGCCAACTGCAAAAAATTCGGAGAAATTGTCCAGCCTACGATACGATGCTGGACTGCGATACCTGTAGAATACAATAAAAATAGTGGAACAGTACGACGATACGGTACGATACTATTCACGTACCTATACTTGTACCTATACTTGTACGATACTTGTACGATACTTGTACGATACTTGTACGATACTTGTAGTGTGGTATAGTATGGTATGGTATGGTATGGTATGGTATAGTATGGTATAGTATGGTATAGTATGGTATAGTATGGTATAGTATGGTATAGTATGGTATAGTATGGTATAGTATGGTACAGTATGGTATAGTATGGTATAGTATGGTATAGTATGGTATAGTATGGTATAGTATGGTATAGTATGGTATAGTATGGTATAGTATGGTATAGTATGGTATAGTATAGTATAGTATAGTATAGTATAGTATAGTATAGTATAGTATAGTATAGTATAGTATAGTATAGTATAGTATAGTATAGTATAGTATAGTATAGTATAGTATAGTATAGTATAGTATAGTATCGTATCGTATCGTATCGTATCGTATCGTATCGTATCGTATCGTATCGTATCGTACAAGTATCGTATCGTACAAGTATCGTACAAGTATCGTACAAGTATCGTACAAGTATCGTACAAGTATCGTACAAGTATCGTACAAGTATCGTACAAGTATATCGTACAAGTATCGTACAAGTATCGTACAAGTATCGTACAAGTATCGTACAAGTATCGTACAAGTATCGTACAAGTATCGTACAAGTATCGTACTATACCATACTATACCATACTATACTATACCATACTATACCATACTATACCATACTATACCATACTATACCATACTATACCATACTATACCGGTACTATTACCCCATGCTGATACAGCCTTGGAATCTTGAGCAAGCACCATGAGCCCTCAAGTTTGTGGGTTGAAAGAAAGATCTTCTTGATTTAAGCGTCCGTGCATTTACGCCACGTATGTGATCTTGGGTAGACTTTCCAAGCTCTTCTTTGTGTTGGGGATCTTAAAGGACTCACTCATTCTAGCTGCTTCGGACAAGGCGAACTGGATTGATTGGCTTCATTTTGTGGTGCTTGTTCTTGATGTTATGGACCTTGGTCGAATTCGTAGTATCGCTAGAGAAGGAATTGCTCAGCGATCTGCGACGTTCTTATTGCATAGCAATGGACACATAAGCCTTAAGAGCTTCATGTTCGTCGAACGTGGCCATCGTGGAAGCAAGAGCTGTCGAATATTTTGAGGTTTTTCAAGGACACTTCTCGAAATCGGTCCCAATCAATGCTGAAGGGAGAAGACGACTCGTCCCATTGCCTGTCCTGTTCGTCCATTACTGCATCAACACAAGCATTAACAGTATTAGCAACTTGTGACGAGGTTTTTCGGTTCCATTGCTCGAGTCGTCGGTAGGAAGAGTTCTTCGCGGGACGTTTCCTGGCTTCCATGCGATTCAAGGCCATCGCATGAGACTCTTACACGAGGTCCTTCTCTTCCGCAGAGTACCAACATGCATTCACTTCTTCAGGTGTGTACCCACCAATGTTCATGATGGGCTGAACAGTTACACTGCTAGTAAAGTGGATTCTGAACCGTTTGTGGCTCGAACACGGTGTAGAATTGCCAACATTACTACAGTAGACAAAACGATCCACTTGGTCGCAATTTGGTTCATCATGCATGAGAGGAGACATGATAAATTCGATTTTGCATTTGCCACAAAGCAAAATTTTGAGGTAAGGCTATATCGCAGGTTTATGAAGTAATACGAAGGGGATATTGGGGTGCACTACTTGTTACTTATGGCCAGGGCACCCAAGCGCTTTCTTCGGGAGAAAACTCGATCAACATCCTTTTGGGACCTGTTGATGTTGAACACAATTTATTTATTTATTTCGAACAATTCGAGAGGACTAAAAAGCTAAGTGGTTGACATTCGATCAAGACGCGCAATTTCATCTTTCACCAAGACGGTTTAGGCGATTGTCAGTCTACACTTTTATATGATTTGTCCGTCTCCTGGTTATCCTCTAGAGGGCAAAAGGCACGGATCCTCGAGTTGTAATGGCAAGTAGACGGAACTATTCTACCCAGAATGTGGACGTGGATCTGCGATTTCACGTATGAGATGTCTCAAAATGCGGTGGATGCAGAACCAAACTAATCAACTATGAACGCAGCACAATACATATGATATATTATTTATATATATATATTGCCGAATTTACCTTGACGCCTCCCCAAGATTATCCGCAAGCGCGACGGAGGCTTCATACGGTATATTATGCTATGGACGGAGAAACATGGCCGTCACGAAGATAATAACGGGATTAATCGACTGCATGACGACGTGATCTCGGCTGTCTTCCCCAATAGTCTATGTAGTCTCGGAAAATAACACTTCTACTGAATTGCATTGAACTTTTACGATCGGACTCGAGCCAATTCTGCATTGCTGTACGTTGCTAGATACTCACAGCGGATCGAAGAAGGGGCAGGAAAATTTTGTGTCAAGCCATAGTTATCATGTTAGAATTATGATTTTTCGAGGATTCCAACAGTAGTAGGACGTGTTTGTATTCATTTCAGCTGCTGGTTCTTATGGAAAGATGACGAGAGAGGTTTTGCAAGCTCGAATCCATTGTTCACATTATCCGCTTGGGAACACGACTTTCCCTCGGTGACTATTCTGAGTAGCGCTTTGGCTCATCTGGCCGCACGATTCGGCCAACCCTCATATTCAAAGATGGCATCAATGCGCTTTCTTTCTGGTTTCATTTCGGTTCATTTTCTTGGCGCGTAAGATCATGGGTTCAAAACCTTCGTTCCCCGGTCTTAGTATTGTAGACCTTGTTTCTAAAGGACTCTAAGGGACCGCCTATCGCCTTGGGACTCCCCGAGCTGTGAGACTTGGGGGGTCGGCTGGAACTCCTTTTTTTCTCTGTTCTGGATTTCTTTGAGGAACCGGCCGACGGATCGTCGCGTTTCGTCTTGTTATGCTTGGCCTTTATGTCGTGAACCATGGTCGATCTACTGACCTCTGTGATTTCAGTAGAGATGGAGACATCATCCTGAAGTTTTCGGTGTGCTTTTCCCATGGAAATGTAGGCCTTGCGAGCTTCGTTTACATCATAAGCTGCCATTTTGTGAGCAAGCGAGGCAGAGTATAAGCTGACCTCCAAGGCTACCTCGCGAAGAAGCTCGCAATCAAACATATCGTTGTCCCATTGTCGCTCCTGCTCATCCATAACAGCGTCAATATACGCATGTATGGTGTCGTCAAACTGTGATGCGTTGGCCTCGATAAAGTTTTCGAGTCCTCGATATGAAGTGTTCTTTTTCGGCCGTTTGCCAGCTTCCATGCGGTCTACGACCGTCTCGCAAGATTCATACATGAGCTCTTTCTCTTCAGCAGAGTACCAGCATGCATGCACCTCGGTGGGGGTGTAATCATTACGATTTGCAATTTCTTTCAAGTCTACTGTCGGATGGAAGCTGACTCGATTGAGCTTTCGTCTATAGTGGGAGGACAAAGGGCCGGAGTTGCATTCATTTTCACAATTAGAATAGCTATCGTAGATCGAGACTTGACGATCTTTTGGTGCCATTGCAGTTTTTGTGGTGTTGTATTTTCGTACTTTTTCTATTTTGTGTCAGTTAGATTTTGCGAAGTCAAGTTGAAAGTGAGTCTTGTCACGAGAAGAAACTCCGAAACGCTCCGAAAAAACAAAAACCCTAAATGGACGCGAGCACAATGCGCTTCCATCGGGATATCGATTCGTCGTCATCGACAAAATGAAAAATGACTCGGACAATGAAGCAGTGCACTTCGGTTCCGTTAGCTGTCGTACTTTGGTTCTCACCTACAGGTAAGCACTCGTATCCACCGTTCGACCTATAGCTCATTTCTATGGAGTCAGTCAGCCTCCAAAATCCCAAGATCGATAACGAATGAGAGTGCATCTAATATCTCGGATGGAAATTCTGTGATCAACATCTTCATGATAGCCTCCAGAGTCCTTTGGTTCGGAGGAACGAAGCTTATCAACACGAACACTCCATCATTTGAGCCATGCATTTGCATCTTATCATGATGCACTGATATCGAGTCTCAACAGTCAAGAGAGTGAGACAAACCACCCAGGAATATCATAGTGAAGAAGTCAAGAATTGATGCGACAAAAGCTTCTGGTTCCTTCCTTTGAAAACGGCAACGGTCGGAAAATGCTCACACTTCGACAAGCATAGCAACGAAAAAAGGATCGACTGACTCTCGCAAACTGTGATTCACAATCAAATTCCTGGCAGGAGAAGCCAAAAAATTCGATTGGCAAGCCTCACTGCAAGAAACTCTGAAACAAGGATAACAAAATCAGTACCATAGGTTTGTTGTACAAGGAGCTGGATTCAGCCACAGATTTCAGTACTCATAATCGAGGATAAGAGAAGATGTAACATACCAAGTATCATACAAGGAGACTTGGCATGACATGTTTCCTTGCATATATATCAAGTACTAAACAATAGCCTTGTGGCGTACCATTGCATCACTTGTAGGACAAAGGAATCAAACTAGTCTGTATCATGACCAGCGGGAAAAATAAAGAAATATGATAGGGATAACTTTGAAGCTTGATACCTTTAGTCCCTCAAATTCCAGCCATTGTGCTATCCGGATAGCCTACTGGCGCCTTTCGCTTGCTTTTTTCGTGAGAGATCCTTGCTGGTGCGACTCCATGGGTTGTGGTGTGGTGTGGTGAAGCTAGTCCTACTTGCTTTGGGCGAGAAGCATTCGACCCAAAGGACCATTATCTCAAAGCGGGATATCAGAGACTTGCTCGCCTACCGGTACTACTGTAGGCCTTGTATGAATGAAGAATTCATCGAGACAAGGCTCAACAGGGATGTGGTGGCAGGGAAATAAAGAAATAACCTTACTTCTTGACGCACACTCGCACACAAGTTCGATGAACTGATCAGACTTGGTTCTGAGCAATGCTGTGTATTTTACCATCAGACTCGAGACAATTCTGCATTGCTGTACATTGCTAGATACTCGCGACAGATTGAGAGGGAAGGAAAATGTTGTGTTGAATCATGTTAAAATTAAGATTAAGAAGTCCAACAGTGATATGGCGTGCTTGTATTCAATTCGGCCGCGGGCTCTTGTGGGAAAGACAACGGAGAGGTTGTGCAATATCAAATCCGTCGCTCGTATTGTCCCCTTGGGAACATGAGTTCCCCTCGGTGACTATTCTGAGTAGCGCTTTGGCTCATCTGGCCGCACGATTCGGCCAACCCTCATATTCAAAGATGGCATCAATGCGCTTTCTTTCTGGTTTCATTTCGGTTCATTTTCTTGGCGCGTAAGATCATGGGTTCAAAACCGTCTTTGTATCGTGGACCTTGTTTCTCAACGACTCCAAGGGACCGCCTATTGTCTTTTGGCTCCTGGAGCTGCGAGACTTGGGGGGTCGGCTGGAACTCTTTTTCGTCTCTGTTCTGGACGTCTTGTTGTGCCTGATCTTGATGTCGTGAACCATTGTCGATCTACTGACCTCTGTGATTTCAGTAGAGATGGAGACATCATCCTGAAGTTTTCGGTGTGCTTTTCCCATGGAAATGTAGGCCTTGCGGGCTTCGTTTTCATCATACGCTGCCATTTTGTGAGCAAGCGACGCAGAGTGTAAGCTGACCCCCAAGCCTACTTCGCGAAGAAGTTCCCCATCAAACATATCGTTGTCCCATTGTCGCTCCTGCTCATCCATAACAGCGTCAATATACGCATGTATGGTGTCGTCAAACTGTGTTGCGTTGGCCTCGATAAAGTTTTCGAGTCCTCGATATGAAGTGTCCTTTTTCGGCCGTTTGCCAGCTTCCATGCGGTTCACGGCCATTTCGCAAGATTCACACATGAGCTCCTTTTCTTCTAAGGAATAAAAGCACGCATTCGTCTCTTCGGAACTATAGTCATCACGGTTTACAATGTGATGAAAGTCTACTGTCGGGTGGAAGCTGACTCGATTGATCTTTCGTCCGTAGCGGGAAGAAAGAGAACCAGAGCCGCATTCATTTTCACAATTAGAATAGGTATCGTAGATTGAGACTTGGCGATCTTTTGGTGCCATTGCAGTGTATGTGTGTTGTTTTTGTACTTTTTCTGTTTTGTGTGAAGGGTGAGAATTCAAAATATTATTTGTTCTTTTCCTCGTCTCTGTGTCAGTATGGTTACTGTGTTGTGTATTCTCAGTACCGGTACGTGTACGAGTATCATAATCATGTCGATAAAAGATTTCGGCCTCTACAGAAGAAACTCCTAAAAACCGAAAAAATGTAATTACACGAGCACAATCCTCCTACCATATATATTAAAATATATAGGGATATCGATTCGTAGTCATCACTACGAAATGAAAATGACGCCGCGGGTACAATGCTTGTCAGTGCACTTCAGGTTTTGGCATTACCGGCATTCACATTGATTTTATGAGAGAAGATATTAGTACATACTATATATCGTGCAAGGAAACATATGATTCTATGTATATCATATTTCCTTGCATTTACCAACCACTGAACAATCGTCTTGTGCCTCACTACAATACCATACTGTACTATACTGCATCACCTTGTTGTTTTCTATCTCATGAGACAAAGGAATCAATCATACAAGTGTATGATATACTAACCAGCGGGAAGTAAAATATGATAGGAATAACTTTGAAGCTTGTTAATTAGCTTTAGTCCGTCCCTCAAATTCCAGCCATTGTATCAACCAAAATGTTGATGAAGCAGTCGTTTCCAATACCCTTAGGTCACAATACCCGTACTTTCCAAAAAAAGTCGGGCACTAGCTTTCAATAGCCCACCCTCGATCCGTATCCTCGTCCTTTCCTCCCCAGCCTTTTGGACTTCTACATATTTACATGTCTGGCCGCTTTTCATTCTTCAAATTTTGCCGCCGTCACAATGGCTTCCGCCCACTGACAGTACTTGAAATTGGCCAAGTCTCCAACGGTCTTGACCCCCAAAGACGCAAACGTTTCTCCCGCCTTGGGTGTCAGCCCTTGCAAAGCATGAACCGGTTGCTCCAACAAGTTTTGGAGCGTATACGTTTCGAATTCCTTGTCCAAACCCTTATTTAGATTCTGCAAGGACGTCTCGGTTCGATTTCCAGTTTCTTCTGTCTGTGCCAAGGTTTCAATTGCCTTGGATAGATGGTAGAATTTGTAGTCGGCCAGTTGCTTGACTGTTTTCATTCCTAATTGTTCCAATTGTTCCGAATGCTTGGGACCAATTCCTTGCAACGTCGTGACTGGGTGATCTTTGAGTTCCGAAAAGGGCTTGCCTTCTTCCGCCTTGATGACGGCAAAATTGATGTTCAGTTGATGCTCCTGCGCAGATGAAAAGGATCGAAAGGAGTTCCGAAGCGTAGGGATTCTAGAAACTCTGTGTAGACGAACAAACATTGTTGTGGGGATGTAGTAGGTTGCGTTGATGATTGAGATGATGACAATGCAGTCTGGAGGCAGGAGAACATAAAGTATGCGACAACAAAGAAGCAAGGATACCCAATAGCCTGAAACGGATCGCCGGATTGGATACGGGATTGGCAATCGAAGGAATCGCTTTGACTCCACCGACTGCTGATTCCCGCCAACGGTCATTTTACATGTGCTTTTCAGTAGAAAAGTGTACCGAGATCTACTTTTCACTCACGCTTCGTTGATCTTCCATCGCGTGTGATTGGTGCAGTAGGAGTGACCTTTGAATCCATCCCACACCTCCACCGATAGACCGTCGACCTTATTAGAAGCGTTTGTTGTACCTTGATCGTTCCAAGGCACAAACATACACATCTTTTTTACCCGCAGCAACCACAACCACAACAACAACACCCGACGTTGCAGCTAGCTTTCAGTTGCATCAACAGCAAACTTTCTCGCTTTCAGATCTAAGCTGTCATCGGTCATCCTTTTGCTTCTATCGTAAGCAAAGTCTATCCCTTTCACTATAACGCCTTCACCACCGTTCAAGAAACGTAAAATGTCTGCTCCCATGGAGGCAAGCGCCACTGCTGAAGGTGAGATTACAAAACTGGCTGGACTGATGCGAAGCGTGATGGTGCAATAGTTGGGTTTGTTAGTTAAGAAGGAGTGTACATTGGAACTTGCCAGAGTCACAAGGAGGATCCTTTCGGTCGCTTCTTCTAAACTCCATTATTTTTCATCTCTTGGCAACAATTCGTCTGAGTGATCTCTTTCTAACCCATCGTTTTCTCTCTTCTACACCATGATTTTGGCACGCTTGAATGTTCATTCCAAACACGAAAACTATTTTGAATGCCATCTTTGCAACTCAATTCAATTCCGTTTTATCCTTCTCAATTCAATTCATTTCAATAGTGGATGAAAAGTTGTATTCCCGTCAATTGTACGTCATGGGCCATGAAGCCCAACGTAGAATGATGGCGTCCAAGGCCTTGATGGTCGGTTGCTCTGGATTGGGAGTGGAAGTCGCCAAGAATTGTATTCTTGCTGGCCTTAATTCCATTGTCATTGTCGACCCCCTTCCAGCCAATTCGTACGATTTGGGAGGCAACTTTTATCTATCTGTTGATGATTTGGGCAAGCCACGTGCCGATCTGTGCAAGGACAAACTTGCCGAGTTGAATCCCTATGTTGATGTCTCGGTGGATTCCAACATTACTGAATTGACCGCGGAACAACTCTTGCCCGCCTTGGACTCTGGAATTTCTTGTCTGGTCATCACCATTCCTCTCGCCAAGGATCTCCTCATTACACTCAACAACAAGTGCCGTGAGGTTGGAGCCAGCTTTGTGTATTCGACGACCCCAGGTGCTTTTGGACAAGTCTTTTGCGATTTTGGACCTGCCTTTGTCTGCAGCGACAAGGACGGAAACCCTCCCGCCACTTCCCAAATTGAATCCATCTTTCAAGAGGGTAAAAATGTCACCGTCAAGGTCTTGGAGGACCACGGGCGCCACGGATTGGAATCAGGAGATGCCATTACTTTCGCTCGCTTGAAAGGATGTGATGGCCTTGAAACAGGCAAAAACTACACGGTTCATGTGACGGGTCCATTTACCTTTGAAATTGAAGGGGCCACGGTGAAAGATTCGCCTAATCAACAGGGATACATTACACAAGTCAAACAGCCAGTCACCATGTCGTTCGAGACTTATGAAAAGCGCTTGTCGGATCCTGGGGAAATGATGATGTCCGATTTTGCCAAGTTTGATCGACCCGCTTTGCTGCACAGTGCCTTTCAAGCTTTGGGAGAATTTCTTGCTGGTAATGGTGGCGAACTACCAACCCCTGGAAATGCCGACCACGCGGCCAAGGTCTTGGAACTCACCAAGGCCAAGTCTTCCGACGAGCTCACTGCCGCTCAAGAGCGTATTGTCTTGCAACTGGCTTCGGGATCCAAGGCTGTCTTGTCTCCCATGTGTGCTGCTCTTGGAGGTATTGTCGGACAAGAAGTTCTCAAAGCCTGCAGTGGAAAATTTGCCCCCATTAATGGATTCTTCTTCTTTGATGCCGATGAATCTCTTCCCGATGAGCTCCTCCCTGCCGATCAAGTCGCACCAGAAAACTCTCGTTATGATTCTCAAATTGCATGCTACGGAAAGGACATGCAAGCCAAGATTTTGGATCTCAATTATTTCATTATTGGCGCCGGAGCGATCGGTTGCGAGATGCTCAAGAACTGGGCTTTGATGGGTGTCGGGTGTGGTGCCAATGGACACGTCCACGTTACCGATATGGACCGCATTGAAAAGTCCAACTTGTCGCGTCAGTTCTTGTTCCGTAATACGGATATTAATCATTTCAAGTCCTCAACTGCAGCCAACGCAGTCAAGGCAATGAACAGTGACATGAACATTACTCCATACCAAGAAAAGGTTGCTTCTGATACCGAACATTTGTTTGGAGATGACTTTTATGACAAGCTTTCCGGTGTTTGTACCGCTTTGGATAATGTTGAGGCAAGATTGTACGTCGATCAACGATGTGTGTTTTACCGCCTGCCCATGTTGGAGAGTGGAACACTTGGAACCAAGGGTAACACCCAAATCGTGGTCCCTCATTTGACAGAAAACTATGGTGCCACTCGTGATCCTCCGGAAAAGTCTATTCCTGTCTGCACACTGAAGAATTTCCCTAACCAAATTCAACACACGTTGCAATGGGCTCGTGATTGGTTCGAGGGAGAGTTCAAGCAAGCTGCAGAGGAAGTCAATAGCTACTTGGGACAACCAGCCGAGCAATATCTCGCCACTTTGCAGCCAAACACCAAGACGGAAACTCTCCAGAAGATTCGCAAGACGTTGGTCGATGAACGTCCTGTGACCTTCGAAGACTGCGTGGGTTGGGCACGTCTTACCTTTGAAACTTTGTTCAACAACCAAATCCGTCAACTGTTGCACAACTTCCCAGAAGACCAAGTCACATCCAGTGGCGCCAAATTCTGGTCTGGAACCAAGCGTTGTCCCAAGCCTTTGACCTTTGACTTGGAACATAAGTGCGAAGATGCCGAAATGTTCAACCACTTGGATTTCGTCGTTGCAGCTGCCAACTTGCGTGCCACCATGTATGGCATCAAGGGACGCACCGATAAGGCATACTTTGAAGAAACTTTGAAGGATGTCATCGTCCCTGACTTTTCGCCTGTCGAGGGTGTCAAGATCGCCGCCAATGATGAAGAAGAAAAGGCCAACAACGAGATGGATACTGGCGATAGCGAAGCTGATCAACTGTGGGACTCGCTTCCAAAGCAAGCCGACTTGGCTGGCTTCAAGTTGCAACCCATTGATTTTGACAAGGATATTGATGACCACATGCTTTTCGTGACAGCATGTTCCAACTTGCGTGCTAACAACTACTCTATCCCTACCGAAGATACCCACCGATCCCGTGCCATTGCCGGACGTATCATCCCCGCCATTGCCACCACCACAGCTCTAGTGACTGGTTTGGTTTGCTTTGAATTGTACAAGATTGTTGGTACTCCTCGCAAGAAACTGACCATCGAGGCCTACAAGAATGCTTTCTGTAACTTGGCCATTCCATTCATGACTCTTAGTGAGCCAACACCACCCGCCAAGACCAAGTGTATGCTGAAGGGAAAGGAGTGGAACTGGACTGCTTGGGACTCTTTGGATGTGAACTTGGGCGACGTTACCATGGGAGAGTTCATGGATTATTTTGAAAGTGAATACAACCTCGAGATTTCCATGCTTTCTCACGGAGTTTCCATCTTGTACTCTTTCTTTGCCAACAAGCAAAAGGTTGCAGAACGCAAGGCCATGAAGATGACAGAAGTCATTACCAGTATCACCAAGAAGGAGTTCCCACCGAACCAACTGTTCATCATTCTGGAGGTAATTGCCAACGAGAAAGAAACCGACGAAGAATGCGATCTTCCCTACATCAAGTTCCGTTTCAGATAGGCAGTGGTGCTAGAACTTTTTCGTAACAACTCTAGAGTTTCATTTCTATAAAATCATTGAAAGCAATATGGAAATAATGGTGTGTATTGAATCCCCGCCCCTTTAGTAAACCCTTTTTGTCGACACCTCCACGAAGGAGCTTCGAGGATGACACGTATGCAAAGTACTGAAAGGTAGCATCGGAACTACCGTGAGTGGACCCCAGATTTTGCTTCTCCTTTCCAACCAGTTCCCAAACAACAAATCTGCTACTGTAGTAGGACAAAAACCTTTCACAAAAACCAACTGGCACATCTAAGAGATGGACAAGTCGTCACTCCTAACATTTGCTGCTGCTTCAGCAGCAGCGACTGGCGTTGCTTTATCCCTGGCACAAACTGATTTCGTTTCTCGCAAGTTTCTCGACTCCAAACAACTGGACGCGAAACGACGATCCGAGTACAACTACCGATGGAAGGCGGCCATGGAAAAGGCGTACCTTCAAATCAATTATACGCTAGCAGGGGGAATATCGGCCGTTCACAACAGCCCTGGTTTGATCGACAAGCAAATCGAAGTCATTAGCGATGAGACAGAAATGGAAGGTTTGGCAAAACGAATTGCCGCCAAAGACTCACAGTTCCGATGCCTCAAGGTTGATAGGGATGCTCAAGACACCCAGGGTGAATTCTATCTCTTCTTGATAGATTGGGAAACAAAGTACCTTTATCAGCTTCCCCTAATGGCTTTCGGGACCGTACTGGCCGGAGTTTTTGAGGATCAACTGACTTCAAACACTCTCTGTTTCGTTGCAGATGCATCATCTGGGAAAGGCACTGCACTATTGAAGGAGCTCGTGTTGGAATCCAAATCAGGAGTGGCGGTAGTATCAGAACCCTTGTGGATGGTTCAATTGGCACGATTGGTCCAAGCAAACTTGTATCCAGCCGAAAAGATTCAGAAGCTGTTCTTTGGTCTATGTCGAATGGAGGCTTGGTTCGTTCGGGACGAATGCAAGGAGTCCAAAACTGTAATGTTCACACTGCCAGGTCAGGCGTGCACATCAACCTTGCTTCCACTTGCTCAAAAGACATTTCCAGAAGACCGTCACGTATTCGTTTATGATGGGTGTCAAGCTTCCATTGAATATGCCAACAATTGCATTCGAAAGAAATCTCGCGGAAAGGTCGCAAGTAGCTTGGAAAGCGTTCTATATGGCGCTTCTCAAGATCCAATCATCCATTCTGTTCCATTGCCGTCAAACTCCCCCTTGTGCAAGTCAGTTTTGAAGCTAGTAAACAAATTATCGGACCTACCAGTTGAACAAGCACAAGTCGTGGAATGCTGGATGGGCAGCATTGATGCTTTCTTCAAGTTGAAGGAAGAGGAGAAGAAGAATGGATATTTGCCATATGTGTTTAAGCTTCAGTATTTGACAGATGGTGCTGGGAAGTACGAAGACAAAAGCGCTTCGTATTGGACTATGTGTAGTATCCTCCAGTTCATTGCAGGTTCTCGATCTCGACAGCTATCAGAGGGTCTCATTGACGCTGCAAGAGAATTCATGAAAGACTATAACGAGAGAATAAAAGGAGAGGGTAAAGGTTATGTCCTTTCCAAGAACGATGTGAAGATAATGGAGGAGTGTGTCTTTCTGCATAAGAAAATCTTGTTGGGAAACAAAACACTACAAGACACAGTACAACCTAAGCAGCACTGGACATTGAAGGAAGCGTCGAAGAAAGGAGGATGTGCTTGCTGTGGACCTGAAGATGATGACGAAGAGGAGGAAGAGCAAGGACGCGGACGTCCGGTTGGATCACGCATTGATATGAGTATGCCCGGAGCATTTGCAATGCCTGGAGCACTAGGCATGCCATCGGGGACCAAACGAAAAAGCAATAGCCCGACAGGTCGAAAAAATTCCGATAGCAAACGAGGATATGTTGACGGGAGAGCTGGATTTGCGTTTGATCCATCCCGATTTCAATAGATGATTGCGTGTACTATGATTTTTAATTTGGATTTTCTCGAATTGATTGATTCAGCAACTACAGTAGAGCTCTAGAATAACAGCATGCACTACATAAGGTTTCCATTACAAATACCTTCTTCACTCCTCATCTTGTGCTGTTTAGGGCAGCTTCGCAGAACTGTTCATAAAATTCTGGCGCGCCAATTTTTCGCGCACACCACAATCTCACAAAATACTGTAGGAACCCACATCTCTCCTCATCAGCTTGGAACATTGTTTGACAACATGGCCAAGAACAAACGAAAGAAGTACTACGCAGTCGCCAAAGGCCACAAGACTGGTGTCTATAAGTCCTGGGGCGAATGCAAGGAGCAAGTGGATGGGTTCTCCGGCAATCAATACAAGGGATTTGCAACAGAGTCACAAGCCACGGATTATATCCAAAAAACCAATGACACTGGCAACAACGCCTCTTCCTCGACCCCACCAGGCGCATCTAGTCCAACGGCCTCCTACACACGATCTATCACATACGAGGGCCCCCGAAAGCGCATCCGCCGAGACGACTACAGCACAAAGGATCATTACAAACAAACCCGATCAACCCCGCCTACTAGCGCAAGCACACCAAGCTCCCATGTCAGCACTCCCTACGAAAGTAGCTGTTATGCCTACTTTGGTGCACAAGATGAAGACGATCCGTTGCGAGACTACTATCATTCGCATGGATTTTATGGATTTAGGTAGTTCCATTTTCTTGTCGTTGAGAGGTGCTGGATCAAGATTGCAGCTATTTTTTTTGTAAAATGTATTGTCGAATTTTACTATTTTAAAAAATAATTCATACGGTAGAAATAAGATGACAAAGAAGTGTGTATCTAATAAACTGCATAGTACAATATATATATTTGAACAAGACCTCATGAAGTACCACGGGAAATACTGTACAAGTATAATACTGTACCGGTATCTTTTCTTTGCGGTCAATTTTTCAAAAAAAGCCTTCTTGATACTTCTTATATATTAGCAAAATTGTATGCGGTGCTGCAGCGTTATGAACGATCAATACAGCGCCACTTTGAAGAACCAACTTTCATGAACTTATTGCGGCTACCGGTAATACCGGATCTTGCCAGTTTTGCTTGGTGATAATAAAATAATTTGTGCTCGTACCAGGTGCCAGGTACAGTAGTCATGTCGCCCCACTGTTGTCGTACGGTATTTATCATTTACTAATTCATTGATTCATTCGATCTCTTTGTACGTTGAACGACCTCGTCTCAAAGCCGTTTTGGATCTTGGATAAAAGATACGGTGCAGGTACGAGTACCGGTACGATTCAAATCCATCACCTCTTCTTGTTTTGTTGATCAGAAACCACATGATCTTTTTGTTGAGAACCCTCACATAAATCAAACATCTCATACTTTTGTAGCACTCATATCAACACAATGGCACAAACTTCGAATCTAAGAGCCTCTCCCAGACTAGGCAAACGAAAGCCTGAAGACCCCCCAAGTGCAACTACCACTGTTAAAAGCCCAAAAGACAAGGTTGCCAAAACTGAGACTTCTGAGGAGGCCAAGACAGAAATCAAACTTGACGGTTTCAACATCAACTTTGCTCTGATCAAGGCGGAAGAAGTCAAGAGCTTTCGCGAATTGAAGGACCACCCTGTTGGGACCTTGCAGGGAATCGGCCCCAAGTACGCCGGGGAACTCGAAAAGTTGGGCCTCAAGACCATCCAACAGATGGCGGATTACAAGTTCTACCATCTGGCCAAATGTATCAAGACTTTGGCACAAACCGAGGAGACTGGAAATCGTTTGGAATCATCCAAGATGAACCTTGAGAGCGGGCTCATTAAGGAATTTGAGCCATATGCTCTCAAGGATCTTTTGGAGCAGCCAATCCACGCGCTACAAGGGCTCTCTCCAGCCGCTGACAAGACTTTTGATGCTTTGGGTGTCAAGACCATTGAGCAGTTTGCAGATTTCAAGTACTTTCACTGGGCCGAGGCCATTGTTACTGCTGCCAAATGGGAACTCTAAAGGAAAGATACCTTTAAGATTGGTTACGTTAGGACATAAGGTTACATAATAACGGTTACATAATAACACTACAGGTAGATGATGCTGCTTCCTTGGTCGGATCGCGCCGTTCGTATTGCCAGTCGTCGTCCTTGTTGTTGATGCAAGTTGTCGTGCATTATTCCAAGTCGTACCTGGTACGTTGTACCATGGTCGTATGTCATATCTACCGGTATCTTTGTTCTTCGCTTCTTCAGTCCGAGCAGAAGTCGACTCATTCGAGTATTTCAAAATGACATCACTCCAACACCTCATCAAACCAGTTGTCATACAGTCAGATCACAATACCAAAAACACTGAATCACAATTTCAATACACTGTACGAGTACCTAGAATATCGAAATCAGGATGGTCAATCAATCAAGAATGCTCATCAGCTCCCTATGGATTGCAGGTGCTGCTGCATTTTCAAACGATGTTGTGTTCCACAACAGACGAGGACAAACGTATCAGAATACTCGATCGTTTCTAGCGTCGTCAACCTCGAGTCAAACTGATTTGGGCGACACCATTGTCGATATGAACAAATACAATCTGCCCTTGGAAGAGGTTGCAAACGAATGGACGGCCAATGTCGTGGCGGAATCGTCATTGAGAGAAGCTGGTATTTATTTGGGAGCCAAGAATGACAAGTCGGTCTATGTGGACACTCTTGCTGTCGGAATTCCAAGACGAGTCGGTGAAGGCCTGGGCATTCAGCTCCTCGAAATAGCCGGGGGTCGAGAGGATGGACTTGGAATTACCGTGGTGGATGGTATTGTCGAGGGATCCTGTGCCGATGGAACCGAAGTTCTTGCTGGTGATTCCATTGCTGCTGTAACATTGCGCAAGTCCAAAAAAGGAAGCGATGGCCTCTCGGACTTTGAACAAGTGGACTCTATCGCAACAGAATGTTTTGGATACGACAAGACAGTCGAAGCGTTGATGAGCCTGCCACCTCCAGAAGGCGAAGGAGAAGTAATCGTTTTGACCTTGAAGCGTCTGCGACGCAAACCAAAGGTGACAGTCAAGTTGCAATATCCTCCTCAACAAAACGAACCGGATGCTACGATTGAGCTCTTTGCCGGAGAAAACTTGCGTCGTGCCATGTTGGTGCGAGGCGTCAAACTCAATGATCCTCTGAGTCTACGATTTGACTCTGGTGGTACTGGCAACTGTGGTGCCGACGGAACATGTGCAACCTGTGTGGTTGGTGTCTTGCAGGGTGACGACCTATTGAGCCCCAAAGGACAACAGGAAGAACAAATCCTGAAGAAGAATCCTCGTTGGAGAATGGCTTGCAAAACTGTCGTCGGATATGGCCAACAAGAAGGAGATATGACAATAAGAGTGAATCCACGACAGTGGGATAATTAAAACTTGACAAACAAACAAGCAACTATTACAATTTGCATTCTACTCAAAGCATGTACGACATGGATGTAGACCTTGGGCGATGGCTTTCGATGCCAGAATATCTTGTGGGTTCCTTCCTTGAACATGCTCACATGACGACTTGTGGTAAGCTGTACCGTTTCGGGTGCGGCAGACGGTCTCGTCTGCAAAGGTACTCCAGAGTCCCCTCTTGGCTGCCATAGCTTTGTCTTGAGCTTTACGCAGCCTCGTTTCGTTGTGCAATTTGACATCCTTTGGAGTGTAGAATCGAGCAAAACCAGCTTCCACGATGCCTTCATTGATGCACAAGTACTTGTCACCCTTTTTAACGAAAATGTGAGCCAGGGTTCTATCGTAGTGATCAGTTTTTTCGCCACCTGGTTCGGGGTATACAAACAATTGTTGTTTATAGCATCGAGAATTGGTATATTCCTTGGCTTCTTCAGCAAATGGTTGTTTTTCCTTGAGCTCGGGGGTATCAATTCCCAACAATCTAACTCTGCGACCATCGGACAACGTCAACGTATCACCATCATAGACAGATTTGCAACCAATCTCTTCCACACCGGATGGAAGGCTGCCATGCATTGCTATACTGGAGCCTTTGGTGGGTGCTGGACTGCCAGAGCTTGTGGCAGGTGCAGCAGCATTCTGGGAATGACCATCCTTTGCTTCCTGCTCCTGCTTTTGGATCTCTGTGACCACCTTATTGACGATTGACATACACTGACCCATGATAGCGGCTTTGTTGTTTGTTTTATGATGCAAGTAGTGTGAGCTGAAGTGAGTGGATGCAAAACTGTTTCCGAAATATGGGATTGGGTTGAGCTCTCAAGGTGGACGAAAATATTTCCACAAATTCAGTACACAACTGCCCTCGTGACTCAATCGAATCAATAGTGAGGTTGACCACACTCAATCATTGAACAAAACAACAAACAAACGGATGCACGCCTTCCAACAAAATGATTTGAAATTGGTATCGTACTGTAGAATGTCCAAGCAAGCATGGCTACCACTTGCCGCCTTTCGGTTACAAGTGCATGCACATCACATGAACGATATTCTAAAAACCTATCCAAGTACTTATCCTCACCACCCTTCTCATCACGTACCACCAACATCAATAAAATATGATATCATAGATACAACAGGAAATCGAAGCAGATGATTCACAATGATCCTCGGTTTCGGAGCAGTTCTGCAGAAGATTCAAATTGAAAAGGAAATGGATGCAACCCTCATCTAAAAAGAATAGCATTTGTAGATTAGCAACGCTATTTGAGAACTGGCCTTACCCCCAACTGCTGGTTTCTCTGACATCGAAACGACATTGTCAAGTTCGTTTGCACTTTGTTATTACATCAGTCAGGATGATGAGCCCTTCTTTACAAATCTTTAGCTCTTTTCCACTATTGAAACCACAAATGATAGGAATACTACTTTTGACTACATAGAATACACATGTTTTCCTATTATACACTTTTTGCCATTACAAATTCTTGCTGCAAAACCCCTTCATTTGTCATATATTCCAAGCTCAAATGTGTGCTTCGGATTCACTGGTCACCGTTCGCTCATCTGATTGTGAGTAATTTCCTCCATGGTTCTCCTTTCCGAGCACAACCTCGGATATCGCTCGGCTAATCTGTTCAAAGCTTGGACGCAATTGAGGATCACTGCACCAGCAGTCTTCAATTAGGTATTGTGTATCCCGAGAAGGAATGCATTCCAAGGATGGTCGTGAATCAAAGCCACTCTGTCTTGGTAGTGCACCACCAGTACCGTGGTGAATGGTAAAGGGCTTATTCGCCCGAGGTGTCAGCTTGCGCAAGGTGCAGATCTCGTACATGATCATGGCAAAGGAGTAGACATCCGATGCAAAAGAATATCCTCCTGCTCGCATGACTTCAGGAGCCATGTAGTTAGGAGATCCGTTAATGGCAGCATCATCGCCATCCTCCAAGTATCTTGCCGAGCCAAAGTCAAACAAGCAGACCTTGCCAGTGGTTTCATTGAAACCAATATTGTCAGGCGCCAAGTTTCGCATGATAATATCTCTCTTGTGAACGCAGCTCATTGCTTCTGCAACACCATATGCAACAGAGTTGATACGATCCATCATTTCGTCTTGATCAAGCTTCTCTTGTGAGTGACCCTTGTTCATGAGTCTGGAAGCCAACCCACGCTTCTTGTAGCTTTGAGGGTCATTGCGCCAGATTCGTAGTCTATCCTTCAAAGTGACTTGCATGACATCTAAGACCATGAAATATCCTTCACCATCTTGTAGATAGGATTCCGAGATGGAAGTGGTGCAAACTCCGTGAAGCTTGACAATGTTGGGGTGCTCCAATTGGGCTAGCATATTGGCTTCACATATCAAGTCTCGAGAAGCCGAAAGGAATTCTTGTGGAGAGCGGATCTTGTTGTGATCCAAGCACTTGAGTGCCATCTTTTTCTGTTCGGATTGGCCAACCACTAGAAAGACATTGCTGAAGCAGCCTTCTCCCAATTTGGAGACTCTGCGAATGTCCTTCTTCTCATACCTTTGGATGATATCCATATCCTCATTTGCCATTAGAGAATCATATTGCTCCAGGTGAGACGCTACGTCAGGAGTGATGATTGCATCTGAGAAAGCAACGTTTCCAGTTCCACTGCAGCCTTGCATGATGATGTTTGTTTTGGTTGTCGATGTTTTGGTGTCTTGCGTGAATTGTGAAGTTCCGAAATTTTGACAGGAGGACATTTTCTAGTCGGGGAATCCTGCTTCCAGAGATGAGATGTGAGATGGCTACTCCAAATTGCACGTGGCTCCTCCAATCGACGAGTAGTTTGGCCGAGAGAACACTGCTTAGATAAATGTATGCAACTTCGGACACGTTGAGTCACGATTTTTTAAAAATGCAAATGCAAAAAAATCCAGCCCGGCGGGAAATGACGTTGAGAGGGTTGCGTGCTGATGACGACTGACTGACGTCAGCAGACTCGACTCGTTGGACCAAGATGGACCGCATCGGATGCACATGCATTTGGTTGCCAATGAATGGCGCTCGTCTTCGAGCTGGCCGCGCAAATGGTTCGATACTTCCAAACAGATTGGAGGTTTTGGAGGAAGTGAGTCGTTTGTGGAACGTTTTGCCAGGAGCGCACTTTTCCTTGCCTTTGTCATCACAAAACTCTAGGCTAATTGTTGGTTGTTTCCATTCAAAAGCAATTTTAAATGATGAATTCAAGAGACTATCCAGAAGGAGATCGTTCCTCTCAGGATCCGCCAGCTAGAAGAATGGAAGAGGGTAGAGCCAATAATGGTAATGCATTGAACCATCATCAACCGGAATTCGGATTCGAAGTCGTCCACCACCCGCAAGATGGCTTGATCCTGGATGATGACGACGATGACAATGATCTTGTCAAGAAAGGCGAGCCATTGTGTTGTCCTGCTTTGTATACGAATTGTACTCCATGCCGAACCCGTGTCAACATTGTGGCTTTGGTGCTGCTAGTCTTTTTCTCAGCTGGAGCCACGCTGGGTGGCTTTACTCGACCTCCTCCCGATGCTCTGCTTTCGCCCAACAGCAGATCGGATGGAACCATCGCTCCTTCCGGGGGAATGGACGACGATTATTTGGGTAGTGTGGATTACCCAAACAATTCAGGGGGAGATGAGACTCCACCAGTCAATATTGGGGACGATTCCGACAATGGCAATGGAAATGATGGAAACAACAATGGAGGGGGAAATTCAAATCCATTGCCGGATGTTGGAGACGATAATGTCGATTATGAAGTCGATTCCCCCTATGTTGTTGGGACATACTATTACCCATGGCATGGTTCTAATTTCCACAACCGAGAAGGTTACCTACGTCAAAAGTTGCTTCCACCACATATGCCTGCTTTGGGCGAGTACGACGACTCCCGTCCAGAAGTCATTGCGCAGCACCTCAAATGGAGTCGCCAAGCCAACATTGGTCTATGGGTAACCTCCTGGTGGGGCCCACATTTGCTGGAAGATTCCAATACCCGGAATGTTATTTTGAACCATCCCGAGTTGGGCGACATGAAGATTGCCTTGCACTATGAAACAGCAGGACGCATCATTGATCGTGATCTTTCTAACATTGGACCCGACATTGAATACATTTGTGGGGCCTACTTTTCGCATCCCAACTATTATAGTATCAATGGCCGACCGGTCATTGTAATCTACATTACTCGTTGGTTGGAGTTTGAAGGAATGTTGGGAGACGTCTTGAGAATTATTCGCGAGACGGCCCAAAGGTTTGGACACAATCCATACATCATTGGAGACCACGTCTTTGGACAAGCACCCGATCTTCAAGATACCTACGATAGTTTCAAGCTATTGGATGCCGTCACCAACTATGATGTCTATGGTAGCATGGGACGACCCATGCGCTACGCAGGCAAGGAGCCGATCGATGACTACTACGAAGAGCAAGAAGTGTGGAAAAGAAAGGCCCTTGAAAATGGTTGTCGCTTCATTCCTGCCGCCTCCCCTGGATACAACGATAGGGGCGTTCGGCTTCAAAATGACCACCCTCCTCTTTCAAGGAAACTCACTGTGGACTCGGAAGAGGGAAGCTCGTTCAAGTACCAACTCAGCAAGGCACTACCATTGGTGGATCCAATGGCCAACAACATGATCTTGATCAACTCTTTCAATGAGTGGCACGAGGACACTCAACTCGAACCTGTGGTTGGAACTGGTGCCAACTTGCCGGTTCTCCTCACAGGAGGACTCGAATACGAAGGTTATGGAGAACTTTATCTCAACATTCTTCGTGACTATACCTCGTCGCTCGATGGGAATGTTTTCCGATCGAGTGGCGATGGGTTCTAATAAATTGCCTCCATTTTGGTGATTACCACAAGGCTTTTTCACGATGAAAAAAGCCTCGAAAGCTACCTAAACTGGCTTATGTACAATTCATAATTTTGATATGTTACTTATAATATTATTCGAATATTTTCTTAAATAATCATTAACGAAAACAGTGTTTTCTTCTTTGTAATCATTGAGGGCAGCAATGCAGATTGGTTTACATTTGCGAAATTAAGATTTATAATGGAATGATATAGAAACGAAGTACTAACATCAGGCAGAGCACCACCAAGTCATCTCTAATTTTTAGACCCAGAAGTCAAGCTAAGACGTCCAAAGCACTGCCATACGAATAAATGGTTTTATCTACTCTGCCAGTATAATTGTTGAGACGTGGATGGAAACCCTGCTTGGATACCTTCGTATTTCGTTGGGTGCAAGACTGAACCATAGGAGCACTGTCACCATGTGTGTTCTCTCGAGCCCGATCATCTCGCTGTGAATACTGACTCAATGGAATGAATGGACTTCGTCGATCAGTATGGTGGTTTTTTCTGGCTGGCTGGCTGGCTTACGGAATCCTATCGAATGGAATCCATTGATCTTTATCATCAGAAGGTCAAATGAGTCGTGTGTCTGACAACTCCGCGCACGTTTGTGAGTGAATCATCTTCGCTTGATGTCAAAAAGTGTCACATTTTGAAGGCGCATCATCAATCACATCACATCATCCTTCTCACAATTACATCAGATCACAAAACACTTTTCATCAAACACGAACCAACAGAATGTCCGCCAGATTCCTCCTCACACGCACCAGTCAAACGCTTCTTTTGAAGACCAGCATCGTCCCTTCCGTTGGCAGACGCAACCTGTCATCACAAGGTATTGCTGCAGTAAAGAAGCTTCGAACAGTATTAGAAGACTATCGCAGAGAAAAGTAAGTGCGAAGAGCATTTTATGAAAGCATCACTCTGTATAGCGCGTCTGACAGTGAAATGGTACCTTCGCTCCTCGATCTTCAGCTGCACTCAAGAATTGCCATCACGTGTCAAGAAGCAACTTCTTCAAGAGGCACAAACCGAAGGCTTTGTTGATCAAAACGGAATGATTCGAGTCATTCAAAATATTCACAAGAACGATCAAATATCCTTGAATGATTTGGAAGTAATCTTTCGTGAACACGGTGGACAAACCTCCTCAATTGCTGTCGAGGAAATGATGAAGCTACTATAGATTAGGCAGCAGCCAATGATCAATCATGATCATGCTACAATAGACTACGATGCCGAACATATCGGCCTCCATAGAGATACACGTAAACAAAATGTGAAACGCACTAGCAGCCTTTTCTTTATCCTTTTACGTTACAGTCATTCTTGCTATTGGGAGTGCGATTGACATCATTTTTCAAAACATCAAACTGTATGCATTCTTTGACCTCGTGTTCTATAAAAAAACATCACTTTTATATGAGTCAAACGGTCAATTGAGTACACGTGTACACATGGAAACAATCGACTGAGTCAAACACATCGACTGTGGCGCGCGGCACATAGCAATCGACCGAGTCAACCTATCGAGTCTGTACTGCGGTTCCTCCTGCTTGTGGCCATCGTCAGCTCGTTTACCATCATAATCAAGAAGAGATTGACAGTGGTGATATCCCATTTGGAAGCATGATTTCTCGTTTTGCTCTCTTAGCTACGCGAAAGTCTGCTACGACAGAGTGCGTTTCGAGCCTTCGCAATTTTAGCAATGCTAACAAATTCCGACCGAAACGTCGACCGGGAAAGAACTACAACGCTGCTGGCAAAGCAGCCGTGAAGAAGCCACATCCCAAGCAAAGGTCAAAGGGAAAGAAGGATCCGAACGATATTTCCACTCCCCCTAGACCGTCTATCGACTTTTCGAACATTAAGGTCACTGACGTCGTAGATGAGGGTGATGAATACACTGCGGAAGAACTGATTGCTGAATTTGGACACTTGGCAGGTGGTGCTTTAAACATGGAGCGAAGAGAAATGGAGCACGGCGAGCTTGACATTGAGGCACAACTGAAGATGATGGATTATTTCACAAGCGCTCCTGGTTCCACAGAAGACTTGGTTGCAGAGAGAAGAATCCTTGCCGCGGAAACACCCGATGAACAAGAAAGACTTGCCCTGATCCAAGAAATCGATAGACTTGTAGAAGAGGAGCGATTGCGAGATATGGACCTTCCGCATACCGAACCAATCACTTTGGAAGATCTTGAGGAGGAGCAAAACACGGGTGCCACGGCAGTCCCGCAAAATCAACTTGCACATGGCGAATGGTATCTATCTAGCTAGCTAGCTTATTTGTATTGCAATTGGCTCGAGTATGTCGTAATGTCTAACGGTTTCTGGTTCAATGAACTTGCAGGGGAGAGCTGCTGATTCGAACCGATCGTGTCTGTAAGATGTGGAGAGGTGGTCGTATCGAATCCTACCGGGCTCTAGTCGTCGGCGGAAATCTTAAAGGCTGTGGCGGTTTTGGTATTGGGAAGTCCTTTGAACCCGAAGATGCTGTTGCCATTGCCTCGAGAATGGCCAAGCGCAACATTTTCTTTGTTGATCGCTATCGCAACCGAGGTCTGACAAGAGACTTGACGGGGCGACAGAACTCGTGTAAGGTCTACTTGAGAGCGACTGACAATGGATTGCGAGGAAATCCTCTGTGCTGCGAAATTTTGAAATTCATGGGAATCACCAATGTTGTGGCCAAGGCGCATGGTAGCCGCAACCATTACAATGTCTGCCGAGCCACTTACAAAGCGTTGCAAACACACGAATCTTTGGACGACATTGCTATGAAGCGAGGCTTGCGATTGGTAAACCTCCAAAAGGCCAAGCGGTTGCAGATTTAAATAATAAACTATTTCTTCGACTCTACTAATCACTGCTGTGCAGGGACATGAATGCACAATTTAACCTTAGCAATTTCATGTGAATCATACAACAGTTCTTCATAAGTTTGTACGGTCCTATTCCAGTCTTATTATGTTACAATCCATGCTATTGTTACAAATGCCCGTATGAAGTTTCATAGAACAAGCATGATTCACCCCAAATAAATTCCCAATATGCATAAAAACTAAGTAGAACTAAACGTCCCTTTCATTCAAAATTAAGCAGCCGTTACATTCAGTCGCTTGGTCGGAGACCGCAGCCCATGTGATGATCCGTCGAGCGAAAACTTGAGTGCGCGCTTTCCAGCCAAGGTAACAACAGGCTTTGCAGGGCACTTTTGAAGTTCTCCGCCACTGTTGTTGCTGGTTTGTAGGAAGACCCGTGATTGTTCAGAAGGCTCCTTCTGTAAGTCCCCCCCGATACAGCTGTTGGATTGGTTCAGCAAAACTCCCACATTGTAGCTGTTCGCTTGGTTGGTTTGATTGGTCTGACTAGGGAAGAGCATCGTTCTTTGATACTCTTCGATGGCTGCTTGCTGATCCAATTGCCCCAAGGTACACGCCATATATGTACACTGTAAGGTCTCTTGTTGACAAGCCAAAGCGATTGATACTGGATCATATATTCTGTTTTGTTCGTTCCACTGACGGACTTGGCAATTCCATACTGCTGCTAATACCTTGAGCTTGGTTTGCTTTCTGTATGCAAGCCCAGCCTTGGTCATGAACTCGATTCCCCTGGAACAGACGCTCTCCCCTCCAGCAGTAGTGGGACCCACAGCGTTTACACTGTTTATAATCGCTGCCTTGAAACCTGCATACTCTTGCCTGCTATACCATTTCGATCGCAGTTCGGTTTCTTCTGTTTCTGGTAGTTGCAGAACTTGCGATGGTGACGATGCAAAGGAAACGGCTTTACTCTTGCGTTTTACCATCGTCGGTATAGAAGCGGGATGCACAGGCATTGCAACCTGTATTTGCCTTTGATGTAAGGGGGCCATCGGCAACGTTGATGAATTGCAGCCACCTCTATTCATTGGACACGTAATGTAATCTGTAATTGCTTTGGTACAACGATTACCTTTCCCTGAGGACACTGACAAGAATTTTACTTGAGAAAAAACAGTAGATCTCAAATTTACATCACGACTTTCCTAATTATCATATTTTTATCAATAGGACTAGGTCATTTATGCAACAGTAGCAATTATAGAAGTCGTTAGATAAAATGACGTTTAGGACTTATGTATTACGAGCAAACTAAAGTTCTCACCGGGTTCATGTAGTCTTGAACGATACACTTCTAATTATGGTTTCTTTTATTCAAATTCCGAAGAAAGGTCCACTCTCTCATTCTCACAGTCGCACTAGCTTTCAGATTCCCCGCTGTAAACGGTGGAAATTAAAAAAGCCCTCAAAATGATGTATACACTATTGATCATAAAATACAATACCACTGGTGTACCGGTAGGTACGATAAAACTCTTGGCGTATTACTGTTGGAGGCGGAAAAGGTCAAGAGCTTATTTCAACTGCAACCAAGGTACCGGTACCTTGTACCGTACTCTGAACTCGTACCAGTACGAGTTCCTTCCTTGAAATGCATCCCAATTCTCAAACTGTGTGCAGTGCGAGAAACGCAGTGTGCAATATATGCCTTTTGCATATTCTTGTCTGTTTAGAGAATGAATCATTGCAATAGTCTAAAACGCCATAGTCAAAAGTGCAATACTGTATTGATATTCTAACTAGTCGCATGCATGGTTGCGTCTATAGATTTGTACCGGTACATTGCAGTACCATGTTTCCCTATTTAGCACTCGGATGATTCGTCGTACTCCTTAGCATCCACAGACGGATCCTTGCCAGTATTCTTGCCTTTGCCGTTGGAGAAGTTAGCCGCTGTGGATCCTAGTGCATCATTCTTTGTGTCACCTTGGCTGGGTTCCTTCACTCCCTCTTCATCCCTTTCCGCCGCATCACCTCCTTGTCCACCTTCTTGTTCCAATCGAGCCTTTTCGTTCTCTACCCACTCTGCTAGACGGGGTGACAAGTAGCTACCGAGCACGAGTTGCATAGGGTGCCAAATCAGGAGTGGTAAGGTGTACAAACCAACGTTGATGTCGCTTTCGTAGATGGCATTGATGAGCGGTACTCCCATGGCCACAGTCTTGTGAGTACATCCAAAGAGTCCCATCACCCGCAAGGTTGGTTCTTTTGGGAAGAGGGCCTTCAAGTAGACCCACGAGAGGGCCATGACGAGACACAATAAGCAGAATTGAATTGCAATCATGATGAAAATGTCGCCGACCTTGACATCGTCGTCGTCTTTCGAAAAGGTTCGGCAGAAGACAGTATAAACAATAAAAACTAAGGCCAGTTGCTGAGCCTTTTTGAAACGCGGCTTGTATTCCTTGACAAAAGCAACAACCTTTGGGGAGCACTTTTGCAAGACTTGACCAATGGACACAGGTAGGACTACTCTCAGCGCGAGCTTGTAAAAGACACTGAACAAGTCCACATCTCCTGAAACTCCCAAATAGGCTAAGATCAAGATGGGACTGAGAAAAACTCCAAGCATGTTGCCAAAGGCAGCATTGAAAATGGCTGAGGCTTCGTCACCGCCTGCCGATTTGGTCAAAACCAAACACATATTAATGGTCAATGGCAAAGAGGCGCAGACTACCATGCCATCGGCGAGGGCCTGGGGAATAACATCGAGCGATACCAAGCCCCGGCTGATACCAAATACCAACGATGACACGACCCCAAAATTAAAGACTTGGACCGACGCGTTGAAAGAGAATCGTTGGAATGCCTTTTTGAATTCTTCCGTCTTGAGACCAAGTCCCGCCAAGATGAAAATAAAGACAACACAGATCCAGGTAGCAGTAATCTGAGGTTGAAGGTAGTCAGCTCCAAGTGGAGGGTATGCCCGAGCCAAAAGAATTGCAATGACTACTTGCATTATGAATTCATTCTTGAAATAGAATTTCACGAAAGCATTCCAGAGTTTGGGGCATCCGCTAACATCTTCTTCTTCTTCTTGCTGTGCTTTTTCTGACGGTTTCGATTTCTCGGTTTGGAGCGCTGTATTTGGTTCGCCTTGCTCAATACTAGCGGCTTGTTCATTATGTTCCGTCATACTATGTTGCTTTTGGATTTTGTCTGTCGTGCTTCTCTTGTTTCGTGTACGTTTCTATCGCCTGGTTCCAAGGATCGTTCCTAAATAATTTCTACAAGGTTTGTCGGACCTTTTTATATCTAGCTCTATGAACTATCTCTTGAGTTGTTGAAATTCTGGAACAATCGACACCAGCAGAAGTTTGAATGGAGATGATTTTGATGTGTGACGTCATTTTGAGGTTATTTTTATGCACGTGTTTTTCGCCCCTATTTTTGCTTTCCCCCTCGATTTGCCAAAAAATGCTACGATACATACCAGTACTACCGGTATAGTTGGTACTGCTACTCGTACTGTAGCCGGCAAAAGGGTTGCCGCCACACTACTCTAGAGCGTGCTTTGTTATATTTAGGATTGAGAAAGTTTTACAAATTGAGGTAGGAGTCTATTGATTCTTTGATCCGATTCATCTAGATCATAGTTTTGGAAAGGGAGGAGCGAGTAAGCAACGAAAAAGCCCTGCAGGAGTACTACTCTTCCGCATTTATCCGCGGAGACCACCACGAGCCCCTCGATTTCCGCCGTTTCCTCCTCCTCCATTGTAACCATTGCCCCCATCGCCACCATCGCCACCATCGCCACCATTGCCACGTCCAATATTGCTGCGGCCTCCACCATTGCGCCTCGCTCCACTGACACTACCGATCACAATTCCAACTGCGCCTCGTAAAGAAAGGCTGATGTGTCAAGCGAAGAATCAGATATGTCGAATTACAAGTTCTTTTTGTATCCATGCGACTCACTGCGAGAGGAAGAACCATCGACGGTCAAGCCATCCCCGCCATCGAACCAATCCGAAAGGAAAGTGTGATTCTAATTGGTAAAAAGAAGCAGTAGCAGTGACATTGGAGGTCTTATCGAGTTCATCAGTGAAACAAAGAGAGCGAACACTTACCCGCACGTCAAAGTCATTGTGGTAGATTCTGCTGAACCATCAGCACATGGCTGCCACAATGGTCATTTCGCAGCAGGCGAAATTAGCATCAACAATCGCGATGGCATTGTCCTTGTCCTTATCGGAATGGGCAGATGTCGGCATAAGCGCCGAGTGAGAGGATATAAAGAGTTAAGAAAGTAGATGCCCTTGTGATCATGATTCTAATGCTTCTCCTCGGATTTTAGAAATTGTGAGTGGTGTAATGACTGGAAGGGCACAGGAAAATGCAGGATACGAGTACGAGTAATGATAAAAATGAATATCGCGCAGATTTGTGCGCAACTGATTCGCGCTATAATTTTTTCGTAACCAGTCTCAAAACGAATCAATCAATCAATCAGAAGGACAATCCTACACATCAACCTTAACTCGCGATTTCTTCGTTGTTTCCGACCATCTACTGTACATACAAGGTTACCGTAAACAAAAGAAGCATCGAGATATTCCACAGCATATATTAGGCCGCAAAAAATGCTACTTCTGCGATGAGTCTTTGGGAAACCTTTCGCAATCAGCGACATGATTTCACAGGACGGACTCCGCCAGCAAAGCGGCAACATCGAAATCGAAACAAGCGAAAACTGGAAACGAATGAAGAGGGGCACAAACTGTTACAACGAGAGAGATGTCCCATGGTGGCTTCAGTGACTTTTCCTGTGGCCACAACACCTTCTATATATTCTTCGAATCAAAGACGGAAACCCACATGCCACTCCAGATTCCTTGCATGCCACCATCTGGTGGACGAGGAAATCACCGATGCTGAAACGATATTCCTTCAAATGGATCGGCTTGGTAGCTATGAGAGTCAGTCGCAACAACGGCAACGGAGAACACGGCGAAATAGGTTGGCGTTATCCTTGGCACACAAGAAACTGATGGAATTTGATCAGCAGAAGGCAACCAAAAAAGACTGTTATCAAGATGGCAGTCATGCCATCTATCGAAAGAAAGAAGACTATTCTGGATCTCAGATGTATGCTAGTTGCATCTTTTTGAATGATCATGATCGAGTGCTGGCAGCCGACGTATCCGGCAAGATGGATGTTGTTAGGGTTCCTGTCTTCCCCAGTGGGAACAATAGCAAACTGCTTGGCACAGCCTTGCTGCAAGAATTGCAAATTGTAGGTGCTGGGGGAAGTCAACCAAACCAGTCTACAGATACGTCTTCGGCACTCAAGCTTCAATCCTTGGACCAAGGCAATCGGTTTGCAGTGGGAATGCCCAATGGAAACTACTGTATTGTTGATACCGAACGGATGAAAGCAACGATGGCAATTTCTGAACCATCAGCTTTGAACAATACAAGGAGAAACCGCTCGAAAGTGACGCCACCAAGTACGACTCTGTCCTATCATACGTCTTTATTTCCGCAATTGCAAGCAATCACCGTTGCAGGATCCAGAAGGAAATATCACCGAGACTGGAGCAATCCGCAATTGTCGCTACAACAACTCTTGAAGAGCAATGGTCGCAACTTTTTAGACGCACACAACTTTCGACAAGTCTATGGATGGGATCAGAACAAGCCACGAGTAACCACTCCAGTATCCTTTCAACTAAATGAATCTGCTCCCGCCCATGCGAACACCGCCCTGTGGGACTTTTGGGAGTCGCATCCTTCTTCCGTGTTGGCAGCTCATGTTGATGCCGAGCATGATTGCTTTTCACTCTGGGACAGCCGACAAAAGCCTACAGTCGTAATTGATTCATCCTTTGGTCGGTTTTCATCACAGACGACAGCCCAAGATCATGTAACATCTTGCGCCTTTGTTTCAGAATTCTGTTTAGCCACATCTCATGTGACGTGGACTGCGAATAGCTCTTCCTTGAATGGTCCATCCTCGTCGTCGGTGGTGGAATGCTTGTCCAATGGTAGACTGCATAAGAAACCCACTGCCAAAGCAAGTTCTCGGATTCAGTTGTGGGATTTGCGAATGCTTCGAGCTCAGCGACAACCCTTGAGCTCCATGGCAGTCGTCCCTTCTTTTCCACAAGATAGCGTCCTAGGTGGGTCTCCCGGTCGAATATTTTCCATCGGGCAAGCAGCAAAACCAAAGCAAAATCGTAACTTGGAGTCTGCTGTTCTCAACATACAAGCGTCGAAATCTTGCAACAGTGCATCAAGGCACTCTCAAGTGCTTGTGACTACTGATTCGCATTCCTCCGGTCTACAATACCATCTCTTGGAACTGGCGCATGGGGAAATCACCAGAACTATTTCTCATGGTCAAACGACTTCGGGCTTCATGGCAGTTGCCCCTTCGCAGCATGCCATGGTGTGCAGTACTGCTAGCGGTACGGGGGATTCGTTGCAAGTCTACAATTTGTTGGACCAACGACATTCATCAACAGCTCGAAGCACGAGTGGAACCAAACGATCCCATCTTGGTCAGTCACATGCAGCAGAAGCAGAGGCCAACGATAGAGCCGGGGTAAAATTCACGCCAGTGATCAAAGATCGACATGGGCTGTCCACGCAACTCTCTTGTTTGGCAATGAACTACAGCGGAACGAGCATAATGGGGGGATCAATCGATGGAGACTTGTTTTTATGGCGTTAAGTTGGACAAATCAAAGCTACTTTTAGTTCATTTTGCAAGTAGCATGGTGTGTGCGTAAATGTACTAGTCTAGAATATGAGGGAAAGGGTGTATCTATGGCGATGCGCTCGACATCATTGTGATTGAGGGGGGATAATCATCATGGCCTCTATGATCCTCCTTGTTACTCCAAGAGAGCCGATCCAACTATCAAAATCCCGACCACAGCCAAAAACGACCCAATCAAGGCAGCAGTCAAAATTCCAAAGGCTGTCCCTTCGGATACACCTAGCTTCTCGTGCAACCAATCCAGGGATCGATTGCCTACGGGTGCCAAGGCCACGGCAAGAGCAATGCGGGGTAGTTTGGTCACTTGAGAACCCACGTAGACCGTACCCAAGGCTTTCCCCAACTTTTGTAATTGGCTGGATATTGTGGGTGGTCCAGAAATCGAAATATGATGCCATTGGAGAAGAGTACCACCCGCGTAGAGTGCGAAATTCAAGAAACCATAGGCCAGGAAACCAGCTCTTCCCGCCTGATTGAGTTTCTCGGTCAGCTTTTGCGTTTTGGATCGCACTTTGGAAAGTATCGTGGTGATCCGGGTTTTGATTTTGCTTGCAAGCGTCACCCTGTCTCTGGGGAAGGAGGGACCCACAAGTTTGTATTTTTTAATGGGTGTATCTGTTTGCCGTGTAGAAGTATCAGTGTCAGAAGGTAGGGATGTGGGCGGTGGAGGATTGTTGGCAACGTGCGCCTTCTCCAACAAGGCAACCGCCATTTCTGGAGTGACTTTTCGCGATGGTAAATCATCCTTCCAAGCTGAGCATACTTGGCCGGGTCGCACCTGAACTCGCATGCCTTCGGGGAAAGCAATTGCTCTCCATCCGTCTTCTTTCAGGGCTTGCAGACAAGTTCGAAAACAATCCTCTTCCTCTACGTTAGTGACATCATTGTTGTTACTGCTTTTTTCATTCCGGACATCATATTCCTTCAAAACTTCGCAAACAATTGGAGCCGGCAGTTGATGGAAAAGGCACACAGAAAGAAGCTTAGTCAATATTCGTTGGTTTGTATACGTCACATTTCGAATGGCGATGGGCGGATTGGGTGAAACCTTGTATTCAAAGTCAATCACATCCATAATATGTGTTATTCCACACAAGCTTTCGCCCTTAGCAAAAGATGATGGGTTGCTATATCGGGTTGTCGCGCCTCGAATCAGCTGGAGAAAATCGGGTGGCACAGCTTGTCCTCGCTTCGGAAGATAGGACAGGAGATCCTGTTCCATGGCACCATCTGATATGAAGGACGAAAGCTCAAAATTGCGTATTTTGCTGGGTGGGTCGAAACAATTTGATGTCGAGCGCACGATTGGATTCGACTGCAACAAACCCAATGAAAGAAGCTTGGACGAGGGAAATGCACACGCCATCAAAAGATTTCCTTTCAAGGAGAGTATAAGCAACGCATGAGTGATTGCTGCCACTATTAGTGGCATTTTGTGTTGACGAAATCAGTGCAGCTTTGTTTTGTGATGGTTGATCATAATCATTTTAAAAACTGTCTTTTTTTTTTCTTGACGTCACAAATGTTGACTGACTCGTCCGATTGATCTTGTCGAGTTGACTTGACAACAACCCCTGCGATACTGTTCTACTGGTATCGTACTGTAGTGCTCTATCATTCGACGTTTCTATTTTAGCTGGTAATTCTGGATGGACTGATTTTTTGTCTGACTCTTGATACAGGCTAATTAATGCCACCTTGGGATTTCTCGGTTGGTAACTTGGCAATCAGATTCCTGCTCCTCCTCGTAGCTACTCCTCTAGTACTAGTATGATGGCCAGCAGCCAGGCCTGGTCGGAAGACCACAGTCATGGCCATTGCAGAATGAATTGCACTCAGTTCTGGTGCCTTCGGTTACATTTTTGGTTTTGACTCTGCTTGGATTTGTAATATGGAAAGTGTTGCGTTCTGGTTTTGTGATCACCAACAGATACAGTAGGTATTCTCTGGTTTTTTCTGTAAATGCGAGTCGACCGAATCAATCACATCGTAATTGCGCGCCAAAAAAATCTCAAAATCGGTTCTGGGAATTTTCGTTTATTTTCAATCGAAGTGAAAGCGTTGGGTTATTCATGCAACGTTGTACCATACTCATTGTCATACAATTGAATGAAATTTGTTGTATAAGATGAATCTTCTGTGGCTTCGACGAAACATTCACGACCGCATCTACGACGATCATAAGATTTGATACAGAGTAAGCAGACAACGAGGAGGAGCCAAGAATCTTTTCAGACGTTTGTTTCCAAGCTAATTGAATTGAACCTACCGAATAAGACTAAGCTCCAGGTACACCCTCATTCGAAAATTGGCAAACTATACCCTTGGTGATATCCTCAACACCACACTTGATACGATATCCTCGAAGTTGGACAGAAGCATTGATATTGTCATGGGAAGCAGGAGCAGTGACGAAGATTGCAGTCACTCCAAATTCACGGACGAGCAATCGCTCGATGACATTGTGGAAATTCCAATTGGCAAGAATACTTCTAGGCCGTCACGTGGAGAAAGATTTGGATGGTGGCTGCGAGAACACAAGTATCAGTTGATTGCGTTGTCCATTCTGTTAACAGGGGTAATAATCTTGGTTGCGACGATGGTGGCGCATTTGGGGCGAGAGAGCAATGATGGACCGACGCCACCTCTCACCAAAGAGGCTATTGTCTATGGGGAAACGGGGTCGCCAATTTTTAGTCCTACTACTGTCTCACCACTCACCAGAGCACCATTCTATTCTCAGGGTCAAGCTTCCACAGATCCTCCTGTGGTATCTCCAACTAAAAGGCCTCTCACCGGCGGCCCCACAACTAATCCGACGTCAGCAACAACACAACCAGTTCACCCGACGATGGGACCCACCATGGCTCCGTCGCCGATGCCTGTACTCCAATCCATCCATCCCCAACTCGTGGAAGCGATCGGAGGCGATATTGAACGTTTGCTGGATCTGTCGAACAGCCCCCATCGAATGGCGTATGAATGGATGATGAATGTTGACCAACTACGATGGAACGAGAACTATCCCACCATTGTCCAACGTTTCGTGTTGGCCACCTTTTATTTTGCCAGCGGCGGTGGTCTCATCACTTCCACTTGGGAGGTATGCAGTGCGGTTCCCAGTGAAACCTTGCCTCCCGACGAAGCTGATGCCCTTGATACCAGATGTATCTCGCACGGCGACGAAGTTGTTTGTGCTCACTCGCAGGATTTTGAAGACTGTCCCGAGTATTACGAACGGTTCGGATTGAACCCTCCTTGGAACCTGAAGAAACGATGGCTTAGTGGGACCTCGGAATGCGATTGGTATGGGATTGAATGCGATGATCGAGGGCACGTCATGCAAATGTCTCTGTCAAAGAATAATCTGGTCGGAAGTTTGATTAAGGAATTATCAGGATTGGAGCAAGTCCAGATTGTAAATCTTTCGGACAATAACTTGGGAAACCTCTTGCCAGCTTGGCAAGGCTGGAGTCAGTTGCAGTATTTGTCTTTGAGCCACAATCTTTTTGAAGGAACTATTCCTACCGAATGGCAACAGTGGACCAACTTGTCGACTTTGGACTTGTCCAACAACGAAATTTCAGGATTGGTAATTCTCCCAAACAATTGGGTGGAATTGGATACTTTGATTTTGAATTCGAATGTAGGACTCGTAGTCGAACTAAGTGAACAAGTTGGAACGCTGCGAAAGTTGGAAACTCTGGAGCTGCAAGGAAGTTTGATCATTTCGGATTTGCCATCATCGATGAAGGGTCTAACGAATTTGAAAGACCTTAACCTTGCACATTGTGGTTTGCTTGGAACTTTTCCGACCTCGCTAGGGACCATAGAGAATTTGGGTAAGTCATCGATTTGGTGCTATTGCCTTGTGCTGGCTGGCCCATTCTCATTCGTTCAATTACTTTTCAGTCGAACTTCAACTCCAAGGAAATAGTTTCACAGGTGAACTTCCAGACAATATTTGGAGACTGCGCGACCTAGAGGTCTTAAGGTTGGAAGGCAATCAAGTTTGGGGCCGATTGAGTAAAGACATTGGTGATTTGGCAAAGCTGAAAGACTTGAGACTCTCAAACACTTTGTTAGATGGCTACATACCAGGTGAAATTTCGAAGCTACGGGCATTGGAACGGGCGCACTTTGAATTGAGTTATTTCACAGGAAAGGTACCAAATGAGCTGTGCAAGTTAAGGGAATCTACGTTGAAGGAGCTGACGGCGGATTGTTCTGGGAGTAACGAGATGAAATGTCACTGTTGTACGCTATGTTGTGATCGCGCGGATGAGACTTGCTCAGTGCAAACCGAAAGCTCCAGAAAGAGAGCTTTGGGGAGTTTGAATTAGTCACTACTTTCCATCTTGGGGCCGGCTCCACTTTTTCTGCTTCAACTATGAACCACAATTTTCTATAGCAACTGGAAGCCATTTAACGAATAATTGGATAAGATCAGTTTATTCCATCTGGATATATTGGAAGACTGTACCGAAAACTCATGAGATGGATGTGTGTGTGTTTAATGACCGAAAAATTACCGCGATAACGAGCTGTTAGTATAGTCAAGTAGATTTTTAAACCTCTAGGTGCCTAGTGGACCAAGCATTGGAGATGCCCGTACAAGATTGATTCTTCTTAGCTCTGGAGTAGAGTCTTTCATTGGTGGCCATTTACCTCCAGCCATCACTCCTTCGACTTCTTCTACAGTCCTTGGGCAAACTGTGAAGTTGACACAGCCGTCTTTAGTTATTGCCAGCACATCCTCTAAACGTACACCACCGTAACCTCGATATGGCTTTAGCTTTTGTTCGTTCAGGTACTTTGATAGAGCAGGATTGTTCAGCGCTCCATCTAGTAAATGATCAATAAAGTAGCACCCAGGTTCCACAGTTAAAACCATGTTCTCTTCCAGTAATCTGGCGGTTCTGAGTTTGCTCAATCCAGGCAGCTGTATTCGTGGTTGATGGCCTGGCAAGTAGCCACCGACATCATGCGTGTCGATCCCGATAAAATGCCCCAAACCATGAGGCATGAATATGCCCCCCAATCTCAACTCTACCAAGTCATCGAATGAAACATCGGGCCCCTTACTTACAATTCCCATTTCTGCTAGGGCTGTCAAAATTGTTTTCTTATAAAGGAAATTCCAGAAACCAAAGTTAGCTACAGTACTGCGTCGAATGACCAAAGTTCGGTCCATTAAAATCATATCTTACCTCCGCCGCCTTGTGGCAGTCGACCCACGATACCCCTGGTTTCAACATTTCATAGACTGTAATTTGAGCTTGCAAGACAGCATTGTAGATTGGGAGGTATTTGGCAGAGAACTTTCCATTCGCTGGAAAGCTACATGTAATGTCGCTTGCATAGCTATTTTTGACCGTGAGAACGAGAGTAGCTTCAAGATATTTTCAACCCAGGCTGCGACTCACCATTGATACTCTGCTCCCATATCAAAAAGACAATTGTCTTCTTCTCCTATCAGCCGAGCATTCGGCTCACCAGCATGCCCATAGTGAAGTATAGCAGCGTTTGGTCCACAACCGCAAATTGATGTATAGCTGACAAGTCTGGACCCTGCAATCCAAAACTGTATTCTGAGCGCCTTCAAAACAACTAGCAACATAATTCAGTGGTCTTACCAAAGTTGAAATACCTGTGAGGAAAAATGATGAGAAACGCAGTGGCGAGAAGAAGTAGAAATCGTTGGTCCACGAATTGAACTTACGCATAATGCATGAACAGAGACTCCGCTTGATATTCCATCATTCCTGGTTTGAGATTTCTCATCACATAGGAATGTGCAAAGGATGAAATCTGTGCTACATGTTCCAGTAACGCAAGTTCCAATTTTGACTTGTGCACACGGCACTCTGCGAGAATTGGGAAAAGGGTTGTCTTATCTTGTTGCTCAACGAGTTTATTCGATTTGAATTCGGGAGCGAGGTCATAAGTATTGCCAGAGTCTGAATTCACTCCCTCCATGAGAAGAATCTTTGTTGACTTGTCATTTGACACCACCTTACTTTCCAGGACTTGTTCGAGGTTTTCTGTGAAATCAACATCATCAGCGCCATAGAGCTCCTTCCATTCCTCCTTACTTTTAATGTGGCCCATAATGGTCGCATAGTCTTCTGGTAGATTTGGGACCAGCAGTGTCATTCTTCCATCCTCGTCGAGAATTAGAGCACAATCTGCATCCTTTACGCCAGACAACCACCAAAAATAGCTTTCCTGCCGAAACACAGGTTCGTTGTCGCTATCGAATCGAGTGGTACTGGGTCCTCCAACCAACACAATCAAAGCACTGTCGTATCAAAGCATGTTGAGACTACTTGCGTTTGAAGCATATTCTCCAGAATCACGTACCTTTCATCCATTGTGGACTTTATCGATTTGGCAAGTTTGGTTCTGAAGTCGAAGTCGAAATCAAAGTAGGGTCAGTCGTCAATGGCGCTTCATCACAATCCAAATTATCCACAATTGACACACCTATTCTCACGAAACATTGTGAGTGGGATCTTGTAGGTGTCTCTGCCCATCGAGAGAAACGACGCCATGCTGAAAAAAATAGATACTACTGCTGTTGTTGGTTGCCACTTCGTTTGGCAATAGGTTGGTTGATGGATGCGTGTCGAAGAATGAATCGATGCGATGCGATCTTTGAAAAGATCGACTCATCCGAGTAAATCGAGTTCGACTCCTGTATCTACCCATTGACTTACAGCACATGTATCGGCTCTCTGTTGTACTGTGCCTTACGACCCGAGCCCCCCCCCGGAAACTTGAATAGGAAAGTAGCATAGCAATGGGTCTATATGTCCTTTTATTTAGCCACTGATCTTCACTCCATTAGCAAACTTTCCTTTCGTTTTGACCAAAGCTCTCGAAATGGCCGACAAAACTGCTCCCCTAGCCTCCCAATAGGCACCGGAGGACGGCGGCACATAGTGATGAGTATCGATTGTCACTAGAATATGATTTGTGGCAATATCCGTCCACATGACACGGAAAGGACGCGATCCGTCTGTAATGAGCTTCGGACAGGCACTTCGGATTTCTTCTTTCAGGGCTTGTACTATATCGTCGATCCGAACCAAGTCCTCAAAATGAAATTGCAACTCGAATTTTGCCTGAGAGCGTTGCATGCGAGAAATGTTTGAAAACTTTTGGCCTGTCATTTTGCTGTGAGGAATCTTGACCGTCTACAGAACAAACGTGTGAGTCAGTTTAGTTCGTTGCCTTCAACCACATCAAGAAGTCAATAGAGAAGACATCTGTTACGCACAATATCGTCTCCGCCCATTATGGTCGTCTCCAATAACCCAATATCCACTACTTTGCCTTGTGTCCCATCTCCCAGTCGAATACTCTCATTGCGGTGGAATTTATTCGAAGCCATCATTAGAGCTCCTTGTAGCATTTGGGAAACTGGTTCTTTCAACGCCAAACCGATTACGATAGAAGAGAGACCACCAACTGCAACAAGGGATCGAACTAAACCCCCAAGATCGAAATGACAGGCATCCAGCACTATAATGGAAGCTAAAAAACATAGTGACGAATCGATGAGCCACCTTTCTGAATTCTTTCGATTCTTTGAATAAACATCGAAACGAATGATCACTTACCAGTGATGTAAATCAGAAAATCAAACATCCCATCATAGGTTTCTGGATCTGGTAATCGAGTGTAAACCTTGCGCAAGAGTCTCCTCTTTGCTTTCGACACTTCCGTGGCAATCCAATATCCATATGCTATATTGGCAAAGAAATTTGGAAATTTAGCCAGCGGTTCCAGGTTTTTTGGAACGGCTGATTTCGCTGCTGCCTTGGCTGCCTTGGGCGCTCTAGCCGCGGCATTTAAAATGAATCTACTGGCCATCTCGACCAAGTAGACGAGCGATGCGATTCGTCCTCCTTGAGCAGCAAAATTTCCAACGCGTGAAATCTTGGATCTTTGGTACTCCTTCTTTTCTTTGGATGGAACAAAGATTGGGACTATTTGGTAGAAGATCTTGTGGTACATCCTTGCCAAAGGAATCGGAAGAATGACTAAGCAGACCAACGCGATGACATCGGCTGCGTAAAAGCTATCCTTGACCGCCGTCCAGCCTTTTGTACAAGATTCCGCTGTCCTTACGAAGAAATCTCTTACTTCAGGGTGATTGGTCAATACCATGTTTTGAAATCTTGGCGCTTTGAGAGGTTTCAAAACCTCCTCTGCGGCTGTTTCACCTCCACGCAAGTGCTGCAGAACATGCTGCGAAGGTGTCATGGAAATAATCGAAGGTCGCTGGTTGTTGTGGACGTGGTGATTCATCGAGGAAGTGAAGGTCGCTCCTCCCTGAATCATCAAATTCAACAGGAGCGACACTCCAATCACAAATTTTGAGTTTCTAGTCATCATTGTCACAGTGGATGAGTTGTGGCGGATCCTCAAGCAGCAATCAAGAGAGTAATACGGTAGAGTAATGACGAGGTCTGGGATTTATTCGACCCTTCTGATCTCCCAGACAGGTTGTCTTTCCGCCTTTTTGAAATCAAAAGTTTGAAACTGCAATGAAGCGTGACCCAAATCTTTTTTATTCCCGGAATGAAAGATTTGGGACTGTTGATGTACCTACCATTATTGAAGTGTCTCGAGCACACACGGTGAGCGTGTGCAGGCCAGTGTTTCTTGTGGGGGACGTAGCTCCAGCACCCCCGATTGACTAGAAGTAGTACAGTCTAGGAGGTACCATAGTCACAATAGCACTGAGAGAGATATTCTTAGCTAAACGAAAACTAAGTTGATAGCATTTCATCCGTTTGGCACCCATTAGCTGTTATTTTGGTTTGTTTTTGCGGCAAGATAACTTGCGAACTTGCCAAAGATATCGTGAACATCGTTTTGTTGATGGAGACCTTAGGTTGTGCGGGCACGATATGATTGCGGAACTCTTTCCCCACATTCGTTCAGCGGATAGATTTCGAGAAAGGAATCAAAGTGACTCATGGCGCTCTTGAATTTCGCTGGATTTGATTTCATGCTCGCTTTGACGACATTCCAAGCACTGGCTGGGAACCCACAGGTCCGGATACAGGTCGGAAGAATGCTGCCCAAGATCCCTCCTTACAAATCAAAAGCGGCAAAGTCATCAGTGTCAAACGATCCGTAGGCTGTAACCAATTCTTCTCCGGCTGTGATATCTCTTAGTGCATAAACAAGCTCATTTGCTTTGAAGTCGACTTTGGTTCCCTTCAAGCCTCCAATGTTGTACTCTGCTCTATCGTCGTCTGTAAATTAAATAAAAAGAAAACAAGTCAGCTCTTGAGTTTCAATCCAAGTATGAACGATCGATTCGGAGACAAATGAAAGGGACTTACATGTATTAAAGAGGGACCCTTCATCAAGGTCGCAGCCAATGTAATGAACATCGCTAACAGCAGGGTAGCCAAACGTGAGTTTTTCAATTTTAATTCCAATCTTAGGGTCTTGCGCCGGTGGTACACAAAACTTACCTAATATCTTTTGCGGTATAACACCAAATGAGAAGATCACACACCATAAAATCAGGTAGTGCGCGCAAGAATTGTCTATATTGAATTCCCGTTTCGAAGGCTGCCGTATGCTCGGAAGTCCAGACGAGGGTACCCTTCGGAATGTCCTCCACCGAGAATACGCCTCGCCCCCTTCCTGGTGAATATCCAACGCGAAAGGGCACTTTCATCCCACTCCAGTAGGTTAGATTGACCGTAGCCTTCTTTGGACCCACGATTGCAATGTAGGCACTCCTCATGAGTACCCATTCCGTCTCGTTCAGGATTGCATTGTATCGATAGTCTGGGCATCCTCTAAGATCGGCAATGTCTCCAAGGAAACATTCCGCCTCGTCACAGCCAGATGCATTGGTTGGCACACCATTTTCAAAGCAAGAATTGTCGCAATACCATTCGTCACTTTCGCCATCCATCTGTTCTTCGAAAAGCTCTTCAAATTCTTCCTCTTCACCCTCGCCGTCGCCAGTATGCTCCCCCTCTTCAGTTTCTTCCCCTTCGTCCCCTTGGTCGTCACCCTCGTTTCCTTCTTTTTCTTTCTCCTCTTCCTGTTCCTTCAGCATTGCCTCTTTGATGTTGCCATCTTCATCAAACATCTCATAGGCATCCGCAACGCTGACTTGCAACGCACTAATTAGGGCATGCGAATATGCATCAATCTGCTTCCACTCCGCATCGGGTATTGACTGACGAGACTGGTTGATTTCTCCTGCTCGCACGCGAAGCTGCCGAGAGTATTCGTTCTCCATAATTTCCACATTCCACAATTCAAATGGTTTCTTGACCCATTGTATGGGCTCATCCTTGTTGGAAGGATCGTAAGCAAAGGACACACCAACGGGGAAGTTCCAAAAGTGAGGATGGTTTTGTACCTGACCATGGTTTCTCATTACACTTGTAACAGTATCCTTCTTGGATCCATCACATTCCGACAAACACGTCAGAGTCTGCCGTTGTAGTTGTTCTCCTTTGGCAATATCCTTCAATGCCACCACTTTTACAGAATAGTCCCCTTGAATTGTGTGATTCACATTATATTCAACGTGATGGTGCTGTATTTGATCGTACAAGGGCACAAGGAAACGTCGATCGATCTGATGTTGGATTGCAATATCAAACGCCTTGAGATGAGCCTTTTGTTCCTCACTATTTTCAATGGCGTCGACGTCGTGTGTTATAAGGCTGCCATCTTCTGCTATTTCTTGTTCTTCATCCATGTCTTGGTGCTGGTCGTCATCTTTATCATCAAGGTCGGGAGCCTTGCAGTTTTCTGTGTCGGGTACATCACAGCTGCTGTTGTCACTTTTTTTCAATGCGTCAAAGCAGTTGTCAAAGCCATCAATCCACGTCGTAATGTGTTTTCGTGGCAAGGTGATGCTGACCATATTGAGTAATCTGCGCCCGATATTGGACCAAAGTACGGGTATCATTTCTCGGTCCGACTGCGACGCTTGAAGGTAACCAATATAGGGGGCATATGTTGATGCTTCTCCGAGCTCAATCTCCTTCCACACGGCATGTAATAGCTGACACAACATATCATCGTCTTCTTCCGTTTCTGGAGCAACCATGACGGATGAGCTTGGAATTATCATTAATACTTCTGATTGTTTGATTGCCTTTTTTGCTAGAAAATTGCCGTCATGGTATTGGAGCTTTCGGTTCAGGAAGAAATTGCTGTCTTGTTTCAACCAATCGAAAACATCTTTTGCTGTGGATGATTCACCATATTTTCCGTCAACGAGTATTGTTATGCTAAGGAGAAAAAACACAAGAGTTCTGAAGAGATGGAGACCCCCTTGGCACGACATGCTTCACAGTAGATTGCTTCCTCCTTGCAGATTTTATTGTGGCGTGGCATTTTGTTGGAAGAGATCGCAGTTCTTATTCACAGGAGGTCGGAAGCAATGCGTTGGATCGGAGAGTGAATCCCAAGTGGTCGGATGAATCGACATGCACAATACCGCGCGAATGAATATTCCGAATGGAAGTAAATTTGAAATTCATCACCAACCCCATTACCGTATTATATTCACCTTCAAACGTGCCGCGACAACAAAAGCAAAAGACCCATGCACGTTTCCATCTACTCGTACTTTACCGGTACTGGTGTTAATACCATGCACCGGTGTAAAAGGAGGAATATTGTTCGTGCTCGATTCTTCACTAATCAAGAAAGACAAAAGGTTGCGAATATCAACAACCAATTGAGCCACCATCTGACCAAAACATCAAACGTTATTTCACATCGACAAGTTCAGTACTGTACCAGGTTTCGTATCGAACAGTATTCCCTACTCGTACTTCAAAAATAAAAACACTATAGATATAAAACATACAGTACATCATGGGTTGGTGGTCACTAGGTCCCGAAGACGAGGAGGTAATGGAGATGCCTCACTCGCTACCCGTTCGTCGAGTTCGTGGAGGTGCTGGACGAGTACCGAATCATCGAAGAGGCAACGATCATGTATCCCCAGGAAGAAAGACGGATCGCACTCGGTCACCAGCAAGTTCCAAACAAACAAAGAGAAACAAGAAAAAGAGACCTCGAGTGGTCGGAACTCCCAAGGAAGAAGAGTCTAATCTATTTGCGTCCATTGGACGAATGGTCAACAACACTGATCCTCATCGATTTGCCAGTGATCTTTCCACCCTTGGAACGGCCAAGTATCCAGGTCAGAATGGAATTCCCGTCGACGCCTTGATGATGAATAATAATTATGCCAACGAAGCCCAACGTCGGGCCAACGAAATGGCCAATGCCATGGCCTGGTTGACCAACCCCAACGCAACTGCAGCACAAGAAGAAGAAGAATCATCATCGTCATCGCAAGCTACTACCATTTCGGACTTGTTTCAAGATGATTCTTCTGAAAATATCACACCTTTTGCCTTGAAGTCGGAAGAAATGCCAGAGCTGATTGCTCTGTTAAAGCATGGACAAACTACTTGTTCTTACAACGACAACAACAACGAGATTGATCATATTACGAACAAGAAACCGGCAAAAGGACAACACAAGAACTTTGAGATAAAGGGTAAGGAGCTGACTGCTGAGAAACGAGCAAGGGATCTACAAAGATCGCTGGAGTGGTTACAACAGAATAACGCAAGATATGACGCCCATGAGCCACTCGAAGAATATGCCGAAGAACCATTCCAAACTGTGGATGCAGGATTCCGGCAATGGACGTCAAGGACAACCCCATCCCTGGGTTGGCAGCGATTGCATGATGATTCCAGAGGACAATCCAAGGAAGCAAAACAGATTGCCGAAAATTTGAAGCAATCTCTTGATTTGATCTTGAATGGTGATATCTTTGACAGCAATGGTTCATCATTGAAGAACGGCCCGGTCTTGAACCGATTGAAGGATCTCTTTGTGGAATGGACGTTTAGAGAGAACGATGGAAGTAAGGAACTGGAAGATGCCTTGAGCTGGTGCAAACTTCATACACAAAAGTATGACCCTTTCACTACTAGTAAAGAAGAGGATCGCAGGGTCGTCGAATCAAAGAAACTGCTTATCTTACTTGAATTCAAGGAAGACGACGCCTGGGATGAGCGCAAACAGGAAATGGAAGAAGCGCTCGCATTATGGGCCATTTATAAGGACAAATCCATGGAAGACATCGACGATCATACCATTGAGAAAATGAAAAAGATCAAAGATGTTTTGGTGCAAATCAAGCGACGTAGACTAACCATGAGTGATATGACATACATGGCACGAGAAATGAATGGGGTCCTAACCTTGTACCTTGCCAAAGGTTGCAAGATTCAAGATTTCTCCAAGAAAAATAAGTCTTACCTATCAATTTTCCAAAAGGCACAAGGTATCTTAAGTCTCTGGGGGAAAGGTTTGATCCATTGCCCGATCGACGGAAGGACATGGTGGAGCTGCTACTTGTCCTGGAAGATAACAAGTGCATCTCCGACATTCTGGATAAGTACAATGGCGAAGATGGGGCGAGATTCCAAAAGCTTCATGATTCAATTATGGATTGGAAGTCCAAGAAGGGATTCAACCCAAATTCGAATACAATTGCGATGAATATATCCGTAAAGAATGGCATCGAAGCTGTACTTGACTGGTTTGTGGCAACTGAAGAGAATTTTAGTGTGGCAACTTCGAACGAAGATGAAGTCTACATGGCTCAGATTGCCAAGAGTGCTTTGGATGCTTGGATGATTCCGAGCGAATCTAGCTTCCAAGATTCAAAGTTTGCAGTGAAGGAGATCAAAGGGGCGCTTGCACTCTACCAGAAGGCTTTCGAAGAGCCAGAGATGCTTCAAGAGCTGTCACGAGATATAATCAAGGAGGCTGGCATCAACAGTCAACAGGTGAATCCAACTGACATGAGCTGGAAACGCAAGGAGGCTGGCCATAACTTCAACGAAAGCTCGGAGCCTATTGGTGTTAAAATTCAGGATTTAAAGTTTGATGGTGTCGTTCCATTGGTCCCCTTAGAGGAGGAAAAATTGGTCCAAGAGATGTCGAGCGCATTAGATTGGCTTCGTCACAACGATGCTGCACTTGATGTTGACGATGTTATGTCTGCAGCTTTCTGCGTTGCAACATCCAAGAAAATTGATGGTATCGTGCCAAGGACAGGAGATGTTCTTGCTCCCACAACTAGAGTGGATAATGCCCTTGATTGGTTGCGTTCGAAGACCATTGTTGACAACGAAAATGTATCCAGCTCCAAGAAAATCGATGGTGTACTTGCAATAAGTGCTTCATCTAATGCCGCAAATGAGCCTGGCTTTGTAGGTGCCTTGGAATGGCTTCGCGAGAGGCAGAGATACAATGCCGCGTCCCATGTGAAAGGTGGGTATTGTAGCTCTGACAACAATGCTAAGCTTATCGCAGTCTCTGTGATCCCAAAAACCGAGGATGAGAGAAAAGCAGAGCAGATGGAAAGTGCATTAGATTGGCTTCGCTGCAATGGCCCTCCCGGGGATATATCCGTTGACAGCGTATGTCACACTCTCAACAATGGATTTGCTTCAGCCAGTACTGAACTCGGTATCAATCGGCCTGGTGGTAGTTTATCAGCACCTCAACGCGAATTGCACTGGCTGCGACCTCAAACTGCTACGATCATCGAAACGTCTACTACTGTTTCAAAAGGAGCTAGATGCACAGCTGGTCAACCTTTATTAGTCGATGACAAGCGTGTAAGTGAGACGACGAATTTCCCTCATTGGTTTCGCCGCAACGAAGATAGTGTTCATTCCAGTGACAGATCAAATGGGGAATCGGAACTGGGCACCACTGAGGCATCGGGGCCTGTCGCTCATGTCTCGAACGAAGAGCATTCGATTGAGATTTTTGGCACTGGGCAATCATGGATGAGAATCGCTTCTCACAATGATTGCGACGGTGATGATGACGATCTAGCTGGCATTTTTGCAGCTTTTGATGAAAAGTCGCGAATGAAAGCGCTCGATAACGAGACACTTCCTACTTCAATACAGCTCAACCGGCCAGATAGTCCCACGGATGTAAGAGACGACGCGCTGGCGTTCAATACACCATTTGATGTTAATGTCATTCCAAGGGACGACACACCACCCGGAGTTGAGAGTAATGACGCGGGCTGGTCAGTGCACATAACCAGATTGTTTTATGAAGTCCCTGATGAAAGAGTGTCATGTGGAAATTTTGGCATGTTGAAGGCAATTCCATTCTCCCGAGAACGAAGCCAAGATTTCGATAACCATGATCTCGATTGGATTCGACATCCCGCAATTGAGGTTCAGTTGGATGACGAGATGCTGTGTTACTGCAAATCGAGAGATGTTCGGTCGATTCCATGTGATGGCCCACACAAGAGAGAAATTATGATGCCCAACATAGACTGGAATCGCCATGGTAAGCTATTGAATCCCATCCCTGGGGAAGAACACTTTGATGATAGACCACAAGATGTTCGTTCAGTTCCTTGCTCTGGTACGCTATATGAAGCAGGCTTCCCAGACTTGAGCTGGCGGAGGAATCCAGCCTGGAAGATCAACAAAACAGAGGATAAGGGGAATATTAATCTCTTTGACCACCCAGGTAATCTGAGATCAATCCCACGAAGTGAGAAGTCAAACGAAGAGATGTACCCATCTATTGGCTGGGATAGAGTTGGCCACATGAAACAAGAGATGAGAATGCATGAAGGTAGTATATTTGACCATCTTATTGACTTGCGATCTATTCCTCGAGATGGGAGCCCCAGTGCGGAAGACTTCCAAACGATAACATGGGAACGACATGGTGCAAGACGTCAAGAACTGGAAGAAGAAGACGCTGCTTTTTATAGACCTGGTGATGTAATATCTATTCCTCGAGATGGGAATCCCTGTGCGGATGATTTCCCGACGATGACATGGGGTCGAAATGGTTCAAGACGACAAGAAGACACTATCTTAGATGGTCCTTGTCACCTAAGATCTATTCCCCGGGACTGCAGACATAAAGAGTCATTCGATTTAGAGTTTACATGGGAGCGCCAAACTTCTGTTGAGTGCATTGCTGGAATGGATCACGGAAATGCATTTGATCAACCTAGAAACTTGAGGTCGATCCCACGTGATGGTCATCCACATGAGGTACCTGACATCAAAGGAGAACGCCATTTCGGAAATATGTCTTCAACTCAGTACAATAAGATGGGACTTGAATTGGATTGGTCTGGCGGCCGACCAAATCGTCTTCTCACAGTTGAGCCAAAACGGGAAAACGATGATGCTACGTATGACTGGATGATTACAAGCCCGAAGGGTAAAGACGCAAACTACGATTGGTCAGGTGCTCGGCCCTACGAAAGACCGGAGACAAGTTTGGTTTCGCTTTCTGCACCGTCCATCGATGTAGCAAGCTCTGGAGTCAACAACTGGCTTCCTGATGATCTATCAGAATACACCCAACTAGGTGAAGACAAGCCAAGGCCTATCACAGGCGTTCCGTGTGCAGCATGGACAATGTTAGCTCTTGGTGCTGCGGCTGGTGGTGCAATGACCAGTGGAACTGCCCCACAAGGTGCCGCGGTTTCAAGTCAATTTGCACATAACAACAGCGTTGGTTCTACCACCGACAGACTCTACCCTAATCCAGGAGATCTGCCCAACTGTTCGAATGATGCTAACTGTCAGATCATCATGGATAGTCTTTCACCTGTTCTTCCTCCCGATGTTTTGGGGTTGTTTGACTTCCCTGGAACATGTCAAACAAAGGCTCGTGATTGGTTGCGCACAGGCAAGGACATTCTCGAGCTCAAGGCAGAGCGAATCCGCCAACGATACGCCATGAGTGCCTTCTTCTGTGAGATGGACGGTGGAGACTGGATTACGGGGGATTCTTGGCTATCTGATCTTCACGAGTGCGATTGGTACAACAAGGTCGGACTTGATCCTTGCAATAGACGCGAACAAATGGAGATGCTCCGTGTGACTGATAATGGTTTGGCTGGTACTTTGCCAGTCGAGTTGTTCATTCTTTCCAACCTCTACGAATTCACTCTCGCAAATAACTTGATGTCTGGTACATTGCCACAACTATTTGACAAGTTCAAGCAGCTTGATACTCTTGTGATTCCATTCAACCAATTTAAGGGATCCTTCCCACACCAAATCTGGGAATACCCCGATATGGTATACCTTGATGTTGCCTACAATGGTTTCACTGGTTCAATCCCCACTGATATTGATAGCAGGATGCCCAACTTGCAAGTGGTATTCTTGGAGAATAACAATTTGTCGGGACCTATTCCTGAGAACTTGGGTAACCTCAAGCAGTTGCACAGATTGCATCTTGACGATAACAAGTTCAGCGGGAAGATTCCTCGCACTCTTGGATCGCCACCTCGCATCAGCGAACTTCTCCTTCACGATAACCTTCTCACTGGAGAGGTACCAAAGGAACTTGGTGATCTGAACCGATTACAATTGTTGACTCTTCACTACAACTCGTTTGATGAGCAATCCATTGACGAGCATATCTGCGACTTGATGTACAACAAACAGCTCGAGTTGGTCACAGTGGACAAGGCAACCATTAACTGCAGTTGCTGTACATTGGGAGAAGAGTCGTTTGTATAGTGGGGTGATAGTGTGGGATTACTTTAACGTAGATATATCATTTCGTCTGTCCTGGGCTACCGGTACCTTCTAAATCAAGTACTCGCCATATCGATTTAGGGCCAGATGATTCATCCATCTCTCATGGGAGCGCACTGCATTGGGCTCCCATAGCCTCTTCTCCTGCGCAAGCTCTTCCTGGTGTTATCGGAAATTACTACAGCACGCAACACCGCATCTCTAAAGCTCATAATCCCTTCAATTTGCTAGAAACGGAATAAAATTGGTTGCAATGTCCCAAGAATGACGATTGGAGAATTCCAATAAAGTTCCCAGGTTCTCTGGACTGAAGTTGTATTCGGTGATGCCCCAAATGTGTTCGATGAACTGATGTGTTTTCAACCTCGAGATCAAGACAGCTCATTCCAAGTGCTCGCTGCGGTCCACAAAATCAGTACAACGCCAGAAACCAACAACAATTTGCCTCTCGTGTCCAGTCTCATGACAAAGTCGACACCATTCGTGGATAAATGGTGCTGGCGTGCAAACATCAACGGTGGCAAGACAAGTGCCAAAAAGGTTTGCGACACACCGCCCACCAATCCACTGAGAAGTCCAAAGGCAGGAACAAAAATGCTGGCCATTGCCGCACATATGCCCAACAAGGCACACGTGGCGATGTGTACCGACCACGGCACTGAAAGTCTAGCAGAAGTCTTGGAAGCTAGAGCCTTGGGTGATTCCATGATGGTGGGTGATTCCATGATGGTGGAGAGACTTTGCTCGACAATCACAATACTCGGACGCATGACCACTGGGTAGGTTAACAATAGGTCAATGCACAACAAGAGTTTGACGGCGGAAACAAATATGGATCCTTGCACATTGAGCAGGACAATTTGTTGCGTTTCATTTCCAAATAATAGGTATCCAATGACTCCAAAGATGCCGCTCACGACTCCACATGCTCCAAAGGTCTTTTGGGCGACTGATTGAAAACGTTCTGGATGAGCCATGGAGGATTCAATGGGCAAGGATAAGAAATGAATAAGGAAGAGATATCCAATGGCGCCAATGGCAAGTGGCATAGTGTTGATGGATCCAACAGCAATGCAATCTTTTCCAAAGTTTCCCGATTGGTAGAGAAGACCATAAACTAGTACGACTATCATGCCCAGTATCACGCTAATGTCGCCCAAGCAGGACGCAAAAGCAAAAGCCTTCATGTTTCGTACGGACGATAGTGCCACCGCGACTGGCAAAATCAAAACAATCAGATTTCCCTGCGATAGACCACCGTCTTTTTCGTCACCCAAAAAGAGAGACTGTAGATTGGCAGCAATGAATAGGAGGTATGAACCACAAACTCCCATGGACGCTGAAATACTGGCTGCATACGTCAATCTAGCTCCTGATTTGCCAAAGATAGATCGGGCAACGTCCACATAGGATTGAGCGTGCGGAGATGATGTCATGGGGGCTGATTTCTTGGGACTGCCTTCCAATGAAAGTCCACTTGTACTTGTACTTGCACTTGTACTTGTACTTGCACTTGTACTTGCAATGGAAGAGTATCGTACTGACGTCATATGGGAGCACCGGACCAAAAGATCCAGTGAACTGACGGAAAAGAGCATCAAGACAAACATAAAAGTCGGTCCTGCAATGAATCCCATTTTCGAAAATGCCCAAGGAAGGGCAAAACTGCCAGCTCCCATGATGGCCTTGGCAATGGAAGCGGCAGCCTCGAGTTCGGAGATACCCGACTTTTCTTGTTCATTTTCACTGTCATCGTTGCACTGATTACGATTGTCTCTACTGGAATCCACATTTTGCTGAAACATGGTTCCTTGAAAGTTCAGTTGCTGGTTTGTGGAGGATGCGGAACGGCGTTCGTGGAGGACCATTCCAAAACCATTTCGGAAGTCTGGCGCATCATTGCGTATGGTGATTTTCCAATAATGTTCGTCACGCAAAATCTTCAATCGATCAAAGCACGTGTGCCTAATTTTGACTCAAAGAAGTCGATGAAAACGCAGACACTAAGGTCATCTTTTTCTCGACGAAAGCAAAAGAGACCAAACCAAAGACCATCATAACGACGAACGATCAAATCAACATTATTGAAAACGAAGACAATACAAGGCAAAGAATTTACTGTAGATAAACAAGAGAGAAGGAGTTGTAAGCATGTCGGAGAATGATTTAGCGGGGTTGGACTCAGGAGTGCAACAACCTCTGATTGACAGTGGATCCAATGGCACGAAACCTTCTTCACCCATGGACAAGGACCCAGCAGCAAAGTTTCGGTTCCTGATATCTATTGTAGGAATCCTCTTTCTCGCTTGCTGTATGTACTTTTGGAATGAACACATGGCGCAGAGTTTCGATGTTCAATCTATGCAGACTAAATCAGGGCAAGCCACAAAGAAGTACCCAGCCGTCGTCACAAGTGCTCCAATTCAGAGTCCACCTGTAGAAGCTCCATCTCCAAAGGAAGCTACAGAGCCAGACATCCCTTCCGAAAGCCCACCCATTGCAGCGCCAGTCGAATCCGTCAAGGAGACTCAACCCCCTGCACTAGAAACAGAGGCACCAAACGATACTATTGACAAAGCGACCGACGCCCCAGCACTAGAAACAGAGGCACCAAACAACACTACTGATAAAGCGAGCGAGGCCCCAGCACTAGAAACAGAGGCACTAAACAACACTATTGATAAAGCGACCGAGGCCCCAGCCGAGGCGTCTCCTGCAACAGAGACCGATTCCCTAGCTGAGGAGTCTTCTGCAACAAAATCCACACCCATAGAAAGTGATGGAACTTGTGATGCCCTGTGCGACAAAAGAGAAGAAGCACGAATTTCCAAGTTTGGCGGAGACCTTTTGAATGTCACAGACGTAGTGAGAATGGCCAAACAAGCAAAGGACGAAGCCATTGCCAATATCCGAGAATTGTATGGCACCTATTTTGACGACATATTTGTGAAAAGTGCGAGCGAGGCTCCGAGAGAAAGGTATATTGGGTTAAAGCCAATCGACAAAGAAAAGTCCCCCTATCGACTGAGACGAAAGCTGAAACTCAAGGTGTTGCGTGCGATGGAAGAGGTCCGTGAGACAGAGAGCAATGTTCTAGGTTGCGATTGTGTGCAAAGACAGGGCAAGGCGACCGGTTCACCTGATGAGAGTGTTGAGTCCATCCCAGACTTTTACGGACAGTACGTCTTTGCCAATGGTGGCCATTCACAGGCTGCTGCACATGGCAATCCATATAGCGAGAGTTACACAGCGGTACTTACCGAAGATCTAAAGCCAGTATGGAAGGCCATGGGTATCGATTTCGTTGGTCGGAATTATGCAGTGGGAGGTATGCCGTAAGTTTCATGCTGTTCTTGCTGACCTTTCCGTGGCAGCAACTCTCTAGTTCGATGATGGTGGAAGTCCACTTGATCTAAATTTTGCCTACTCGATGTCGTAACAGAGCTACGCCAATTATGTCAACATGTTCAAAGGAAATTTTCGGCGTAAGTGTGATTATATTTTCACTGTCGATACTTTATCCAATCATTCTCATCTTCTTTGCAGACGGACATTGACTTTCTCGTTTGGAACTACGGCATGACGGACAAGAATAGGGAAAGTACGATGTACTACTTGTATCGCGCTGCCGTCAACCCTGGTCGTCCCGCGTTTTTGATAATTGATCCCATGCACCACGATAGCAATGCAGCCGGCCTCGTAACACAAGGCTCGCTTTCTATACACTCATCAAAGGTGGAGACAAAAAACGTGCCAGACAGCTCGCCCGATGGAATCCCGCTCTCGCAAAAGGAAATGGACGCAATGCCACCTCTTTTGCAATATCTAAAAGTCAACAAAGCGCTTGAAGGATCCAATAAATGGAGCTGTACCAAGGCCATGAAAGATGCAGGGTCTGATTGCAAATGTTGGGACCTTGGTGGCCGAACTGGTTGGCACGCGGGATAGTAAGTCGCTGTCTCACCGTGTGCCTAATATACTACCCAATGTGTTTCCTTTCATCATTCTCAAGGTTCTTTCATTTGAAATTTGCAGTAAACTCCATGCCCTGCAAGGACGGCAAATATCACTTCCTTTCATGAATATGCTGGATGATGCGTTGGAAGAAATCATTCAGTCTCCAAAGGATGCTGCTACTTTACTTTCAGAAATCGAAGAGGAAGAAAATGCGGAGTTTGAAAACTTCATTTCCTTACCGGTAATTGGCAAGGACGGGGGTAAGGGTTCGTATGACATGTTTTCAGAGTCGCTAGGTCTAGATCTTTTAGAAACCTGGTTCAAAGGGCCTAGCATATGTCGGACAGCGCAGCTACCAGCCGAGTCCCGATTTCTTGGCATTACCACAAACACCAACAAAACTGGTTCAGTTGCTAGATGTGGCGAAGAAACCTACGATACCGGAATTATGATTGACAGAAACCAATATCCGGACACTGGATACACTTATCCCGAAGGTATTGAGCCAGTTCCTGGAGAGTTCAGTATCATTGGATGGTCGGCAGGCAGGTATTGTGCGGATGAAGAAGATTGCCCAGAGATTGTCCAACCCGACTATCCAGATTGGTTTTGGGGTGTTTGGAAGGACGGGAAAACTTCAACGACATTTCCCAACGAGAAAGAAAAAGAGTATTATGGATATGATGCTGACAAATTCAAAGGTATTATTGGGCTCATCCCAACTCTGTTCCCTGAAATTTATCAAAAGAACACGCCATACATCGACTTCAAAATGAAAGATTTTCGAGATCATGTAAAGATGAAAGTCAATGGGAAGTCTGTCGCCAAATATCGGCCATTGTTAAAGATGGTAATACTCGAAGATGAAAATGGTTCTGTACAATGGCCACCAAATGAAAATGGCCAATACATTCTTGAATTTGAGGCTTTTGGTGTGATGGAAATAGATAATCGAACATCAGCGGAACACCGCTTGAGACTTAGTGGATTCGTCCTTTACTAGAGGGTTGCGGTCGGAACATTATCGGCAAGTCGGAATTGTATCCGGCTAAGAACATCGAGCCAGTTGAAACGCATCAATAGTTACGAGAATAACCTTGGTTTATAGAACCTTAAAATATAACTCCGCTAATAACTACACTACCTTGCAACGAAACACTTCTCGATACCTTGATGAGCATGTAGAATCCAGTGCTTCTCGAGTGGTAACAGTATGCATATTGCTTTTGACATTTGTAGTTGGCATCAAATAGGATTGCTCCAATATTTTATGATGTACGACGCCTTTTCGCATTTGGAGCGGGATCGTCATTGTCAATAGAACATCGTTTCTTTTGTATTCCAAAAATGCCCCACAAGTTCCAAATACTGCCACTATATTGAGGCTCCTTCTTATTAGAAGCGTCGTCTTTGACTGTTTCAATGACCTCACCACCTCGGAATGTAGCTGAGAGTGCATTCTCAATAATCATTCCATGCTTCAAAAGAAGTTCCTTATCTTCGCAATTCGGAATTTTTGCGCCCGCCAGGAAAGATGTATCATCAATCCAAATAATTTCATAGTTCACCCGAACACCATCAGAATCGTTGAGCCCCGTCAAACATCTCATAATATCTCGAGTCGTGACGGACGAATCAATGCCTGCCACACGATACGTGGATTCCCGAGACATGCCATTTACCATTGGATCCGATCCAGGAGACTCTAGATCAATGGTGTATGGCGATAAGTGAAAGTGTATCTTATTGCGGCCATACATGTTCGCAAATGCTTCATCATTGGGATCGCAATTCCAGAGTTTGAATTGGGACCGACATGATTGAACTGGTGGGAACTGCAGAAAATCATGAATGGTGTATGAGAGTCCACAAAAAGCAGCACCCGTCATGTAGGCGTCCCAGCCAGCATCGTGCGCCTGTTGTTGCTCGTCATCGTCGCCACCGTTCTGGAAGGTTCGATTCCATTGTGGATGGCTACTCAATGTTTGCTCGTAGACAGCCGACAAGTGAGTTGGTGTGCGACTGTTTTCTCGGGACCCGTGTTCGGTTGCCATGCATTTGGTATCATAGATAACTGGGAAATAGGAATGAATCAGCTGTTTGCAATCGTGCCACGATTCGGGCAGGTTTGCATTGTGAAAGTGGGTCAGCAAAAAGAGTAGATCTTGTAGACCATTATGTACCACCAAAGGAACTTTGCGCGCGGTTCCTTCCGCTGGATCTTCTGGCTTGAATGTTGTCAAAGCTTCGTCGACAGAGGATGCAAGAATCATGTGTTCCGCCTGTGACGAAGTACTGGATCCATTGCACGCTTTGGTAAGCGCCAAAAAGACTCGATAGACCCCCAACTTCTCCTGCAGAATATTTTCCCATCCTTCTCGTTGTAGTCGAGCCTTGCGACGCGTTCGTTCCTCCGCATTCAACCGCAAGACTCGAATTTGTGAGTTTTGGGTTTCCAAAACCAGGTTGGGATACTCCGCTTCAATCGATTCGTACAGAGCTCGACGCAGGAATGAATTGCATGGAGGCAGGAGCATAGACATTCCTTCAGGTGGTGCATTCTCTGCCTCGTCATGATTCTGAATAGCTGCATCCAACCATTCTCGAAGAGCAGCCATACTGCGGGCATGAAGGTTTCGATCTTCTGGGTGCACCAACTTGACCTTGGAACGACCTCTGGATGGAGTTTTCTTTTCCCCGGAATCATCTTCGGTTTGCTTTTCGTAATACTTGTCCATTAACCCTTCGGCATCTTGTTTGGTTATGTAAGGTATTCCAGACTTTACCATGTGATCAAAGCTCATATTGTTTTGCGCCAAAAACTGGATACTGGAAGGATTGAAAGTGACTTCGCGAGCCATGCGATTGTCAGCTGGTGGGAATAAGGTGAACTTGTACCGTCGCTACGTATAAAAAGGTTGGGGTGGGTTGAGAGGATGTCTTCGGCACACTACAGCGTACAGGCCGCCAGAGGAAGACGCACCACATGAAAACTCATTCGCTCTCCTCCATCAGGTGTCTCTGTGATCCCGGCTTCTTCAAAGAGGCAAAGTCCCAATTGAATAATGGAATATCGTTCAGAAACCTTTTTGAGAGTGGAATATCGATCGGCGGGAGTGTCTGCCTTGGAAGGTCTCGGGGTTCCCGGTAGGCTAATTCCAGTCATTTCTTCGTCCACAGCAATCCAAGCGGCGTTGGAGATTCGTTGAATCAAATCGTTGCTCTGATCGACAAAGTTTTCTTTGGTGACATCCGAAATCGATGATACTACGGGGTCATTATCCGCCGCATCATTTGCGTTCGCGATGGCTTCTTCTTCCATGGTTGATCCAGCTACAGTATCCCTTCCGCAGATGATGTCAAGGATTTCTTTGATGGAGACGAAGCGTTGGTAAGATTCTTCAAAAAGTTACAGCGTTTTGATTGGTTCTGAAAATTTCAGCACGTGCCTGTGCGTTAAGTTGGTCGTCTAAGTCAATTCGAACCTTCCGACTAGGATCGGATGGGATGCAAACGAACTCTTGACAACCAACGAAAATCTCACTCAACATAGAGACATCATTATCAGACTGCAGGCACATTTTACACCAGGCAGGTCTCCATCCAGATCGAAGAGCAACCATACACGGAATCTGAAGGTTTTACTGTTTGAGGTTTTAGTTCCGATAATCAAGAAAGAAATTGAAACGAACGAGTAATCAGGTTAATAATGGACGAAAGCAAAAAACGAAAAGATCCTGGGTTTCCCATGCCTCCTTCCTCGAGGACTGGCGACAACCAACAAACCAAAGACTTGATGAGTCGTTTGCAGGCTTTCTTGCCAGAAATGAAGGCTGCTAATCAAGGTGGGTGAGACAGTAGATATACAGATGGGGAAATGAGACGGATCACACATGAGACGACATGTGAAGTGATGTGGGGAAACGATTTGACGATTGAGTACGATTTCGGAACGGAAAAATATTTACGATACGATTGTTCTTTCTTGCATTCTCTTTTTCCTCAAACTATTTTGTCTTTTAAACTTGAATTCTGCAGCACTTTCTTCTGAACCGGTTGGTCTCGTCGACGTTGAACTGAAAAAGGGAAATAGCGACGATGACGACGACTCGGATTCTGACGACGATGATTCTAGCAATGCCAGTGGTGACCAGATAAAGCAACTTGATCGAAAGAACCCGTTGATATCAGAGTCAAAGGGCGAGGGTGAAAATGACGACGAGGGAGGAACAGTGTCAGCACCAATGATTCAAATTCAATTCGCTCTGACGGATCCCAATAATCCATTGGTGGATCTCTTTGCAAATGACGATGAGAAGAACGGAGAAGAAAGTGAGAATTGTAGGGATGATGAAGATGATCAACAAGAGGGCCCATCCAAAACGCGAGCGGTGAGGAGCATGCTCAAAAGCACCTCGTCAACGAAAAAAGAAGAACCTCCCAAGATTAGACTACTTCGCAGCGACAACCCGACTCCCAAAAAGTCACTTATTACGGAACTTTCCTAGAGATGATGCTATTTCAGAAATAAGCCGAGCGAAAATCAATAGTTTGGTGGTATGTAGAGGCAATGTATTATCTATGGTCGCTAACTAGCATTGGTTTGAAGCTCAAAGCTCTATTTATGTTTTGGGCTCCACATCATGAATGTATTGGTTGCGGTGCTGGTTTGGAACTAAAGTCACCTACGTAGCGAAATTGCGTTAGAATTCCCGACACTTGAAAGATTCCCCACAATCCGTTCGACTTGTTGGAGATATCTTTCTTGACTGTCACTGTTCCTTCATTGAGCGAGATTGAATTGTCGTTTGGGTCTCGATCAATACGACATTGTAGATAACACCGTTCGACTCGTTCCGCCATGAGGGGATCAGTTTTGGGAAATTGAACGTCCATGGAAAAGAGCAGATATTTCTGCTTATCCTCTTGCGAGTAGTCTTCGTCCCATCCCCACACTTTACCAATTCTCAATTGATTTTCCTCGTTGGATACCACTTCGGAATATCCATCAGCGGTCAATCGAACGGTAATTTTGCCCGAATAATTGGGAAGGATCAAATCTTCGGCGTCTTCGTCCTTTGGTTGACTAGAGAAGCGGTAGGAAAAGGTCCATATGGATTCTTCTAACTTGGTCGGTCTAGTGACTTTGGTATAGTTCGCGGCAGCGGCATTTCTCGTAGCTTTTGGGTTTTCTCGTAGCTTTTGTTCCAATTGTTGCGCTTCGTTTCGTAGTTTTTTTGCCTTTTCTAATAGATCGGTGGAGGGAGACACATCATCTTTCTTTGGTTCGGTACTGCGCAAACATGAAACTGGTGATCTTTGTTGCAGCTGGTTCTTGTGGTGATGCTTGCCATGAGAAGAAAGGAACGCTTCGACGGCCGAGTTGGAAGCTGCGCTAATGTACAGGACAAAAAAAGTGAAGTGTAACTGTATCGATCTCATAGTTGTGATGGGCACACTCCAGGGAGATGGTCGTTGTGATCACTTGCTTGGTAAAAGGAAAGTTCAAAGAAAAGTGAGTTACGTCACCCTTAATCGGATAAGTCACACCGCGTGTAAAGTCGAACGAATCAATCAGCTATCTTTCATGGATCTTTTTCACACACCTACAGAACTGTCAATCAGCATGCGTTCAATCCTTGGTGATGCTGACATCGTTCGTTCCCTCGTCATGTTACTGTCACTACGTCAACACTTGTTAAATGGTGGAAAGTCGTATGGCCCAGTCTGCATGTCGAATTCTCCTATCGTTATGGAGATACTGGCAAATTCGGGATACAATCATATGATAATCGATCACGAACATGCTCCCACCGACATTGCCAGCGGTCAAACTTTATTGCAAGCCATTGATGTTGTACGATCCACAACTTCGAATTCAATTTTTCCAATCGTCCGGGTTCCTGATCACAGTCTAAGCTATTTGAAAAAGGTACTCGATTCAATGCGATTACCGGGGGGAGTCCTTGTTCCGATGATTGAGGACAAGGAAACTGCCGAAGTCGTGGCAGCAGCCACCAAGTATCCTCGCCAAGTAAATTCCGACTCATCTGTAGATGGGATTCGTGGCTGTGCAATTCCCTTTGTTCGGGCAAGTGGCTATGGTACCAATCCAAACTACATGAAAGAGAGTGATCGTGATCTATTGGTAATGGTTCAAGTTGAAACCAGCAAAGGGGTAGAGGCAATACCCGAAATCAGTTCAGTTCCTGGTATTGATGGCATCTTCATTGGTCCTTTTGACCTTTCTTGTAGCATTGGCAAAACTGGCCAGTTTGACGATCCCGAGGTCAAAGATTTGATCCACAGAGCCGAACGAATGGTTGTAGAATCAGACTGTTTTCTAGCTGGGTTCCGCTCTGGGGGGAGAGATCTGCGTGAAATGTACGAAAAGGATGGTTATAGTTTAGTCTGTGGATCTATCGATCTGGGATTGTTGAAAACCGCCGCATTGGAGGATGCTCGGGTTGCCAATGATATTTTACATGGGGACAAAAAGCAAAAGTAGTGAATTTCTTTGTGACCAACAGTGGGTCACATTGGTCTTTGCTGTTGGTTTTGATGTTGCTATATTGTATTCTATTGTATCATTGACCGAGCATTGGCCCCGCCAACTTCTTGCCCACTTCGTAGGCTCCGAAAAATACAAAGCCACCAATTGAAATCCACATGACTCTCGGTTGGATCCCACTGCTAAAGGCCATGGGTCCTTCTTGGTTCAGTGTTCGACGGATTACGTCAATCGCGTTTAAATATTGCTTGCCATCTCTGTCGGCTCCCAACATGAGTCTCGTCTTGACGACGTCCAAAGGAGTGGTCACTCCGGCGGCAAATCCTCCTGTTACAGATCCGCACATGGCCGCTTGGATTGGGTTGACTGGGGATCCTTTCTTTTCACTCCACCACGATTTGGCTTTTTCGTACAGTGGAAATTGAATCATGGCAAAGGGGATCTCTCTCATTAATGTGATACCATAACCTCGATATAGCCCCCCAGTGACGGATGAGAGGACAGATCCGTGCGTTTCATTCAATACCAGCGAGAAGGTTTTTCCCAATGATGCCTGGGCATCGGTCTGCATTTTAGCTTTGATTACTTCCGTGGGAACTCGAACCAGACAGGCCATCGCCTCCCCCATTGAGGCAGCGATCATGTGGGAGATGGCGGGTTGGTCTTCCATTCCGACTGATTTTTGCCATTTCAGTACCATTGGTTTGGCGGTCTAACATAGCACAATATCGAGACCAGTCAGTGACTAGTGTCGTCAATTAAATAGAAAATCGCTCGATCTACTCACCTCGTAGGTACTAAAGAACAATGCGGCACCGGGTGCTGATCCTGCTGCAGCAGCACCAATTCCATTGTAAATTCCAGAGAAACCTCCAGCTTTCATGAACCCTTGAGGTGACTGCATCCTAGTCTTCAGCGTATCAATTCTAATGATTTCAATTTTCGAATGAGAGAAGGAAAAGTGTTTTGTTAGCTTGCGATTCCATGTTGGATGATTGGATACACCGTTGAACGAATGGGTGGGACTGGGTTGGCGATGGGCAGCTCGTCACATATGGCTTACGGAAAGAGGGCAACATCGACACTTGTCCCTGCAAAGCCTCCTGCTACTAGTGCAGTGAGGAATGGGGTACTCTCTTCACTGCTATCAGACATTGTGTGGAAGGAACAGATAGGAATGAGTTGGAATGCAAAATTGAAAATGAACCGATGTGCGATGGAGGGAATGTTTGAATATTTTGACGGACAGGCGGGCAGGCAGATATGGATATCGTCTGTCCGCCTATCAACACTGACAGTCACATCACATCACATGATCACACATGACAAACATCAACATCAGAGAAAACCGATAGAATATGTACTTGTGGTCCTTGAAATTGGGCATACTTCAACTGATAATAATTGCTGTATCATCATGGGTTCCGTCAACAACGCTACCCAAAAGGATAGCTGGGAAGCTTCTCGCGACAAATCCAATCGTTTCGACGGAGCCAACCTCATCCACAACCCTTGGAAATCTTCGACCAATACTGCTTCCGGGAGAGAGCCAACTTGGAACCATGGGAGTCCCTACGTTTGCTTCTGAAGGATGTCCTACGGTCGTCGATCCTGTCGATTCGACCAAATCTAGAGGTCTGGAAGGAGTATTGAACCAGGGGCCTGCATTGATGGTCGATAATGTCTTATCCTCCAAGGCATGTGAACAAATGATTCGTGACTGCAATCAAATAGGTTTTGGAAACTATAATAGTGGAAAGAACAATCACGGGGCTCTACAGATTCTAGTGTCGAAAGAGATGAGTGACCAAGTCGCGCAACGTTTGAGCCAACATGTCAACATTCCGCAAGTAGAGGCGCTCCGAGACGAAATGAAGCTAGCAACTAGTGCTAAGCCACAAGTCCAAGAGGATGTTCGACTTGTCTTTGCAGGATTGAATCGACGGTGGAGGGTATATCGCTACGATTCCAATGGACACGAAACCTTTGCCCCGCACATTGATGCTGGCTTCCCACCGTCGGGAATTTCTCAGGATGGCAGCACTCTAGTGTGGGACGACTCGGACCAAGAAGGAGACGAGATTGTATCTAGGTTGACAGTCTTGATGTATCTTAATGACGATTTTGTGGGTGGAGAAACCAATTTCTTTGGACCCCATGCCCAGTATGGTGACGAATTGAACAAGATTGCATCTGTACGTCCCTTGACTGGGTCTTGTCTTCTCTTTCCTCAAGGTGTGGGCGAAGAAGCCGTCGAATACGCTCGGGAAAACTGGCCCTTGCATGAGGGGTCTCCAGTGCGCTCGGGTCGACCGAAGTATGTGATTCGATCCGATGTTATGTTTGTCACCCAAAAAGAACCATTGCTATTGGACGACAAACTCTTTCGAGATGACTACGACGTGCGCCAAGCGTTTTTGCCAACTTCACCCGGCCTCCATCCGAACTTACTCGGCCATACTGCTTCACTTTACAATCCACATATGGGGGTTGAGAATTTAGGTCCTTTGTTGTACTCATTCCTTCGATTTACCAAGAAACGTAGAATTGTCGAGATCGGAGCGGGATACACTTCCTTGTGGATTCTCCAAGCAATAAAGGAAAATGATGATGAACTCCGTCGCATCAAAGCGTTGGAGGACGAAGGAAGATGCCGTCTACTAGACTATCCTTGGACTGTCCCATCAGCGATCCAAAACTTGGAGAACGAATCTCCTTTGCTCTTATGCATTGACAACTGTGAACATCAAAAGGAAACTGCTACGGGTGCGAGTGCAGTCGCAAATGCGCTGGGTTTGGACCCATACTTTGAGTTTATGAAGGGAGACGCCTTTGATCTGGAATTGGAATCGAACTCGGTCGATGTTCTTTGGTGCGATTTCGGAGTGGGTTCAAGAATGAGTGAATTTGCAACCTCTGCATGGAAAAGTATTCGTCCAGGGGGATTTTTTCTCTGCCACTCAACGCTCACAAATGAGAATACAAGACAATGGTTGGAAGCAATACGAGCTCGGAGTAGTCAAGAAGTTACAGGAATACCTCCAGAGGAGTACATTGAACTATCACTACTGGAGCCCCACAAGAGCTTTCAGAACAGTATCTCCATCATCCAGAAACGCCAATCCTCTGACGGACAACGATATGAGGAACCAATCTACTCGACATTTGCATAAATATGTGTCCACCAAAAGAGTGACTCTTTGGTGATGGGATCTAGATGAATCTTTGGGTCGCTGCTACGCAATATCACGAGCGACTACTAACGTCTTTGTTCCGAGCTACGTTTGGGTCTCTGACTCCAAACTCCTCATCGGGAGCATCGTGGGTAGTACTTGGAAAACCGTATGAGCTGATTGTGAAATTTTGGGCTGGTCACGTCCTATATCACAAAGAGGAATTTCAATTACTCTAACTTGAGGCTTAGAGTGCTTTTATAATTGCGGTACAGTATGAGGATCAATAGCCCAACCATGATCTCCCTTCAAGTTCCCGATAACACTCCATATCCAGCGTAGCTTGTCTTATCTTGATTTTCAATTTTTCTGTGGCATCTTGAACGACTCCTTCATACAAAGCTTTATTGCTTCCTCTGCCACCACCGGAGCCCTTTGGGTGTTGGGGCCAACTAGAACCCCTCATCCCATGAGACGCTTCCTCGAATCTGTTGGGAAACAATGGAGTTGTAATAGAAGAATCGCCTGTATGGGAATGCCCTAGGTTTTCGTCCTTGGTTTGCCATGAGCTTGGTTCATCATACGAATGATACTCTGAGTATTTCCGCATATTTGGATGGTCGGGCTCGAATTCTTCTTCGTGTGTTGACCACACCAAGAAGTCTTCATTTCGGGAATCTTGCGGCCTATGGGTGTAGTACGTGTCGTTTTCCCAATGAGTCTGTCTAGAGACCTTCCCTTCTCGACTTTGATGCACATCATACATTTCTTCACGACGTAATTGTTGATTGAAATCCAATGAATCAAACTCAAACTTTTGTCGCTTTCTATGGTTGGAGTCGTGATGATGGCTCAACCCAAGACCAACAGAGTATGGTACTGCTTGTATGTAGTCTACTTCGTAACAAGGTTCGGTGTCGAACGAGTTGTCGTACTTGTTGAAGGCTGAATTCGCAACAAAGGCAGCATGTTCATATTCTGAAATTTCTTCTGGGGGATACGGCCGCCTTGATGAATGTGGCGACTGCATGAGGTAATCGGCATTGTAAGGAGGCGCATGCCTGGAATTCAAGTCATGGTGAGGAGATTGTAGCCAATAATTTTCCTCCCGTCGATCTTGGGGAGCATTGTACCTCTCGTTCAAACCAAAGTCTTGGTTCCGACCCCGCAATTCATAGTTCATCTGCTGCTGCTTCCTTGAATGGAAATGGTCTTCTTTGTGTCTCAACTCAAGATCGTGGGTGTAATGAGCAGATCGGCTAGGGCTCGCTTCATCGTGTTCTTTCTCGTGGATGTAGGGGTTGTCTTCTATACTCAACTCTCGTGGCTTTCTAACAATAATCTGATGATCCCTACAGCTGTGAGCGACAAGCGATGATTGACGAGATGTAGACGAATGTTCTGCGGGTTGTTTCTCGGGGGTGCGACGCTGCTCGAGACAAAACGTCGACAGGATTGGGCGACGCTTTGGCTGGGCAACTTCCATCTGACGATTCTCACCAAAGGGGTCCTTACCAGAGTCATCCAAACACAATGCTTTTGGGGCAATGTGACATTTCACTTTTCGTTTGGCACCCAAAAAGTGAACGTGCCCAGGCGTGAGTGACCTGGACTTCATAGAATCATCTTCTTTATCACCAACTTCCTTTCCGTCCGCAGTCGCAATGCTAGAGACACAGGTGCAGATTGAAGAGGAGTCGTCCTCCTTGGTCATCTTCTTTGGTTTGGTGCAGACATATCGCAACAGATTGTCCGCATCGTCACCCCAGATACTTTGTTTCCGCTCCCGTTTCCTTTTACCCCTCGACTTTGCCTTGATATCGTGGCCATTCAGGAAAGTAATTTCCATATCAATTGGTTCTACGTGCGGATCATCGTCTTTTCCTGCATTCGCTGGCTCCGATACTCCAAACGAAACCCTTTTGTCTTCCCGAAAACAGCGCCCTGCAACTTTTCGAGCTTCTGCTGCTTTCTCTTTGGATTCTTCCTTCGGGTCACAGCCAGTACACAGTAACTCTAGGAAGGCTCGGCGTTTTTCTTGCTCGGCATCACCCTGCTTTGCTCGTTCTTTCTCCCGTGTTTCAAAGTCTTCAAGCAGCTTGGGATAACGCCTCTTGACCATTTGTTGATCTTCAATGGTAGCAAATATGAATTCGTTCATTGGATTGCCCTCAAAGTCCGTAACAGTCGCCTTGACGATCCATTCCACCTCGAACGCAGGTTTGCCACCACGAACCATCGTCTTGTTAATCTTGCGAGGTTCTGGCCTGGTCTTGTTGGATGGCAGTTTCTTCTTGGACGTAGCTGTGTCAATGATATTTTCACGCAAGTCAGTATCGAGTAATTCGTTGCGAGCCATGAGAGAGGACAAGGATTGCTTCAAGTATTCTCGACTCTCGGATAGGCTTTGTCCCCGAATCACCATGGTAAAGTCCTGAAACCCTTGAAAGTTGGGATACGCCATTCGTAAAGTAGTCGAGGTTTTTCCAAGTAGAGGCAATGGAATTTGATTGTCGTTGGGACTTTGATAGACCCTGATGACTGACTCTGGATCGAAATCTACCTCCATTGACATTGCCTTTTTCCTCATGGCCGAACGAAACTTGGCTCCGGGAGAGAGAGCAAAGCATGGTTCTCCTGGTCCGGTACAACAGAGCGCGCAGCCTTGTTTCTGATGCTTTGTTTTTGTGCCCGGGTGACCACAGCACGAACAGCAACAGGTGTGCTTGGCATTGACTTGTGGCTTGGTGTCATCATCAATACAGTTGATTGCGATTGCGTTTGCTTTTGCCACCAACGCTGCCCTTGCCCAGGACTTGAGCTCATCCATGGCTGCATCCTTCCTCTTGAGGGGATTGTCGAGTTGAGACTTTTTAATGAATCGAATGGCCTTTCGACATCCTACTTTGGGAATTCCAGCTCCAACGGCATCACTTCCCGTCAAAATGGCAAAGGCAATGAGATCTGATCGGTCCAGAGATACAATCTCTTTGGGCTCGCGCTGGTTATCGTATTCATTCCCGTCATCATCGTCAACACAAGCTCGAATGTTGGAACAATCATACCGCATGACCATTTTCTTTTCGAGATTCTCGAGGGTAAATTTGGTGTACAATACTTTGGCTCCATACAAGAGGCAATCCCCATCGTTTGAAATGACCCCATCCACAATGCCCTTCTCATTCAATAGTGCGCACAAGGCCTCCCCTTCGGCCTTGGCTCGGACTACAGGTACTCCCAACAGCTGTAGCATCTGCTCGCATCGTTGACAAGCATTCCAGAAACGAGTTCCAGTGCGTCGTTTGCGAAAGGAGTCTTCCCCTTCTCCTTGTCGTTGCTGCCGTCGTTTGCCTTCAATCACCACCACCAATTTGATTCCCATACTCAGTAACTTGACGGTTCGAGTGTACACTAAGTGTAACGATGGGTCCGTTTTGCAATTGTCAAAAGCGGAACAGGTCAAAGCTTCGCAAATCCAAATGGATAAATCCACCGCCAGCGATGGACAATGATTATTCGAAGAACTTCTTTTGTCATTGATGTTCCAAGGATGAGTCCGTTCGTGAAAGGAAAAATGTTCTTGGAGTTCTTTGGAACCAACTGGTTTGCCACAGCCAGCACGACCTAGTGCCTTCCATAAAGAGGAAACCGTCATGGTTGTTTTCTCGTTGAAATAAACGGTAATGTGAGTGTCGATTTATTGTCAACCTGTCTTGTTTTGTGTGAGTTTGTTTTTCTCCCAACGCCAGGAGGTGTGGCAAAAAGTGAGGACTCTTGATTGTTCGCGCCATCCTGCACTATGATTTTCAGGACGACACATAAGTACACTTTGGATACACATGGAAACGGCTTCATCTGTTGCTTTCCAACGCTTTTGGTCGTTGGTGATGGATGTTGCCAAACCTCAAACCGGTTGCCAAAAAGGAAAGCAACGGTTTTTCGCGCGAAATCATTTGGCGCGAGATTCATGCGCGAAACAGTTGCGCGATCTGGAAGAGATGGAGGGAGGCAAATCGATGGGGATGAAAAGAAAAACAAGTGCATTGCTTTTTTGGCTGTGCATAGTTAAGTTATTGTTGGATAATATATACGGTGTATACGAATCATCGTACAGTAAATCGCACCTTCTTGTTTCGTTTCCAATAGAAAAGAGTAAGAATGGCATCAATGGGAGCTCCCCCAGGAATGGGACAAGTGATGGTACTAAGTGAGTAATGAGAACACGAGATTGCCCTGAAAAGCATGTGCATTTCCTTCGTTTTGTGTGTGCTAATCATTGTTTTCCTTTTTCTTTCCTTTTCTTTCCTCCACGATTCATAATCCACAATCCAGATACCAAAACACAGCGACAGACAGGACGTGAAGCTCAACTTGGAAATATCCGAGCGGCTGTTGCTGTTGCCAATATTATTAGAACGACGTTGGGTCCTCAGAGTATGTTGAAAATGTTGTTGGATCCCATGGGAGGAATTGTCATGACCAATGATGGAAATTGCATTTTGAGAGAGGTTGATGTGAGTCACCCCACCGCCAAGTCCATGATTGAACTCAGTCGGGCGCAAGAGGAAGAAGTTGGGGATGGAACTACCTCTGTCATTGTGCTGAGTGCTCAAGTTTTGGCCCAAGCAGAACAATTCTTGTTGAATAAGTACCATCCTACTGTCATTGTGCAAGCCTACACCAAGGCTTTGGCAGCTGGGCTCAAAATCTGTGAAGATTTGGCAATCGAAGTCGATGTAAAGAGTGACAATGCAATGATTTCCAAATTGGTATTGAGTAGTATCGGAACCAACTTTTCCTCACGGTGGAACGACATGTTGGTGGACATGGCCATTCAAGCCGTACATACCGTCACACAAACGACTCCCGGAGGTTCACCATCAGTTGACATTAAGCGATATGCCAAGGTGGAAAAGATTCCAGGAGGAGAACTGGAAGATGCTCGTGTCATTAAGGGTGTCATGTTCCAAAAGGATGTCACCCATTCCAAGATGCGTCGTCGTATTGAAAATCCGCGGATCCTCTTGTTGGATTCCCCCTTGGAATACAAAAAGGGAGAATCACAAACTACTATGGAAATCACCGAAGAACAAGATTGGAACACCATGCTCAAATTGGAAGAGGAATATGTCGAAAACATGTGCATTCAAATTATTGAACACAAGCCAGACATTGTCATTACCGAAAAGGGAGTCAGTGATTTGGCACAACACTTTTTGCAAAAGGCTAACATCACTGCTTTCAGACGGTTGCGAAAGACCGACAATAATCGTGTGGCCAAGGCCGTTGGCGCCACCATTTGTTCCCGAACCGATGAGATTCAAGATTCCGATATCGGTACCGAGTGCGGTCTGTTCGAAATGCGGAAGTTGGGCGATGATTGGTTCTGCTTTTTGGAAGAGTGTAAAGAACCAAAGGCTTGTACAATTATGCTTCGTGGTGGTAGTAAGGATGTCCTAAACGAAGTCGAACGTAGTTTGCAGGACGCCATGCAAGTGGTACGAAATGTAGTCTACAATCCTAGGTTATTACCAGGAGGTGGAGCTACGGAAATGGCACTCGCAGTTGCTCTTCGCAAGCAAGGTCAACTCGTGGAAGGGATTCAACAGGGACCATTCATGGCCGTCGGAGATGCCATGGAAGTCATCCCACGAACATTGGCACAAAACTGCGGTGTCAGTGTGATTCGAACCCTCACGGCTTTGAGAGCAAAGCACGCTGCCGACCCCAAGTGTCACATTGGAATCAATGGAATTACGGGAGAGTTGGTGGATATGAATGAGTTGGGAATTTGGGAACCTTTCGCTGTGAAAGTGCAAACGATCAAGACTGCAATCGAAAACGCCTGCATGATTCTTCGCATTGATGATATTGTGTCTGGATCCAAGTCAGCAAAATAAGCTCACTAAACTATAATAGCAATGAAAGACAGACATGTACTGTATGCGGTGTGACTCGTTGTTATCTTATGTTAGCACATGTTGGTGAGTAAGAGTGCCGCCTGTTTGCAACTCGGACATTCACTTCACTGCTTCAAAGATTCGTCTTGGTTCGACTCTGGGCCTGTCTTCTTTGCGCGAAGATGAGAAAGGAACGAGTTGATGACGAATGCCATCACAATATTGTTGGTAAGGACAACACCCACAATATGGAAACTGAAGAAGAAGAGGCGAACCATCTTATTTCCGCCAGGGATTGTCAAAACATGAGCTAAAGCTGGGTGCGGGGCCAAAAAGACAAGACAGTTATCAATCATGTGTCGCTTACCTTCCCCTCTGTAACCGCTTCATATCCTCCTTCACAAGTAGTCCAGTTATTAACTACAATGAGATTGAACATGACGTTCATTGCACTCATCATGTCGTTGAAGTTATTGCCCCAATATTCATTACTGGCAAAATCAGTATCAAGTAGAAGCTCGGAAAGACGGTTTTCCGGATCTAAGAGAAAGAAAGAGAGCGAAATTGGTCAGCATGTCGCCAATTGGCCAGAACAAAATGCAAATTAGGTGTTTCTACGAACCTCGAGTAATGAGACCTCCATAAAGAATCACAGCAAGCGCGGAGAAGAAATAGGTGACCTGTGGTTCTCATGTCAGTCATTTGTTTGAAAAATTTACTGAAATCATCATACAAACTTACAAAGAACAAGAGCTGAAGCACGCTCTTCGACTTTGGAATAATTTCGAGTGCGACAGCGGTGCTGCAGGAGGAGGTAGATGGACAGCATTAGGTCAAGCAGATGACTGGCAGTAGCAGATACGAACAAAGATCTTACATGTCTTGGAAAGCGGGGAATGCCATGAGGAGTCTTCCTAGACGAAGAACTCGCAGCAAGACAACAAATGTGATCAATCGATTGTCATCGTAATCATTTGGATAGTAAACGTAGATACTGGCGGCAAGCACAGAAACTGTAATGGTGAAATCAAAAACGTTTCGAGGAGATTCGCTGTATTTTGTCCACCCGTCAACAAGGATCTTGATAGTAGCTTCGACTGTATAAGCCACAGTGAATACAGATTCAAAGTACTCCCAAATGTTGAACTCCCCATTGTATCCTGCTGTGTCGTTAGCAATGTACTCTCCAGCTAGTTCTGGGTAGCTTTGGATAACAACGACAACTGCATTGAGGACTAAGAGGCTACAAACCAATCAACGAATGTGAGGGGAGGAGCCGTGAGAGATGAAACGATAAAGTACTTGTGATCCTGGCGTACCATTCAATTATCATCTCGAATTTTCGACTTCTCACAAAAGCTGAAACTTTCTGCCATTCATCAGATGCATAAATTTCTGGGAACCGTTTCTGAACCATCGTCGTGTAATCTGGCTCTGCAGCAAGAGCAGCAAATGCTTTTCCAAACTCTTGAAACTCTTCCGCGTTGATTTCATTGGAATGATCAACGTCCAACGAATTGAATAGCTTTACTGTCTCTTCGTCAGAAAGTCTTCTGATATCTAGGAAGTCTGCATTCAAAATTACAAACAAGGCAAGTATCGTATCCTGGGTGACCACTCCAGTACCATTTGGATCCATCAGCTCAAATGCTCTAGCGAGATCCTGGTGCAACATTTGATCCATTTTCTTTTTTCTATTCTCCATCACCAAGTCGTAGTGTTCAACGACGGAACCGAGAACCATATTCATGAGCAGAAAGAATACAATTACCATGAACGAAACAAAGTAGATACCAGAGAAACGAGATTTATTGTAGGAGGGCATCATCACTGTATGAAAGCAAAGCAGTAGAAATGTCAATTTATTTGTTCGAGTAGTGAGATCGAACCACCGAAACAATGACAAACTTACCATCTGGATAATTAGCAGTGGTTACACAGATCCACAATGTCCAAACGCCTTCGATCCAGTTGGGGAAATCTCGTTGTCCTTGTTCAGAAACATCGAAAAGCAGGACACCCACCACTATATTTGGAGGAAAGTGTTAGTGGTGATGCCATTTTTCCTGCATTGTGTGAAATGATAGGTCGGGGCTCACCTGAGTAAAAAGCAGTGATAGCACCAACAATGACCATAATGGAGACCACATCAGGGATCAGCTTCACAAGTGAAACGATTTCCTTTTGACAATCCTTGAGATATGAACCTAGTAATAACAGTCTGAGAAACGGATGAAACATCACGGTCCCCTTGAAGCATAACAAGATCAAACTCAATAGACGCAGTGAATTCGCATAACGGATTTCAGGATGAAAGAACCGCCACATCTCGAATCCATTTCTGCCAATACGGATCAAAATCCGAGACACAAGAATCAAAACGCAAATGAGCTGAAGCGTATGCGCTTGATGCTCAGTCAACATCATGAGACCAAAATTTGGGTAGTAGGAGATGCTCTCATCGGAAGGATCAGTAGCTTCTAGAACGGCACCGCAGCTTCCATAGCGATGGTCTGTGTCAAGACCTAAGACACGGCACCAATGAGGAGGCTCGAAAAATGAGATGAGGATCAAGGTCCACATGGTCACAGCAATCAGACCGTTGATGCGACTTTCTGCTCGAATGCATATGAGGCTGCATTTGTTTTTCATCTTGTTAGCAGGATTGGAATGTGGATCATACCAACCGTCATAAGGTTCATCGATCTCTCCCAGAATGGCATCGCGGATCAAATGAGCTGCAGGCCAAACTTTTTCAATCTCATGTTGACGTTCAGAACCAATCGCTTCATCCAAATAAGTTGACACGCTTCGATTGTATGTAAACGTGCCATCTTCTGCCACAAGAGGAGTATCTTCGTTTACGGTATCATCCTGCATGGTTTCATTCAATGCTTCCAAAAGCTTGTTGCTTGAATGACCGTGGGTGACTACTCAAACTCCTTCCATTGGTGGGAAGATTCCAAATCTTCGACTGGATTGACCCACTACGGTTGTGACTGATCCGAATGCATGGATGATTGATTCGACACGTCAGAAACCATCATTACAGAAAACCAAAACAACTCACCCTACATTAATTGTCATGCATCTGAGCTACCTGGTACTCAACGGATCGATATAATGGGTTATTCATCACTATTACTGTTATTCGGAGCTTCGATAATACCTGAAGAGGCGCACGGGTTTTCTTCTCCTCCGCAAGGATCAAAAAATTCCTTCAGTCCTCTGTCGGCAGTCGCCAATGTAGTTGATCCACCACCGAAAACAGCAGCTCGAACTCCGTCAGACTCCTACGATGTGGTTGTGGTGGGATCAGGAATTGGTGGTCTATCGTGTGCTGCAATGTTGAGCTACTATGGATATTCAGTTGCCGTGCTTGAGTCGCATTACGCTGCAGGAGGGGCTGCACATGGATTCAAGACGAGGCACAAAGACGTCGGGGATTTCTACTTTGATACTGGTCCGTCGTTCTTCTCAGGCCTCAACCCTGACCTGCCTGCAAAAACTTCCAATCCGCTGAGAACCATTCTGGACGTAATCGACGAACCCGTTGAATGCGTTCCGTACACGACTTTCGGATTGAAATTCCCGGAAGGCGACTTTGTCCACACTCCCGGCTTTGGCAAGAAAGGTGGAACCATTGAACAGATTGATGGGGCGGAAGGAATCAAGTCTTGGAATAGATTGATGGAGAACATGGAGCCTTTGGCAGCAGCCGTGCACGCACTTCCGACCGCTGCTTTGAGAGGCGATATTGGAACAGCCGCGACAGCAGCGCCATACATGTCAAAGTTTGCGACTCTCAATCCACTGGAAAATCTCAAATTAACAAAGCCATTTCAAAAGGTGCTCGACAACTCAAAAGTTTCGAAACCAAGTTTCATGCAGAACTGGCTTGATCTACTATGTTTTTGTCTTTCGGGTATGAAAGCGGATGGCACGATAACAGCGGAAATGGCAATGATGATGGGAGAATTTTATGATGAATCAGCTGTGATGGACTGCCCTGTCGGCGGAGCGAAGGCGATTGTAGATGCTCTTGTACGCGGGATTGAGAAGCATGGAGGGAGCATTTTCCTTAATTCACATGTGGATGAGATTCTGATTCAGGACGAAAAAGCAACAGGAATCAGGCTGAAGAAAGGTGACACAGTTGTCAAGGCCAATAAGGCTGTAGTCAGCAATCTGTCGGTCTGGGATCTCTTCGGGAGTGGTATTGTGGATACGTCCAACTTTCCAAGTGACTTCGTTCAAGAGCGATTGGATACTCCTGTTGGAAAGTCTTTCATGCATCTTCATGTTGGTTTCAAAGCTAATCGTGAGGAGCTTGAGCAGCTGCAGGCACACTACATGTACGTTGATGATTGGAACAAGGGTGTGGAAGGGGAAGACAATGCAGTCCTCCTTTCTATTCCATCAGTGCACGATGCTTCACTGGCACCTGAAGGCTATGGGGTCTTGCACATCTACACTCCAGCGACAGAGGACTTCGCAAGGTGGGAAAATATTGATCGCAAATCGGACGAGTACAAAGCGTTGAAAGAAGAACGAAGTCAATATCTATGGAGTGTCCTAGAGAAGGTGATACCAGATATTCGCGAACGAGCAGTTGTATCACAAGTGGGGTAAGTGCAATATTTGTGGCGCTAATGGGATCCTTTGTTCTCGATGAAGTGAAAATGACTAACAAACAACTCAGCTCACCACTCACCCATAAGAGATTCCTACTCCGACACAAAGGTTCCTATGGTCCAGCCATTGTTGCTGGAGAAGAGTCCTTCCCTTTCCCGGGAACACCTGTCAAAAACTTGCTTGTGACTGGTGACAGCTGTTTTCCTGGAATTGGGGTTCCAGCAGTGGCTGGATCTGGTTTCTTGACTGCAAACTCGGTTAGCTTGGACAGTCTGCGGCCACAACTAAAGCTCCTGGAATCCTTGCGGCGAAAGCAACAATGGCAATAAAATTAAAGTGATGCTTATTTTTGTTTTGGACATTCATGCTGAACATACCACCTGAGATCAGCATACTACAACTGCAACTGGATTGTGAGCATGATGGACAGAACAAGCTTTTTAAAAAGCAATTTTAGACTGTACAGAGACCATCATATATCCTTTCTTCCCAGTACGACCGATAGAGCTTCTCCCACTTGTATGTGTTGGCATTCTTCTTGAAGTACTCTTCTTTCTCTTTCACACTCGCATCCGTGACTTCGTCCCAGCTGTTGACAAGCCATACAGGCAGATCTTCATACACAGGATCCAGAGCAGAATGCGGAACAATTGGTACACAACCACATAAAAGCGCTTCCCACGTTGAATGCGTATCAAGACCGTTGCCAGGAGGGCTAATGAGAAATCGGTGTTTCTTTAACTCTCCAAAATAGCCTTCTGTTCCCTCGTACTTGGATGCAAAAAACAAGGACTTCTTTGCAGTCTCATTCACAATGGGTGGAATTTCAAACCGGGGTGTCTTCAGTGCCGGAGTGTCCCTGATGTACCTGTTGGTGTTGTGATTTGATTTTAAGTTCATTGGTCTCCAAAACACAGTGGTTGTCCTGTTTTTGAGATGGAACAAGGCTTCGGATTGCGCTGGACTGGACGCTCCATGCTCTATATATTGTAACGTCCGATCGGCTTTCCCTTCTCCAAACAGGCTTATCCTCTTCCAAGCCCATTTCAATCCAATGGGAATGGGTTGCAACTTTGGATACTCAGGCAAGTGCCGCGCGTTGCCAGCATAAACTGCATGCAGGTTTTTTTCGTTAAAATATACGTGATAGTTCATATTCTCCCCCAGATATTGCGGAAACGACATATCCACCTGATTATTCATAACCAATGCAATGGGATGCGGCCTTGATCGAATCCAGTCTCTTAGTCCGTCTGGACTAGCCTTGTGCTTTTCGGTATGGCGAAAGAAAAAGGTTCTTCTGTTATCGACAATGTCGGCCCAGAAATCTTGAGTGATGAATGGTTTTCCCTTTTCATCAACAAACTTCCCAAAAAGTAAGGTTTTGTGGGTAACCAGGATAGAGTTGGTCAATAGTAGGATCAGGAGGTGGACAAGGTCCTACTTTGGGCGATAGATTCGCTAATGCTTCCGGCCGTTTTTCGTTTGCTTGCACTGATTCGTCAGACGTTACTGATGATTCCATCCGTCTTTCGTTTGCTTGTATTGATTCATTAGAGGTTACCCATGTCTCCATCCGTTTTTCGTTTGCTCGCAGTGATTTGTCAGACGATACCGATGTTTGATTCTTAACGAAGAAGATGACCAAAGCCAAGACAACAAATAATCTGAATTGCGCAAGTCGCATATTTGCCAACTGGGAACTCAACAATATTTTATTGATGAAAGACCTTATCGAACTCTACGTGACTTCACAGCACGCTCGATCGGCATGTATTGTTGTGAGAGATTCGGTGGATACTATCATGAGTCATTATAATGACTAGCCACTGAGCAACAAATACCGCGGTACTGTACTGTACCTGGTACCTGGTACTGTAGGCTGTAGGTAAATTATCGGAAAATGGTTCGATTTTTACGTGGAAAAAATTTTAAAATATCTATGGAGCGACTAGAGAACGTGCTACCGGAAATTCGCGAATGCAGTCGTATCACAAGTGGGGTAGTAAGTTTAGTGTTTGGGTTGCTTCTGTGTTACTGTGTTACTGTGTTACTGTGCTACTGTGCTACTGGGATCCTTTCTTCTCCAACAACTGAAAATGACTAACAAAAAAACTGAGCACACCCTTCAGCCACAAGCGGTTCCTATCCCGACACAAAGATTCATTCCCACAGTATGTTCCAGCCATCGTAGCTGGACAAGAGTCCTTCTCTTTTCCTGGCACACCTATCAAGGGCTTGCTCATGACTGGTGAGAACTGCTTTCCTGGAATTGGGGTTCCAGCAGTAGCTGGATCTGGTTTCTTGACTACAAACTCGTCTGCGGCCATAACCGAAACACCTGGAATCCTTGCGGCAAAATAATAGTGATCGAGAGCGCCAATATCTAGAAAAAGGTAGAGGAGCGATCGACTGGACCCATTTCCATGTACACCGTCTTGACTCGCGAGTATTCAGCAATTGCTTCTTCTCCCAGCTCTTTTCCGTATCCACTCATTTTAAATGGCCCAAATGGCATTTCAACTGGGCTCAAGTTCCAGTTGTTGACCCACACAGTCCCTGCTTCCAATCGTTTGGCTACTCGGTGAGCTCGCATAACGTCCTTAGTCATGAGACCAGCTGCCAATCCAAACTCAGTGCCCTCGTTGGCCCGAGACACAGCTTCTTCTTCCGAGTCAAATGGTAAAATCGTCATCACTGGTCCAAAGATTTCCTCCTTGGTAATGGTTGCATCGTCATTGTGGCACAAAAAGACGGTTGGCTCCACATAGTAGCCTCCGTCCTGTTCGTATCCCTTGCCACCGTAGACCAGTTTGACATTTGTATCGTTCATACCACTGTTGACATAACTCATGACACGTTCATAATGCGCCGTTGGATTATTTGGAGGCATAATCAGCGGCCCAATATTGTGTTCATGAATCGAGTTGTTTCCAATCTTGACGGATTGCTTCAACTGCTGAACCAATTGATCCGTAAAGTTTTCCAGTATCGATCGTTGCACAAAGACACGAGTACAGTTGGAGCAAACTTGACCATTGTTGGCAAAATTTCCTTCCACTGCCACCTGAACGGCACTTTTCAAATCGGCATCCTCAAAGACTAGTAACGCTGATTTGCCACCCAACTCCAACGTCAATCGCTTGAATCCTTCAGACGATGCTTTGGCAACCTGCTTGCCCGTTTGATTGGAACCCGTCAGACTTACTTTGGATATATCAGGATGCTCGATCAGTTCTTGCCCTATCGTACCGTCCCCTAGCAAGACTTGGAGGGCGCCAGATGGCAGTACTTCTTTCCACAACTCCGCTACCGCAACCGATGTCAAAGGTGTACATTCACTCGGTTTGCAAATAAATGTATTGCCGCACGCCAGTGCTGGTGACAGTTTCCAGGTCATGGTAACCAATGGATAGTTCCAGCCTACAATTCCAAGACAGACTCCCAAGGGTTCCCTTCGGGTATAGGCAAAGGAATCGGCATGTCCTCCTGCTTCTGGCACATCTAAAATCTTGCCTCCAAACCCCTTTGTGGCCAAGGCAGCATAATACTCCAACGTTTGTACAGCGTATGGTATGTGGCCGCCTTCAATTTGCAAAATTGGTATCCCGGTGTCCAATGCCTCTAGTTTTGCCAGTTTCGCCTGATTTGTCTTCAGAAGACTTGCCATTTCAGAAAGTATCCGACCTCTTTCTCCACTGCTGGTTTGCGACCATTCAGAAAAGGCTGATTTGGACGAGGCGACCGCTTTTGCTGCTTGATCAAATGACGGAGGAATTACTTTACAAAGAGATTGTCCCGTTGATGGTGACAGGTTGGAAAACTCAGACAATGACGGCTCGGGCAATGAAGCAAAGTCTCCGTCAATCCACGAAGTGACCTTCTCTGGTAGATTCTTGGAAAAGATCGTCGAAATGTGACAGTTTCCTTGTGCCTTGAACAAAGGAAGCTTCAGAAGACTCCTTGACACATGAGTGATCGAGCGCATTTTGTTGAATGGCATGTGCTTACTTCGAGATCTAAAACACATTCGAACAGTTCGAATGATGATGTTACGGTGAAAGTACTTCGATAGGTCCAAGTCCACGCTAAACATTCTTCTCTTACAGTAGCCCCCCCCCCCCCCAGCTCTACAGCTTGTTACCTCCTAGCGCTGATAGATCGGCTGCCTAGAATTCGGGATAAAGAGTGTATAGGATCTAAGTTGTTGCTTTTTTAAAAAACATTCGAATGCAAACGCTATTCAGAAGAAAAGGTGCCCTCGTCCTGTGCTATACTTTTGCCAAATTTTCGTCCGATAGTCAAAAAAGGATACCGAGGCGAACGAGGGGATGCAGGCTAGGGTCAAGGAGAGTTCAAAAATTGTAGAGTATAGGTAGTGTTCAGTTTCATCATATTGGTGCATCAAAATCAATATTCCTCCATGATACGGGATACTCTCTGGCGTAGTAAAGCTTCTTGACTGGCCAGAAGTCGTGTAGTTTTGTCTTGTGTTCGACCACCGCGTAATAATAACTGTTAGGTAGCAAGCCCATGTCAGAGCCTTCTGCCTGAGCATTTTGGGAATGATATCCTCGAAGTCGAGTGATATATCCTGTAAAAGTAGAAAACCAACAACCAAAGAATGTCCGGCCACGCGAAGCAACGAGTTGGTCAATCATGCCGAAGAAATTTTTGTCAACTCCATCAAGAAGGTGCATGTAATTATCCATGTAAACTACATTCCAATAACCTTCCATATCCGCAAAGAACTTTTTATCTCTTTCATCAGTCGCAACATAAACAAATGTACCCTTTGGAATCTCATTTTCGGCAGCCTTGAGTATTTCACTTGCCTCCACTCTTGTCTTTTTGTATTGAAAGTCTCCTCGGCGGATATGAAAGCTGTCAAAGATTCCATCTGCATTGTCGCTTATTCTTTTTCGAGCATCCTCTCGAACTGCCGCAACAATTCGGGCAGCAGCACACTGGATATCATCAATGTATCTCACATGGTCTCTCACAAAACGCTTCATCCACAAATCCGCCTTCCAATCGGAAAAGAACAAAAAGGCATAGAAATGCACTAGCAGTCGACCACCCGCAAGTTTTGCCTTGCCCGCAAAATGAATAACTTGTTCTCGTTGTACTTGGTTGTCATACATGCACATTGCACTCCTACCAGCAATGAATTCGGCCATTCGATCGTGAATGGTACCATTCACCGGTGTTGGTTGATTGAAAAACTGTTCAAAATTGACCTTTTCGCTATTTACTTGTTCAAAGGTAGACGTCAATGTGGCTTCACTGGTAAAATCTTTGGAAGATGGGAACGCTGCCAGACAATGGTCCGGATTCCAGTCGGCGTTGTATGCAATCGTTCGAAGCCATGGATTCAGTTCGCTCTTCACGCTGCCCGTATTTCCGTCCCACTCTGTAGTGTTGTGTGGTGGGTACGATATCTCGTTGGTTTCCGTATTCTTTAGCTTGCCGTGAGTTTCTTCAAGGAACTGCTTCATGGTGATGATTTCCAATCCAGGATGTTCTTTCGCAATGCTATGAAGGGGGAAGAAATCGGCAAAGGAAAAGTCGGTGCCTCCAAGGAGGTACATTTTTTGGGATGGCGTCAAAACAAGGACACGACCTGTCGCTATGGCCATTGCCAGGACTGTCTCCATGCTTCGCAGAGCCGTGGAAGCAATGATGATTCGAGAACGAAAGGACACAAATAAAATTAGCATGGGGGAAACACGGCACCTTTCTCTCTGATCACCTCCACCTACCTCATTCTTATATTGTTCCATCCACCCCCATCAGGCTCGAATGTCAAATATCGACGCTGGCCTGGATCGCGGAACGGCGACACATAACTCTCGTCGTTTGGTAGATTTTTCCAGTAAACCATTTCTTGTGCCAGATCATTCGAAGGTCCCCCGTGCGCTGAACAATCCAATCCTGCAACGCTGTGCAAACCGTCATCTCCTTTCTGATTGCTGGACGTAACTTCCTTCTTTGTCGTTGTTTGAATGTGCTTGTCAACAAAACTCGAATGCTTGGACGATGGATGAGACGACAGGTGATCTTGATGCATCATTAGGGTCATTGACATTGATGTGAAGATACACCCAAGCAAAAATGAGAACGCATGAGACCAATATCTAGAGAATAAACTTCTTTTCTTCCTTGGCTGGTTAGCAAGTCGGTTCATGGTTCATTATTTTTTGGTTGTTGATAGTCGCAAAGTTGTTTTGATTTGAAATGATAGGTACATTTGATTCATTTGACTGAATTTGATGATGTTTGATTCACTTGACTTCATGCAGTGATGGCATACAACTGTATTGATAACTCGTCCTTCGGCAAGAAATCCTTCAAAAGAAGAGTTTTCAAAGACCATTAGCGCAGCACAACTCAACTCCACCCCTGTCACTTACAACCATGCGCCTGCTTCTGGGGAGTCTCTTTGCTTGCATAGTTTCCATAGGAGTCTTCCAATTTCGAGCTCGCTATTACCCTGGTGAATCCGATTGTAACCAAGATGCTCCCATTCTTCTGTCAAACCACTCGTGGAAGGCCTGCAATGTATTCAGTTTGGAGTACGAAGAGGCCAGGACGAAATTTAGGGCAGCGGTCAAGAGTCTGGAGGGCTCTACAAATGTCGAAAGTTTCATACTGCCCGTTGTAGATGATTTGACAATTGATGTCGCCGTTCTCAAAGGGACAGGGAAGGGTACGATTGTGCATGTTTCTGGAACACATGGCGTGGAAGGTTACGCAGGATCTGCAATTCAACTTGCATTTCTCGACTACGTGAATCGAGATAATCTTACATCAGACCGACCTACGATTGTACTTGTCCATTCGCTTAACCCTTATGGCATGAAGTTTTACCGACGCGCAAATGAGAACAATGTCGACCTCAATCGCAATGCAATTGATAATTTTGACGAGTTTGTGAAGAGTAGGGACCCAAATATTGCCAGCTATGATACCTTTCGTGACTTTGTGAGCCCTGAACGAGAGCCGAATCTTTGGGATAGCACTCTTGGTTGGTGGCTGGGTGCACTTCCAAAAGTTTTGAAGAACGGATTTTCACCAATGAAGCGAGTCTTGGTGGCAGGTCAGTATCACCATCCTACTGGATTCTCCTTTGGTGGCACCAGCATGCAACCTTCTATCGAGCTTATCGAAAACTTTATGGTACAGCATGGCCTTCTCCCAGGAGAAGTTACTTGGATTGATGTACACACGGGACTTGGGAAGATCGCGAAGGATACATTAATGTTCGAGGCAACGACGCATAGCCAATCGTCACTTCGGGTCTATTTCCCAACCGCCGAACACATTGTAACCCCAGAAGTACAAGACAAAAAAGCAATGAGTGGATATGATTTGACGCGGGGTATTCTGGCTGCATACTTGCAGGAGCAGTATCCTGAAGGGTTGTTTATTCTTCAGGAGTTTGGGACTTTGCCTCCCATATTTGTTGGACGCTCACTCATATTGGAGAATATGATACACCACTATGGTACAAATAAAGCGGCTGGAAGAGCGCTGCTACAGACTTCGTTCTATCCACAGTCGACAAAGTGGCGAGCATCCATAGTCCAAAGGGGTGTATCGCTAATCCTTCAAGCTGTGGAATTGTCAGCACGAAGTAAATAGCGATTGATTTAGTCTTTGAATAAAGTCTGATATTGAGCGTAAACAATGAAAGGAATGCACTGCAGGGGATTTACAACCTATGCGAAAAGCTCTAGCTTAGGCAGCAAATTCTAAAACTGTGTTCTGTTTCGCCACAAGGGTTGTGAAGTCATCAGAAATTCTGTTCTCTCCAACGAGCTCCTCGAAATCGAGGAGGTTCAAAAGAAGATCAATTTTTCCCGAATCTGTAATATCAAAACCTTCACACTTGCATCGACCACAATACGTGTATTTCTGCCGGGTTCCATCTCTAGCAAACAACAAAATTTGTTTCTTTTCTTCGGGGCTTCGAACTGGAGTCGAGACGTAATCATATAGAGTCTTTTCACTTGACTTGCCGTTGAAATTCTTTGGGTTCAGATTGAACACAAAGTCTCGTCCATCTCGCATGAAACCTGAAGAAGCTCTTTTCCCTTCGAAACGTTCCGAGCCTCCAAAATTACAAAACACAATCCAAGCATTGCTTGTTTCCACAACACCAGAGCGCCTGTTAAATCCAATATACGTCCCCTCTGGCAAGGTGTTCATGAAGACATGTCCAACAACTCTGCTGACACAAGAATCTTTGGTGTATCCAAGCGTTATTCCTGGAATAGGCAAGTTGTCCAGGTTTGCAAGAAGCGTGGATAGCTGAATTGGCTTCGGCTTTTCTCCAGTCGTACCAACTTTCTTGAGATGGGCTCTCTCTTTCTTGGTCGGGCCAGTTCTTATAGGAACAAGCTTCGGTTCACCTGGAGAAGCTTGACAAGATGGCCAGGTCTGCCGAGCTATCGGCCGAGTAAACATGGTTGCTTCACGTCCCATAGGAATGTGCCATGTCATCCCGCCCTCTTCTTTCGTTTCAGTTTTAGTGTCTAAGAAACTGAAACGACTCCTTGATGTGAGGTTTGAGTGCGTCTTGAAGAACTGCCCATTGTACCTCTTGATTGTAGGTGTTGACATAAGTCGTTGAAGGAGCACTGGTAACACAGCTGCGTCAAGAGTTGCGTAGTCAAACTGCTCTTTCGAAAGTGGTCGCCTTGTCCATTCTGAGACCTGTTGTGTTTTGTCTAGTTTCTTTTGAAGCATAAGTCCGACCATTCTTTGTAGACTCGAAGCGTTTTGTCTCTCGCCTTTTGAAAGAGGTATCGCTGATACTGCTTGAAGATCAATGACGGAGTTATAGGTTGAAAAGCATGGCAGGTGTGGAAATGAGACCATCAGTTTTCCTAAATCTTGCAAGATACCGAATCCAGCAATCGAGAGAAGATGGCTGTTGAAAAGCTTTCCAAGCACCTCGTTGAGCTGTAGCTCGATGTTGGTTGCTGTGTTTTCACCTCCATTTGGCTCACGATGTAGAGCTTGGCAAATCACTTGTAAGTCGAGCAGAAAGGAGCAGCTGCGCGAGCTTAGCTGAAGGGTTGAAACAGGATTATCTCTTCCACAGTCAGTCCCAGGTAACCATTCGCAGTCCAGACCCCAAGTCGCCATCACTAGAGCATCATCTGTTGTATATGTTTCGTCCTCAACAAGGCCATTTGCAAGCGTTATTGTTCGATCAATCTCTTCGTCCAGCAACTTCAGTGTGGACACACTGTCCACAGTTGTGACGGAGCTTTCAATTGTTTGGTCGGGATATGGTTTTAAGATTTGGTCAATAGTAAGCTTTTCAAAGACTTCCACGTCAATCTTTTGAAAGAGTACTTTCTCTTGCGCATTCTTTCTTTGACGATTTTGCTGCTTTTCCACTTTCACATTCTTCGTGCGGGAGCAACCTGTAATTCGAGGTTGTGTAAAGGTGATTTGACCAGACAAATTCCCACTATTGGCGTTGGCTAGCGATTGGTCTTCCCGTTTCCACCATCGGACAGTGGGACGCAAACTTCGTGGTGTAAAATTAGTTGGATATCCCCCATGATGCTCAGCGTCTATAATCGAGTTCTTGTACTCTTCAATTGTTGGCAATAGGTCCTCTCCCATATTGAATTTGTCTACTTCAAATCTCGGATCTAAATCACCGTACAGTTTGTTATCCGAGTGGCTCAGCCGAAAGTTTGCAAAGGTACCACCATTCTTCAATTGTTGCCTTTCAGCCTCAAACAAAAAGTCGCAGGCGTCCTTCTCAAAATGGCTGCGGGCTATACTACAGGGTGTCTGACCTTTGTTGTTGACAAACAAGAGGCTTGCACCATTTCCCACAAGAAACCTGACGACATCTTCGCGGCATTGCGTCAAGGCATAAAAAATTGGTGTCTTTCCATAGTTTCCAGGGCCGCGTGAATACATGTTGACTATATCGAGCTCAGGGCACTCCTTCTGGGCAGTTTCCACAAGCATTTGCACTACTTCGCAGTCTCCTCGCCATGCAGAAAGGTGCAAGGCATTCTTGTCGAGTCCATCGTGTTCGGAAACTTGCAACAGGCTACAGAATTCACCCGTCTTGACGGCTTCTTGGATCAACTCGGCCATTATTTCTACTCTTCCCTTCTTTCGAGCCGTCGTTCGTAGAAGTTTTGCTTTGTCAACAATAGTGCTGAACAATCGATATTCGCGCAATCTATCTTTTGGTTCGGGGCCACCTTCGGCTTTTTTCTTTTGTTTGTGTGTCTTTTTTTCTGGTTCTTCGGTATTGGTTTCCATAACCGAGGACGGAGACTGGGACCGTTCTAACCGTCGGAAACTTCCAAGAGTACTACCTTCATTGCTATTTTCGGCAATCTTTATCAGCTCGTTCATTGGAAGTAAGAGGCTATGGTCTATCGTTCCCGAGCCAATGCTCGCCGTTGGATAGTCGACAATGGATTCTTCCAAATACAGCTTCATGGGAACATTGTGTCCGATGGGCGGCATGCATCCAGATTGAAAACCCGTCAGTGATTCAGCGACTTCTGTGGGTGCCATGGATACTTTGGATGGTGTGCATCCAAAGGGCAAATCCTGATGCTTGTAAATAATATCGCGAAGCAGGGATAAGTCGACCTTGTCTTCCATTTTCTTTGCCGAAACGACGTAAAACCTATCCATTTTTTTCGCGTTGTTAGTATTCATATGGGCGTTGTTGTTGTCACTCTGATCCATGCTGCTGTTTTCATTGTAGTTGCAGGAGACTTCCCATACCAACGTTTTGATTTCGACAACACCATTGTTGTTGTTGCTTTCATTGTTTTGGTTCGCTGCCGTTTCTGTCATTGGTAGAGTATCCAAATCATTATCACCTCTTATTTTCATATCACTCGGTTGCACTCCAGCTCTGCTCAATCGTTCCATGAGCTCCAACCCTGGTTCTACGACGGAAGAAGTGGTAATTGCAGCCATTTCTATCGATAGTAGTCGCTGTTGAACTTGATGGTAGCTTATTTTTCTTGTTCCGGAAGTCGCTGTAAAGGCTTGTGAAGAGATTCGGAGTAGGAACAAAATATTGGCAAGGATACTAAGCCTTATTATCATTGTGTCCTGGCCAAAGCAACATGACCATGCATGGTACCAGGTTTGATGGAATCAAGAAAGAAACCATTGTTCTGCGTTGTTTCCGATGACGTGGCTCGGATGTGTCGAATATTTCATTTATTGCTGTGAATGATAGATATGGTATGATTGATTCATTCGATTGGTTTGATTCGCTCGTCGATTGAGATCGGTTGATTCCATTTTCGGATCGAACGGGTCTTTTTCGGAGATATCCAAAAATTTGAACGTGAAGACTGTAATATCATAATACCAGCCAGTCATGAGAAGAATGTTAAGGACTCGACACAGTTGGTTGCTGCTACTCCTTGCATGGACCTGTTGCGACACTGTCACGTTGGTGAAATCAGAAGAAAATTTATACAAAATTCTGGGAGTTTCACGAACGGCGACCACCAAACAAATCAAGACAGCCTATCGTCGAAAGGCATTGGATACGCATCCAGATAAGAACAAGGGCGTTCCTCCAGAGGAAGCAGCCGCTGCCTTTCACAAAGTCGTTCATGCTTTTGAAATTCTGAGCGATTCTGATTCTCGAAATCGCTACGATCGAACGGGGCAATCCGGTAATCAACAGCAACAGCAGCAACAACAACGGGGAGGTTGGTCGTCATCCTGGAGTTTCACTTGGAACTCTGGCGGAGGTAGTAGCGGAAGCAGCCGCAACCGTGGAAGACAGCAACAGCAGTACCGAAGATGGCGTCTGAAGGACAAGTTTGAAGTCAAGGAAGCACAAAGTCGCATCTTGCACATTGTGTCTTTGGAGCAACTGGAAACAGTCATTGTGGATGATGAAACAGATGAACTCGAACGCAACTTACTCATTTGTTTCTATACGCCCCAACTGGAAGAACACGTCATGGACGAAATGGTGTATCCTTATCCCTTTGCCGCCATGTCGGACCAGGGAATATGGTGGGAAGACTTGCTCCAAACTACCGTGGTTCGCTTCCACCGGTCCAACAAACTGACCGAATTCTTTGAAATTCCCAAAGGAGACACGCTAGAGGCCCCCATTTTCATCTTTGGCAAGCGTGGAACGAAGTTTGACAAGGATGGTCACTTTACTAGACTCCAAACTCGGGATCGAATGACCTTTGATCGATGGGTATGGCAACAAATCGAGTTGACGGTGTTGTTTGTCAATGAACACGACCACCCGGTCGAAGTCTATTGGATTCATGGGACTAGCGCCAACAAGAAGATGATCTTGCAGCCGGGAGAGACTTCCGTCCATAACACCAAGCTCTCGCACGAATGGTGGGTCCGGGATGCTCGTACCGATACTCACCGCGACTCGCCTGGCAGACACCGACTGACTGACAACAACAGTCTTATATCATGGAAGATTACCAATGATGTGGATATGCAGCGATTGGCTATTCCCAAGCGCACGTGTTTTGATCTTTCGGGACATTGTCCGTATTGGCATTATCATGGGGAATGCCGCAAGAATCCAAATTTCATGCGGGACCAGTGCATGTTGACTTGTGCGTTTTGTGAGAAAGATCTTCCAGAGGAAGGGAAGAATAGTGATTACAATGATGATGAACTATAGAAGAATAAAATTTTGACAACATTAGTTAGGCCTAAATACACTAGTGGATTTTGTGGTCAGTAGAGAACTCCTCGAAATTTCGATGCATGTCTTGATACCTATGAAGTGGAGTTGTCCAGACTTCAACTTGAATTCTGCTGCACCTACGCGCTATTGTACCTACCCAAGACTAGGACTAGAATACAGCATCTTCAAAATAATAGAAAAAAACTGTTGCTAGCGTAGCATGCGTTGCGATGTTATATCTATTTCTTTATGTCATAGCCCGTGATTGATTACTTTGAATGTCTCCTCTCAGCGATTCCATCTGCCGTATTTTCAGCTTCTGCCCCATCTTGATTGGCTTGTTCGTTGTGCGAACGACGCGAATCATGGTGTCTGGAACTACGGCGCTTCCGTTTCTTTGACGACTCGCGACCGCTTTTCTTCTTCTTGTCTCGTGTCGGTGAATGTGAGCCGTTATCCACACTGGAACTTGGAGAAGAATCATTGCGACGCTTTTTATCGCTCCTTCGTGAACGATGTCTCCGACTTCTACTTCGATGTCCTTCGTGCGGACTCCCATGCCTGCGAGATCTACTTCGACGATAGCTGTCGTCATCACTTTCATCGTCTCGTCGCTTATGTTTCGATTTACGATCGCGGCTACGGCTTTTGCTGCGAGACCTTCCTCGTTTGTCTCTCGATGACTCGTCCCTGTCTGACTTCCGAATCCTTTTCCTGGATGAGTGGGGCGAGGTCTTATTCGAGTCAATGGGAGTTGTTGGATCTGCCTGTTTTGAACCGTTCTCGATAGACTCCTCCGTTTGTTTATCACGATGATTATGGTGATTGCCATGTGAATTACGTCTGTCCTTTGAAACAGTGCTTCTATCCCGTGATCGCGATCGATGAGATGAGCTACTTCGTCTGCGATCCCTGCCATCCGAGTGCAGACTCCTTCTCCTTCCCCGCGAACGACTTCGTGAATGCGACCGTCGCCGTCTTGTCGGACTACCGCTTCGTCGACTGTAATGTCGTCTTGATCCACTGCGACTGTCACTACTGGAAGATCGTGAATCACGCCTCCTCGAATGCCGACGACCTCGATCATCACTTCTGCTTCTCCTATCAATAGAGAGTGACATACTATGATGTCGTCTCCCTCGTCTTTCGTAATGATATTCGTCCCGATCTTCAGCTCTCCGATCTCGCCGTCTAGGGCTTCGACTCCGTTCGTACATGTCGGCATATTGACCACCATACCGCCCAGTATCATCGTAATGAGATGGTCCAGCTGGTCCAGCTGGTCCATATCGGGAATATTGATTCCGGGGTGGCATGTCGCTATATCCGTCCCGACCAAACTGTCCATTGAAATTGGCATCGCGCTCTCTCCAGGGTCGGCCGTCCTCTTGTCGTTGATTTTGTCGATTGTGTCCCTTCTTTTTCTCTTTCTTTTTTTCCTTCTTTCGTCTATTGTTTGCTTTTTTTGTTTCCTGTTTTTGTCTGACTATTGTATCATAAGAGCGCTTTGCAGCAATTATACAACCACGATAACACATCGCTGCCATGCCGTCGTCAATAACCTTTCGCTCTTCCGGCGTCAGATTTTCATGCCAATTGCTAACTTCATCACTTGTCTCCTTATCCACATTTTTCAGCGCAGTCTGGAAAGCTTCCGGTGAGAAGATTGTCTGGGCATCATTCGAGGATTCCTCTCGCTTGATGGCAGCACCATTGCTTCCCGAAGCCATCGCAATAGGAACAGAGATCTTGTTGAATTAATTCCAGGTGTAAGCTCCTAATGCCACATCGGTGTCTGTCCGTCCAATTCCTGTCGTTTTACAAGACGACCAACTAAGAAGCGAAATGAATGCCTCGAAGTCTGCTTCCTCTTATCAAGTCAAGCTGATGTCAAACAGATCTGATTGATTTCAAATGCTCTGCAATGTTGATGTGAGCGATGAAGCCGAAGACCAAAATCTTGCGGTGAGGGTTGACTTGGTGGTTGGGAGATCCAATGTCTGTCGGTTTTTCTACATGAAATACGTAGAAACGAAACGATTCGTTCGATCAAAATAGCTACATGGATCTACGATCACATTTTGTTTTCATTTCAATCCACTATATGATGTCGGCGTATTGCTCTTTCAAAAGTCGCACCTTCCTCTCTGAACCCCACTCCGAGTAATACTTGATTGATTCTTGAATTCGATATGATGCTTCATCGATACTCAAGTTGGGATCCGACGAATGCAGAAGGAGCTGCGCACAACGTTCGTTTGCCAGTGCAACATCCTGCAGAAATCCCAGTCTCCCAGCAAAAGAAATTGCTTCCTGGTACAAATCTAATGCAGCCTTGTTCCTTGAAGACAGGAATTCTTGTTCTGCATCTAAAAATTTGACATGATGCACTGCATTTGGGTTCCCTTTCTTCACCGCTTTGTGCAACGCCATTCGACAACTATTTGCAGCTCGTTTGTATTGTCCAGTTTTCCTCGCCATTGCATACAGACTTATCCCAGCATAGAAGCAGACAAAGCAATAGCTCATACCAATCGATTGTATCTTCTTCACGTACTTTACCACTTTCTCCTTGGCACACTTTGCTCCCAGTTCATACTGCCCCAATATTGCATGAAGAAATAATGTGTGCACTGGGAAAAACATCTCCGTTGACGGGTCTTGAGAACTACCCTGAACAATACCTTCCATCATGAGTGACTTTGTTCTATGGCCAGTGAGATCAGCCAGCTCCATTGCAACGTCCCAACTTGGGATGGTGCAGTCGTGTGGTTCACTCTGTTTCAATGCCTTCATCTGGGGAACATACACCTCAAAATCCCGATTCACATGCTTGAGTAGTTTTCCACAGTAGAGCTGCATGGTTAGGTAGCTATTCATGTTCCACATGGCCATTTCGATATCCCCTTGCTCCATTCCAGCCTTGTAACCATTGAACAGCGGATCCAGCAGCAAAGGTATTGGCTTGGAAAAGGCAAGGCCCATTACGGAAAGGAGAGTTGCGTTCGCATGCTTCTTTTTTGTTTGAGTCTGGTCCAGCATAGAAAGTGCAATGTCGCAATACTTGCTGCCCTTTTCAAAGTCGCCAAGAAGTTGATTTATCATTATTCCCAGTCCTGCGAATGCAGAAGGAGAATCATCTGTGATGCCAAAGTCCAACGTCCAACGAACCATTCGAACGCTGAGCAACACCGCCAAAAGGAAACTCTTGGTGTATTGTGTCAGGGGGAATGCCTTTGACATGATGTTGGCTGCCATGAGTTTGACAGGATCTTTCATCGCGGGCAATTTGACGATCTCCTCCTCGGGTGGAGGATACCGAAGTTTGTACAGATGTTTAAGACCAACACTCCCCCTCATGAAATCGTACTTTGGAAATCGACAATCCAATTGTTGCAATACACGTAAAGCGATTTCAAGAGCTCCCTCGTGTTGTTTCAATGGGTTGCATTTCAAATCCATAAGTGTTTCATAGAGTGCTGATTTCTCCAAAACTGATAGGTCTTTTCGTTCCAGGACTTCATTGCAGTATTCTTGCGCCTTTTCCCATTGCCCAGTGCTGTGCTCTGATTTTGCAGCGATTGAATACAACGAAACACCGACTGGACGATGAGTCTTCCACATTTCTTCCTCCCAATACTTGATTCCCATACCAGCGTAATGACTTGATGTGCTATACGCTGAGAATCCCATAGCCCTTGAAGCCGCCTTTAGGTTCAACTCTATTAGTCTTTCGCGCATATTCTCTTTATCTGCAGTCCAAGCGTCGTTTAGTAGATTGGCAACAACAAAGATGTGACTGGTCGCAACTTCGACTTTCAGCTCGTCCAATAGCAACAACCCTATGCTCCATTGAAGACGCTGAAGCTCTTTACGAGATGCCGAATTTGTGACGGACTCTTGGATTTTGCCGTGGACGAAACCATACGTGTCACCAGTTGATGTCTCGAGGAACTTTTCATTGACGCAACTGTTAAGCAATGAAGAGAAAGTGTATTGTTCTGTCGCTTCCGCTTTTGTTGTTGCCACCCAGGCCTTGTAGAGTACATCCTTGTCGAATCTACTCCCCAAGCAAGTCGCTACCTGCAGCAAGGTTCTGGTCTCTTGCGCTGCTGCCTCCAATTGCCCCATGATCAAATCGACAACATTTTTGGTGGCATCTGTTTCCCGTTCGATCGTATCAATGTCCCAATCCCAAGAAAAGGACTTGACGTTAAATGCCAGGCATTCCTTGTCTCGGAGCATGGTAATGAAGGACAAGAGAAAAAACACGTTCCCAAGGGTTCGCCGATGGCACAATTCAGCGAGAGGTTTGATTCTCTGCTTGTCATCTATATTCAACAACGTTGAGAGAACGCTTTGAACCGCATCGGCAGATAAATTGCCCACCATCACATTGGTCAGAGCTGCGTTGTTGTTGTCTCGAGTCTCAATGTCACGTATCATCTGATAAAGATCCTGTGTATTCTTATCCTTGTCCTCAGCTTCACTGGTTCTGTGACATCCAAGGATCATGATTGCATTTCCACTACTAATTCTACTGTCACCACTACTATCCTCCAAGTCCACCAAGTGTCTAGTTGTCATGAGAGCTCGGATAAGTTCCAAGGACTCTGTATCGATCCACTGTAAGTCATCCACCACTAGCAAAAGGGGTGCCACGGATGCGACCAGAGCAATGAATTTTTGAATTGCTAACATCTGACGCCCTTTCATCTCACTATCGAGCGAATGAATGTCGACTTTGTTTATTGCTGATGCTATTTGGCTATCCAGCTCGGATGACATGGTGTTCTGCAAGATAGGAATAATATTTCCAATCAATGCAAGCTCGACCACATCCAAGGTAGTCATCAATTCCTGGCAGAATGTTTCTTTGGAAGATATGATTATTCTCTGTGACTTCTTTGACAATTTGTGGTAAAAGTCATCATGTTCAAGGATGGAAAACAATTGATTCCCAAGCGAAGCAATACCAGCGTATGGATGATCACGAGTCGTAGAATCGCACTCTTGTTTGGCGACAATGGCACCAGCTGCTTTGGCCCTTGACTCTGCCCATCCAGCCAGTGTACTCTTTCCAGTTCCTGATTGTCCTTGCAAGAGGACAAATTCTCGTTTTCGTGTGGACAAAGATACCAGTCGTTCCAAGGAATCTTTCAATAATTGAACTTCCGTCTCTCGACCGACCAAGTTGCTTTTCAGAGACGAAAACTTGAGTTCTGTCAGACCAGATTGTTGGAGTCTCTCCTTGATGAAGAGCTGTTTGCTTGGTTCCTTGATGGCTTCTTTGAGTTCCGATTCAAGGTCATTGCCATGTGCAGCGCTATGATTGGAAGGTTCATCATCTGTTGTTGGGAAGTAGGTCATGGCATTGCACTAAATGTTTGCACAACAACCTTGAACGTTTGATGCTTGTTGGTATTGAAGATCTGTGATTTTTGAATTTCGTATTTGTTCCTGTTTTATTCGTTCCGAATCGTACAAAGACGGGTGGTTTGGCTTCTATCCCCGTCCCGATGTTCAATCCACGGGTGTAACCCGTACTTGACAGCTGGCTTTTCTTCTTACTCTTGGACACGTCGTCGTTGATCGTCTCGTTGAAAAATCCATCCACCGTCTGTAAGCCAACGGTCTTTTTCGGAGTGGAGTGTTTTCAAAATGGTACGTACCCTCTTGGTAGGCTGTTGACGTGGAGCTTTCGAGCCGACCTGCTTCACGAAAGTTCAGGCCCGTTGGTTTTCTCGGTTTCGTGTTCTTGGTCAGCATTGCATCCGTCGGCATCTCTTGTTGCTTGGTGGACTTGGAAGTTTACATTAACCTTACTCGTGCTAGGTATATATATTCTCGCTTTCTTTTGGCATTGCCGTTGCTTGGTTTCGTTGTTCAATCTTTCTTTCCTTTTGTTTTGTGCAAGAAAGCATTGATACCACATCTGAAGTTGCAGATTCCTTCTTTCCTTCCTTCCTTCCTTCCTTCCTTCCTTCCTTCCTTCCTTCCTTCTCTCCACACACGCTAATCACGCTATTACAATATCATCACAGTACAAAGCAAAACTTAAATGATGGACCAAGATCGGCGAGAAGACCGACGCAATTCCATGGGCGAAAGCGGCCGACGCTCGAGTTTCTATCGCGCTCGCGATCGCTTTGAAGGACGCAAACGCAAAAACTTTCGCGACGATGATCGAAGAGATTCTGGACAATATGACGAAGATCGAGGAGATCGATCTGGAGGACGCCGTCGCTCCAGATCCCCTGATAGGTGGTCACGTGGCAAGAAGCAGCAAAAGAAAACACAAACGGATGTTCCTCCGGAACGAGAATTGTTTGTAGGAAACATTCCTTCGAACATTGACGAACGATTCGTGCTCAACTTTCTCAATGGAGCCATGAGACACGCCAATTTGTGTCCCAGGCATGAAACTCCATGCTTAAGTTGTCAGATCAATGCTGGAAACTTTGCTTTTGTGGAGCTTTTGAATGCCGAATATGCCAACAAGTGCCTCAACCTGAATGGAATCCTCTTTTTGAATTCCCGAATCAAAGTTGGACGACCTAAGAAATATGTCGGACCTTTTGTCGTGGCCAAAAACTGGCAAGAGTTAGTGGGAGAGTCCCTAACTGTAGATGCTGTCTTGGACAGTGAAACAGAAAAGGTTAACCGCGAGCTCTTTGTTGGTAATACTACTCCCGAAATGACCGATCAAATGCTCAAGGACTTTTTGGGAGCAGCAATGGAACAAGTCGGTCTCAACATTATGGATGGAAACCCTATTACTGTTTGCGAATTGTTTGGGAAGTATGCCTTTATTGAGCTTCGGACTCCACGGGAAGCCGCTAATGCTCTGAACTTGAACAACATTCCATTCATGGGTTCCAACTTGCAAATCACCCGTCCATCCAAGTTCCAAGGAAAGTTTGAAAAGCACAACAACTGGGAACACGTTCTAGCACGATTCAACATGAAACCAGAAGAGTTCCAGCTGGGACAGATATTGAACCCATCTGTAATTGCTGCTGCCTCTACTAATGATCCCGAGATTGATTCAGATAACATTAACGTCGTCAAGGCGGAATTGGCACAGGTGAAACGGGCTCTGGAAATTACCAGACGCCAATTGGACGAGTCCAATAAGAAATCTGAAGCTCGTAAGGAACAACTTGTGTCCCTCAACAAAAAGTGGTCAGAAGGAAAGACTGAGCTCATTGATCGAAAGACTGAATTGCATCAAGTCAAGAAGGAATTGGAATTCAAACAGGAAGTGAACATGGACATGGACAAGGTCGTAGAGGCGCAAGAATTGAGAAAGCGTCACGAGGAGACTCAGGGCATGTTGCGTGGAGTTACCGAATCCTTGGTCAAGGCGACAGAGAAACTTCAGCACGAACGCAAGGCCAGAAAGAGCCTCGAACGTTATGTCCACGATCAATCAATATCCGGTGGCCTGGACTTGAATCTCAACTTGGATGGCGCTGCAGCTGCCCCTGGAGATATGAATGCCTCCATTGACTTTTCGCAGCTGCGTGCGGAGATGCAACAAGATCAAGAACCAGCTTCTGCTGCTCCAGCAGCCGCTGATGGAACTGGCGATGTTGCAATGGAAACGGACGAGACCGAACCCAAATTGGATTCTCTCAAGGAGTTCCTCACCAATACTCCCCAAACAGGCATCGACTGGGGCCCAAAGCTCTCACGGCCCACCGATTCAGAAGGCAAGCCCAGACCTCGCGACCGTGGTGGTGTTCGACTCTGCAGGCTCTTGGTCCATACACCCAATATGGATGTCAACGATGCCAATGAAGTCAAGACAATGGCTGGCAAGTACAACCTTGGTGGTTACGTCAAATGTGGCGGCCCTGGATTGTTGGTGATTGAAGGTTTGGAGTTCAACTGTGATATTTTCATGGACAATATGGAACGTCAAAAGAAGAAATACACCAAGCGCGGAAAGGTATCGGAGCGATCTGGTCGTGCTTTCCCCATGGAAATGACCTTGCTCGAAGGTGGCGATGCTAATGCCAACTTTGCCAAGGCATGTGCTTCTGTAGGTCTTGCTGAGAAGCTGCAAGCAGCAATGAACAGTTAATCATTTATGTGTATATGTCAAGCAGCAGCAGCAGCATTGAAACAACAGCAACAAGACGAAGCACACACCATGCCTTAATTGCAATTGGTGGAGATTCACACTTCGTATACTCACACACGCAGCACATATGGACGCACCCACACAACTCACAGTGTCATAGAGATCACTTCCGTTTTAAAAAAGTAACAGCAGATTTTAGTAGAAATCACAGTACCAATCGGGAAAGTATGTGTTCTTGTGTCGAATTGGTCGAATGTCGCTTCAGCATCATATTAACTATCTAAGATAGCCTACTGCCGTCCTCCGTGTGTGTGTTCGTAGTATTTTGTCTTGGTGTGTAGCTGGTGGGTTGTGGTGTGAAGCGGGTCGAACTGATCGAGTAATAGACTCGATTCGTTCGA